CTTTTGCTCCGCTCTTGGAGGTATGTAAAAAGAACTTTTGACGGCAGGCTGTCACCACAAGATCCTTTTTAATCCATTAAGCATATTCTTTTTGTCATTTGGCTCATTTGCGTGTTTGCGTTCTGAGTCCCATTGTTTCCTATGGAAGAATTCCCTTACTTTGAACGCTGATATCTTGAGAACCATTTATCGGAGCATTTTCAGCATAAGACCATCGGAAATAAGATCTTTGGAACTTCAATATGGCCTGATAAAAAATTAGAAAAAATCACGCACAGCAAAATGTGACACTTTTTCAACTTTGACGATTTACCGAAAAACACTCTGTATTCGAAAAATTTCCAAAGTAGCGCCATACAAAACTTTTACATTTTTTCTATCGAATGGCTTATATCATATCTCTCTAGTATTTATAGTTGCTGAGTTATAAACGCGCCAATGTAGGGATAGTTCATCCGAACATCATTTTTTAGCTGCCATTAATTTTTTTCAAATCTAATGTTAACATCCTGGACTTAAATTTTATTGGGTTGATTAATATCTAACAAATGCGTTGTAAGTCCATACTATGGGCAAGTTACATCTCTTCAATCGAATCAGCAAATGCTGTTTTGCTCAATCTAAATTTTTGCAAATTGATGTGTTAAATTTATGAGTTGATTCAATGCTTTGTTACTGTGACGGTGGAATCAATATTATTATATCTGAATAACAAGAGTAGTTATTATTCCATTGATATTAATCTATTTTAACAGCCATCAACTTTCTGGTTGTTCAAAGATTTTTAAAATAGAGTAGCGAACTGATTTTAGAAATAAATATGATTCTCAAATCAACAAAATTAACCTTTCTTCTTAATAAAACCAAAAAACTCGCTCAGATTCACTTGAAGAGTTCACAGTTTCTGATAGATGGAATTAACTTGAGGTAAGATTTTGATTTAAGTATGTTGACAGATGTTATTAAAGTATTCCTACACAATTGAATGCCTCAATCGAAAAATATTGATAACTTACCTTAAAGTGAAGAAATTGTCCAAATTGCAATATTTTGAAAAATGCAATGGATATTATCACTACTATTGGTGACTGCTATTTTAAACTAGATTAAGTCGGTGATGATTATTATCCACAATAACGTAATAGTTTGTTAATTTGTAATGAAATAATTCTCACTGAAATAAATTCGTATCTTTTAACTTACTACAATCTGTATAGCTCAACTTATGAAAATGTAAAATGAATAAACAGACAATTCTCCAAGTAAATTGCAAAATCAAAATGCTCACTGAATTTACGTAATTGGCCATTAAATTTAACGAAAAGATTAAGATAAAAGGCAATGTATCAATTTAATTACAAAATTCAATGATAAAATCCGGTAAAAACTGATGCTTAATAAACATAAATGATGAACAATTAACTTGTTAAAAATGCATTTCATTTAGCTAAATGTTAAATTACTTTAAATGTATGGAACCATAGAAAAAAGCTAGATAAAGTTAGAAAAGGATTATCACCAATAAATTTTTAAATTAGCAATGCATGGTTTGAACATAATCTTAACCTCAACTTATTTAATAATCAGTTAAATTTCAGTACAAATTTGGTTGTTTTTTCAATTTTTTCGTATCTACTTACAATTCGAAATTAATCTAATAGGTACTAGAAAAAACATTTACTAATCATAACATGGCAAAAAAGTTTAGATATTTTTTGTAAACAATGACTAGTTTGAATTGCATAAAGCAACGATAGAATCGAAAAATTCATTGAATTAAATTTAATGATAAATAGATTTTCTTTAATAATCCAAAACGCGAGAATCAGATTTGGTATAATATTCTTAATGGTAAACTAACAATCTTTGTAGCCAGATGAAATGGCATGGAATCCTATTAAGATAATTGTGAAAAACTATGATAATGTAGTTGATAATGTAAACAGTGCTCTTGACATGGAAAAATCGTTAGTCTCGAACATTTTATGCAGACCTGATTTGTATAATGGAATGGTAACTTGGAAGATTTAAATAAATGTGAGCATTAATTATTATCTCATGAACAATAGTATTAACTTGTAATCTTATAACATATATTCATACTTTGTAACTTTTTTATTCTATTCTAGTTTTGTGGCTATTGATGATAGCAGTCTCATTTTAATTCATGAGATGGATCGCGCGATTAACATCGCTATTATAACGATAAAGAATTCACTTTGCATCTGAAAATTCGGATACATTGGAAAACTCGATGATTTCTTGGCAACGACGAGAATGAGAATTTCGCTGGGGTTCATTTGCTCATAATCTTTTTTATGTGATAATGAAAATGAAGATTTCCTGACTAGGCCTCCAAGCAAATAGCGATGTTACATTGCTCATGAACTCTTTAAGGTGCTAAAGATTCAATCTCCTGGAATAAATACACCAATCATGCATGTATTTTAATTGGTTTATTATCATTTGCACTCAAAGAAATTCGTGATTACATTCAGAATGAACTATTAACTATTATGATGTCTTTCTCACTTCACTTTCTCAGTGTTGGATCTAGCCAGTGAATCTTGAAAAGCTCTTAACGAAGCGCTGTTTCTGTGTTAAGCTCCAGCCTCATTTGTACATGCAGTCAATTATTATAGGTTATTATTACAAGTTAACAGGTAATGTGATGTCTTTGTCATTGTTAGATTCAGCCAGTGAATCTAAAAAAGCTATCGACCAAGTGAATTTACTGTTTCTGTGTTAAGCTTCAGGCTAATTTGTATATAAAGTCAATTAATACATTCAGAGCAAACATCCTGGTCTCAAATTTAACTGGGTTCTTTCAACACTGAATGCATATTACGAGCAAATTGATCCAATCATGGTGATGATAGATTCATCAAAAATGTGAAACTTTAAGGAAATTTGGTTTTTGGTGATGATTAGCACGGCAACTTGTTAGATGTGGCATTTTTGCAAAGTATTGTTGATAAATTTGGGAATAAACCTGTTGATATGATTACTGAGGATGTTGGAATCAATTGCATTGATGCGCCTTAAATTCGAGAGGAGTTATCTTACCAGTTGATATTACATCAGTTTTTAGCTGCCATTAATTGTTTCAAGTCTAATGTTAGTTTTATTGGCAAAATGTCCTTTCTCTCGTTCATTGGTTGTTTATTTTGGTAATTTCAACAGATCCATATTCCATGTGTGACGCTAACCCATTGTGGATTGAGAGCACCACATTCAAAACAACTCTAAATAGAAAGAAAATATTAATTTTAGAAACAACAAAGGAATTAGTAATTTAAAAAAATGATAAATATGGATCAACTTACATTATCATTAGTTGGACGCAGTTCCTGAAGTATCTGCCTTGTCCTCGGACTAGCCATGGTTAGTCATCATATGTTATCTAAGAAATCACTTACATTGCTCAATTGTAGTAGCTTTTTGATTATATTTGGGTGAACAGTTGAACAGTCCATCAAGATGGTTCAACCTTTAGCCTTGAATTGCTCAACAGCTGCTGAATTGATGTCGTAAACAACCAGAGAGTTACACTTGTTGATAAGATGGTTAGCCATAGGAGTACCCATGAAACCCAGTCCGATCCATCCAACATGAGCTTGACATTTTTGAACTAGAGATTTAAATTTGAATCGAGATCAATAAGAGTTTGGCGAGAAGAATTGAACAAAATTGTCTTTGCCTCGTTCATTGTTTGTTTATTTTGGTAATTTCACTTTTACTTACAATGTAATCCTTGGTTCAATGATTTGGAAGTCAATTTAACGATACTTCTTGAAGTGATCATGATAGTTAATTAATGATGAATTAATTATTAATTATTAATTAATGAAATCAATTAATGTGTTTAATAGTTCCTAAGATTTCCTAACGAGAAATAACGTCACTACAATGATACAATGTAATGTTAATTATAAAACTAAATGAATTGTAGACTAATGAATGAATCGAGTTAGTATAACCTCTACAAGAATTAAATTGCTTCCTGCACTTGAAAATCATTATCTCGATGATTTCTTGACTGGACTGCCATGAGAATTTCGTTGTGGTTCATTGTTTAGACATGGTTTCTATTGCCTGTGAACTCTTTTGAATAATAAAAAGTAAATCTTCTGGAATAAACATACCAATCGAACTGATTTAACATCATTTGTGCTCAAAGAAATTCGTGATATTATTCAGAATGAACTATCAACTTGAGCATGGTGCAAATTAACAGAGATTATTAGATCTTTTCCAGTGTTAGATTTGAAAAGTGAATCTAAAAAAGATCTCAATTCACTGTTTTGGTGTGAAGCTCCCGGCTCATTTGTCAATGAAGTCAATTATTACATTCAAAGCAAACATCTTGGTATCAAATTTAACTGGGTTGCTTCAACACTAAATCCATATCACGAGCAAGTTGATCTAATCAAAATAGCATTAGATTCATCAAACATGTGGTACTTTATGATAACTGGATTTTTGGTGATGATAATCGAGGTGACTCGTTAGTTGTGGCATTTTGGCAAAGTATTAGTATGAATAAACCTGTTGATATGATTACTGAAGATGGTGGAATCAATTGTATCGGTTCACCTAAAATTCAAGAGGAGTTATATTTCCAGTTGATATTACATCAGTCCTAAGCTGCCATTAATTTAACATAATAAACATCAATTTTACCTGTTTGGCTATTCCGAAGCAATTTTTGGAAATGAAAAGGTTCTATGTTGTTCAAAGAATTACGAAAAATTGGCTTTTGAACTTAACATTGTTAATATTCCACAGAATTTCCCTGTTCAATAAAGCCAAAAAACATCGCTATAGACAAAGAGATTGAATTGTAAACAAAACAATGAATTGAATGGAATGATCTATAAATTTTTATCAGCACATCTTTAATACTCAGGAAACGCGAGAATTAGTTTGAGATTTGGCCCCATAATAGTGGCATAATATTCTTAATTTAAAATTAACAATCTTTGTATTAGCCAGACGGAAAGGCATGGAATTTTATGTAGATGAAAAATTTAAGCGAGCAATAAAAATAAAATCATTTTTTCTTGTTGGATTTGTTTGAATTGTGATGTTAACATTCATAGTTGTATATTACTTTCTTCTTGAATTCTTTTTACTAGAAGCTTTAGGACTGTCATTGAGAAGTTCCCAGAAATCATCTTCTTCTGTTTTCTTGGAGTTTTTCTTATTTGAACTACCTTCGCCAAAGTTGATCAATGTTTTCTCTTCCTTGCTGATATTAACTGTCTTCGAAGCCGTTGAATTGGTGGTAGATTGATTGTTACTGCTACTACTTAGTTGTTGGACATTGGGTGTAGACTTAGAAGTTGATAAGAGACTTGACGATTCCTTCCTTCCAACACCTTCATTTCTATAATCACAGTTATCTTCTTTATAACCCTCTTGATAGCTTCCACCCTGATCTCCAGTTCCATAATCATATTCATTGCTCTCAGAATTAGGATCACTGTAGAGAGATGCTTTCTGGTTGAAAAGAGTTGACAAATCTGTCCATCCTCTTTTGGAAACATCAACTACCTGAAAAGATTAAAAAAGTTATTAATATCTAATGAAAAACGTTCATCTAATGAAAAAATTAACAACCTTAGAGCCAATCGTTGTTGCTTGATTCTGTAATGAGTCAACTAAAGAACCTTCTTTCACCTTTAAATAAGTCAGGATTTAAAACAAAAAACAAGCAAGGAAAAAACAAATAAAAAAATAAAAAAATAGTCAGAAAATAAAAACAATTGATTGAAAAAATAATGAATGTAGGAGGTTAAAACTTAAATAAAACTCATAAATGAGTTTACCTTTTCATTTAGAGTTCCAGCAATCTCAGCAGCTTTTTGTGAAGCAATCGAACCAATTTTCAAAGCCTAATTAAAAAAAGATTGATAATTATTTTTTTCATCAACCAATGCATAAAAAATGCTTACGTTTTCAGACGCCTTTGACGCTACTTTGGTGGCTGTACTTGCGATTGAGGATAGTGAAGACTAGAAGATGATTCAGATGAACATTAGAAAAATGGAAATATTTTTCATTATTTTCTGTACTTACTATTGAGAAACCCCATGAATCCAAACCGTAATCAGATTGGCTTCTTGGAGGTTGGGCACTATAACCAAACCCGGAATATTTTCCTCCTTGGCTAGGCGGGAGATCACTGACAAAATAATTTTCGATTGAATGGTGACAAAAAGGTTTTGATTATTATTTGAATAAGTGTAAAAAACATAAAACAATCATGAGTTCAAAATTACATTCAATAGCAAGCAAATGACTAACAATGACACTATACTTACTCAGGTCTAGAAGCATTTTCTTGTTGCTTTTTAGCAAAAAATTGTTCCTTCTGACGAGATACATTCTCATGATTATAACTACGGATGTTGAACATAATAAAAAATCGATACAATTTTAGAATAAAATAGATGAGTTGATAGAAGTTAAAATTAAGTAGCGAATATCCGAATGAAATTGTCAAGCAGTTTGTGCTGGTAGATAATCAGATGAAAATTTGGAAAGATTTCATTAGTGGTGGTCAGTACCTTTGGTAGCTACTTGCAGCCCATTCGTCTTCATCCCAAGATGACTGTTTTCCGCTATTTTTAGATGCATTGGAAGCCGAACTTGACGAGAAACTAGGAATGACTCGCGAAACATAGTCTTTTGCTGTTGAAGATTCAATGGACCAACTTTTACCAGCAGCTTCTGTGGCGATCTAATGAAAATACATAAATTTGTAAGACTAATTGGTAATTTTCAAGTTTTGTTTCACACATACCTTATCACGATACAGAGCAGCAGCTTTTGAGTTATATCTTTCACTCAGTGGCATAGAAGGGTTCCAATCAGGTTGACTGGAAAGAAACTCCTTTGCTTTTTTATTACCACCAGCTTTCATCTTAGCCAATTCAATATCCTTCCATTTGTCCATAGTGATTGAACGAACAAAACTGCGGAAGAAGGAAAACAATTCATTTACTCAAGGTTATCCATGGTTTGTTTAGCTATACCATTAATAGGCTAAATCATATTGTAGACTTTACCTCAAATGAACTCCGAGTCCCCGGTGTTTCCCTGAGCAATCTAAACAGATCCATATTCCATATGTGACGCTGACCCATTGTGGATTGAGAGCACCACATTCAAAACAACTCTAAACAGAAAGAAAATATTAATTTTAGAAACAACAAAGGAATCAGATATTTAAAAAAAATGATAAATATGGATTAACTTACATTATTATCATTAGTTGGACGCAGTTCTTGAAGTATCCGCCTTGTCCTTGGACTAGCCATGGTTAAATTTGGTTAGATTTGGACTAAATTACAAACTAAATTAATCAATAAATTTAAGAAAACAGTTGGCAGTTAAGAGGTTGAATTGGTTAAGAGTAACATAAATGAATATTGAGCTACCAAGTTGAGAGGTAATGGTGACGACAGCACTGTCAGGTTAGGAAAAAATTTCAGCTGGAAAAAGTAGAAAGAGAAAGATGCCTTGAAAGAGTATGAGTGAAAGCTATCATTGCATTTAATAAAATCACCCATTTCACGTTGTAATTAAAAATTTTAATCTCAAAAACTGTTCTGTTAATCAACTATAGCTCAGGAAATCAATAATTTTTTTGGAATTAATTGTAAGTATAGGTGATATCCATTAATCACGCTGTTTTTATGCATCTTTTTAGATTTGTTTTGGTTTTTCATCATTGTTTACATTTTTATTTTCTTTATTTGAAGTTGATTATTTTCGACTTTTTATTCATTCCAGATTTAAAAATCTGAAGCCTTTTTCAGATTCTCTTATTGTGATCACATGCTTAATATCTATCAATCATTAACCATGGGCAAAGGACAAAGATCAGAAGGCAACACTAGGGTAAGAGAGTTTAATTTACTCAGCTGTTAGACATGTAATATTTATTTCATGCCTCGATTTACAGCCTGGCAGTTCTTGTGCATCTCATCTGCACAATTTTTATCACCAACTCTTGGAATTACAATAATCAATAGATTCATTGGATTTGATGATGTGAAAGAACCAACTGATGGACCTATCGCCGATTCCAGTCTTGGCTCTCTGGTTGAGGAGGAAGAAGTTGACACCAATTTGACACCAGCTAATGATCAAAAAAATGTATAAAAAGGAAGCTTTGCCCAAAAAATCAGGCATAAATATTGCATAAATCTTCAAGCAAGAAATTTGGGTCGTTTACGTCGCGATTCACTCATGCTGTTTCAGCTTGTGCTGCTAGATCATCTCTTTCAATATTCTTATCCGTTGAAATGTTGGAAAAGAGGTAAAGATGGAGATAAAGATGAAAATGTCCATAAGACGAATAAAATATTAACCCCTTGTTATTATTTTTGTTTCGACATTTTCAACAATCTTTATCATAATCATCTTTATCTCTTTTCAACATTTAGGTAGTGAATGCTTGAACCTTACTTACCACAACACCTTTTTAATGTTATCCAAAATGTTATTCAATGAATTGAAGAAATTGCGCGAATTCGAAAGTTTTTCTTGATAATTTTGATAGAGTCATCAGTAAATATTGTAAAAGTTTTAATGTCGTTCGAAATAAACATTTATAACAATATTAACTCTAATGAATGCATTTGTTACATTATTTAAGACTCATACGCTTGTGCTTGTTGCATGATTAAATTGTAGTAAAATCCTTTCTTTTTAATCAATTCTTGATGAGAACCAGTTTCAATGATTTTTCCCTTAGCTATAACGACAATAATATCAGCATTTTGAATGGTACTCAGTCGATGGGCGATAATCATCACAGTTTTTCCTTTCATAACAGTTTCTAAAGCTTGTTGGATTGATTTTTCCGCGCTAGCATCCAAAGCGCTTGTTGCTTCGTCTAATATCAAAATTGTTGGATTTTTAAGAATTGCCCGTGCAATTGCGATTCTTTGTTTTTGTCCACCAGAAACTGCTAAACCTCTCTCACCAACTTGAGTATCGTAGCCATCTGGAAACTGTTTAATGAATTCATCTGCATTAGCAAGTTTTGCTGCTTCATAAACTTCCTCATCTGAAGCTCCAGGTTTGCCAAAGCGGATGTTTTCCCTGATTGTTGTAGCAAATAAAGTTGGCTCTTGGTTGATGTATCCGATTAACTGTCCTCTCAACCAGCGACAATTCATTTGGCGAATATCTGTTCCATCAATTTTTATTGACCCTTCATCAACATCATAAAATCTTTCAATGAGTGCAGCTATAGTTGATTTACCTGACCCTGATAAACCACAAATTGCTGTCACTGTTCCTGGTTTAAGATTTAAGTTTAATTGTTTTAAAACTTCTTGACCAGGTCTTGTTGGATATGAAAATTTAACGTTATTAAATTGAATGTCACCAGATGGATTAGATAAAATCATTCCTCCAATTGCTGGGATTTTGTGTTTTGAATCTATAAATTCAAAGATTCTTTCCCCTGCGCTACAAGCTCTAATGTATTGACCAATCAAAAGCGATAATTGTGCCAATGACCGTTGAACAGTTTGACTTTAATGAGAACATCAAGAAAATAGAAATAAAAGGTTATTGGAATGCGATTAAATTTAATAGTTTGAATATCGTACCTTGCCACCAGAAAAGACATTAGACTGCCCGGAGTGACATCGCCAATCGAGACAAGATATCCTCCCATCATCAAAGTTCCTAGAACTAATTGATTCAATGCTAAATTTGTGACTCCTCTGAACATACCAATGCCAATTCCTAACGCTGTATTCATTTGATTAGTTAATGCCATCTCATTAGAAAAGGATCTGAAAAGAAAATTGAAAATACGTTGATTTCCGTTATCATTATGGATTTATCATTCAAAATTAACGGCAACTTACTCGAATTCTCGATCTTCCAATGAAAATGCTTTGACAGTTCTGATATCCCCTATGGCTTCATTAGCAACTTCAGTTGCTTTAGCAATCTTATAAAAAAATAACAATTTTAATAACAAAAAAAGATGAAAGTAAATCAAAGCTCACCTGTTTCTGACATTCATCGGAAAGTCTTTTAAGATAATAACCGAAAATTCTTCCTACCGATACCATAGCAGGCAAAACTAAACCAAGTGTTAAAGTCATTTTGGAAGATAAAGAATATAAAGAAACCGCCGAACCAATTACCTAGAAAATGTATCAAATAATTAGTTCATTGTTCCTTTGAATTTAAAGCTAATTTATTTTACCTGAGTAATACTTCTGATACCCTGAGAAATTATCAGCTTGAAGGAACTTTTAAAATCTTGAACATCAGTAGTCAAACGGCTGATTATGTCACCGGTTGAGTTTTTGTCAAAAAATTCAACATCTTGATCAAGAATACATCGAAAAAGCTTTATACGAAGGTTGAGCGCCATTCTTTCTCCAATGATAGATAAAGTTGATATGTTGATGAATGTCCCTAAACTCTGTTGAGAAAATGAGCATCAAAGTAGAAGCGCCAAAATTTATTGTTTTTAACATACCTGAAGTAAATAAAGAGTTATTAAAGTATAGACTGGATTCTTGATTTCTCCAATCAGTTCGGTTATTGACCATTGATTAGTTCCTTGAATATATTTACTCAGATCATTGATAATTGATCCAAGAGCCAAAGGAATTTTTATATTGAGCACAGCGACACAAAGAGCACTCTGTTGATTGGATAGATTTTAGTTTTCCAGTTATCATAGTCAATATGTATTCTTACAGCGATTGAAATAAATAATAAGATATAATCATTCTTAATAAAAGCCCATATTCGAGACCATCTAAAGTGCTTATGTTCATTTTCCTTTGAAAATGCTGGCTCATCTTTTGGGGAAATTATCTCGGTAATATCAGAGTCTCCATGATGTCCAACTTCACATTTCACGTGAACTAAATTGTAAATCTGATAACCAGAAAAGGCAATTAAACCCGAAGCCAGTCCAACCTTTCTTCCATGCGTTTTGATATTTTGACCGAATCGGACATTTTTCAGTGACTTGAAAACAGATGAAACGTTAGGATGCCAACTATTAGATAAATTAAAGAAAAAACATTTATATGAAAATATAATTACAGATTCTACACAGAAGCTTGCTCTGATATTTTTTCAATTAAAAGGAAAACGACTCACCTACGTGATAATGATAGAAAATTATTTGTCCCATGAGAACGTACAAGCTTTAATATCAACATCGATAAAAATCAAGTCATCAACGAAAACAAAAACAGCTGATTTTGTTGAAATAAATTTTGATCACTTGTTTATCTTTGAAATATTCTGATGAATAAATACATAGATAATCGAGTTTAATTTAATCCACTTTCAGCATGGCGAAATAATAATGTAATTAAAGTAATTCGGTTTAAAAAATTTACTGCATTTCATAACAAAAATTTGGAATCAGATATTTTTAAAGGATTAATTAGGGGCGATTCTTTAATTGCAAGAAATCTTCTTTTAAAGGGAATCTTCTTTCGGGAAATAAAATTTTCTGTTTTTGTGACATAAGTCACTTCGATTTTAGGTTAATCATATTTTTTTTTATTGATCTCAAAAGTTAGCACATAAAGTCACATGAAATATCAGGTCCATCCTGAACGGAGACGATCGAAATTTCACCTTCGTAAATTGTGGACCAGAAAAATCGATTACATTGTAATTGTTAAATGGAGTTTTCCTACTACATTATTGGTTAAATTAAAATGAAACCAAATCAAATATGTAGCATAATCGATGTAAACAAAGCCAAAAAATCATTCGTTTAAATAGCTTCTGTGGAAATAAGCTTAAAAGCTATTCACAGAGAGTCTCATTATGAGAGGTTTGAGTGTAATCCACAAAGTTCCAACTAACTCGAAAAGTTATTCCTTAGTTCTTGGAATCTCTAATTTCACCTTAAGGCTTTAGCGATTGCGACTTAAGCTCTTTTGGTCCAGCCCTTTATTCAAATCACTTTTAAAGGTCTTGTAAGGAGTTTATTTTCATCTTAATCTTTGGTCACTCAACGATCTCTACTGGCTACATTGGTTTATTTCAGTGAAGGGTAAATCAGTTTTACTTTGGCATTTCACCAGTAAACATCATGAATCAACGTGTATCTAAAAGGATTGTTGAAATACAAACTTTATCTGAACGCTTGTCTAACCTGTGCAATCAAATTATTTATAACTATGGAGAGATTATTAATTATACAAATCAAATTGATAAATTATCACAATCTTCAAATTTAGAGTAAGAAACAATTTTTTTTGCTAATTAAATTTTATTCCATTAATTTTTTCTGTTCTTTTTATATCTACAGTTTATATGAAATTCAAGAGCTGGAAACTTTGAGTGACAAATTAAACAACGTCAAGATAAGTATTGATCAGAATGTTGAGTTCTGGACAACTCAGTGTAACAACTTGAACAACGCTTTGAGAAATACTCTTCCCGAAATTTTTGCAATTATCAATGGACCACATTGCAATCAATCATTAAATTGTAATGGTGTTCCAATCCCTGATAAGGAACAAGCTTGCCAATCCTGGTGTGAATCTCTGACCTGTATTTGTTTGAATGTGCGCCACGAATTGACATTAATAGCAGCTTACTTTCCAGTTTGGGAAGAAATTTTTAATAACATGAGATATGATGCTGATAATATGGTTGGACAGTTGGTAAAGAACACATTCATCATCGAGAAACAGCCGCCTCAAGTTATCAGAACAAATAAGCAATTCCAAGCGTCCATACGCTCTTTGATCGGAGGACTTTTCAACTCTAATAATACACTGTTTAATAGCTCAAGCGTTAGTGTCTCCATATTGAGCGAGTCACAAGCCATTTTAATGATCTCACAAGAAGACAACTCTTTATTTAGCGACGCTTCTGGTGAAATATCCAATAGCGAAAGTAGCCTGGAATATCAGTCAACAACAGGACAATCTATTGCACATTTTGAGCATCTCATCTTGAAGAAAATTAACAGGACCGAAAAAAAGGGAACAGAATCGGTGACAGATGAGAAATTTGCTTTACTTTTCCAAGCAACGATCAAACTGGGTGAACTCGTATTTCACGTCAAGGTAAGTTATACAATAATTGTGTTTCCATCATTTGTGTCCATTTGCTCATAATTATTTTTCCTATTTTGTAGGCTCTATCATCGCCTTTGGTCGTTATTGTTCATGGTAATCAGGAGAACCATGCTTGGGCAACAATCACTTGGGACAATGCTTCACAAATCTCTTCAGTGGTAAGTCATCATTGATCTCGTTTCATTACATTTCTCATTTTTAACATTGAAATTTTCTTCAGGATCGAATTCCGTTCATCGTTCCAGATGAAATTCTTTGGGCCAGAGTTGGACATGTTCTGAGTAACAAGTTCAGTTCAAACGTTGGATGTAATCTTGCGCCAAGAGATTTAAGATTTCTTGCTAGAACAGCCTTCAGGGATCCCAGTTTACTTGATTTTGAAAATCTCTATTTGAGTCGCGCACAATTTTCCAAGGCACCTTTGCCGAATCGCGATTTCACATTTTGGGAATGGTTCTATTCAATTCTAAAGTTGAACCGGGAACACCTGAAAGATTTATGGCAACCACAACGCTTGATCCATGGATTTATTTCTCGAAAGGATGCTGAGGATGCTTTAATGGATAAACCAGAAGGAACTTTTCTACTGAGATTCAGTGAAAAAAAACTCGGTGCTATTTCCATAGCTTGTAGAGCACATTCGACGTTTGGGAATTCCGTTTACATGGTTGAACCATACAGTCTCAATGATTTATATTCAGTTTCTTTATCTGAACGCATACATTACACAAGACGTTTAAAATACTTGTATCCAAATATACCAAAAGAACAAGTTTTCAAATTCACAGAAACACTAACTCCTGGATATGTTGCAGGGTCATTCCTTTCATAAAAATTCATAACAATCTTTATTATTGATTAAGTCGAGTCATGGATCAAGTTTCATCGAATTATAAGATTTTCCTGACAGCTTATAAATGATGTAAATAAAATGAAAAAAAAATAAAATAAAACATTGATTTGAAAAGCTGGATATTTACATGATCAGCTGTTTTTAACAGCCAGACGTGATTCACTCTAAACATAATTGTCACTACAATGTAATGATTGCACTATTAAAATCACTGTTATTGAAAATAATATTAACGTACATAATTACATGGAATTACGTTCAGAATTAAATTGGAAAAATTGATTGTTCGAGTAAAATACGACCAATACAGCTTTAATCTGAAGATAAAATTGATGTTTCGGATTTTGTTTGAAGTCTTTTTTCATACTTGGCGCTCTTTTCAATTTCTAGACTTCTGTTGGTCAAGTTAAAGCATTGATTGTGTAGCTCTATCAAGATCCCAATTATTTGACGATAAGGCTACACGCGCTTGATGTTCATCACATCCCATAACTTCACGAAGTTTAGCTATTTTAGCATCAAAATCATGATTAGACCATTTTTCCTTATCATTTTCAGGTCGAGCATAAACTGAAGTCCAGTGTTTTGCCGTTTGCACGAACAGTTCATGGTTTTCCTTGTATTGTTTAGCAACGACAGCATCCTGGGGATCATCTGGCTCTGCAGCGGCTAGTAATGCCTGTAAACTAAGTAAAACAGTTCTTATAGTCAATGCAGCAGCCCATTGATCTTGCAGGATATCCAAACATATAGCACCAGTGACTGAAGAGATATTTGGGTGCCAAATCTTAGTTGTGAATCTCATCTTAGGAGGATTAAAAGGGTAAGTTGATGGTATTTTGATTTCCAAATTGAAAATACCTCCTTCATATGGAGTATCTGGAGGTCCTGTATATGATAAATAAAGATCATGTTAAAAAATCATAAAAAAAGTCTGTATGAAATATGCAATATTCAAGTAACAAATAAAATCTCAATGAATAACGAAAAGGTTGAATATGTATCAATATATTTCAATGAGCTAAACCTATTCTCGTCATCAAGATTGAACTCTTATCCATCTAACAATTAAGTAAGTCAACAATAAAATCAATGATTAAGCTGAAATAGACTGTTGGAAATGATGGTTAGTTTGTTATCAGTTATCTGTCAACGTGGTAACCAGAGACATGTTTAACAAAAGAAAAAAAGTAAATATCAATTTAAATTACCTGTAATCTTTCCTATTAAATCCAGTAGACTGCCGTTAACCATTTCAATGGATATGGCTTTCTTTTGAGCTTCGTCAAACTTGGCTACTTCATTTAATTCACGTTGAATCCTTTGCGTAGCAATATTAGCCATTATGGATCAGTTTATGAAAAACAAGTAAATAAAAAAAACCAATGATTAAAGCAACGAAGATAGATAGAGTTCATAATACTGTCAATATTCCCAAAATAAAACGGTTGGTACTAACAGGCCACAATAACAATACTCCAACCATAATAACCATAATCGAGTTTCAGCGCTCCCTATGTGTTTAATTTTTATGAAAATTACTAAAGGAGGTTTTTACGAAATTGGGAGGCGGTGGGAGGCAGTTGGGTCATCATTAATTAATTCATTTACTGATGAATCTCGATGCAAAAGCATTGAAAAAATTCATTTTAATTATGACGATTGACTGAATTCATCAGGCTTTTTAGTACAAATAAAAAAATCACTCGACGATCATAATTTAGTATCCAGTTTATTGACTGTACCTAGAAAGACAAGCAAGCTTGGCGAACCTCAGCTTGGACTCAAACGTGAATTAATCTTGAATTAACTAAAATAAAATAAAATTAAATTTACTTGTATCAATGGCGACATTGAAATTTAAATTTTATTGAAGGTTTTCAACCATCTCTCATTGAAGCCACATTCACTTAGTGACTTCCAAATTATTTGAGATGTTCAACTCTAATCAAAGCAGCCATAATTAAAGCTGTTTAATTAAATGAAATAAGCATATAATAAATTTAGTAAAATTGGTATTGAATTAACTTTGTCCAAGGCTCAATAATTGTTACGAATTGAGACCAATACAGATGTAAATATCGAAGTAATTTTGATAATGTGACAATTTTATTGCTCGAAATCTTCAATGTGAACAAGCCAATACAATTCAGAGGAAAAGAATAATAGACTTACATGGTAATTTTAAATTGTAAACAATCTGAATCTATTTTTATAGTCTTATAATAGTTTCACTAATTAAGCTAACTTGTTACAAATTATATTTGTATAGGTCAAAGGGTAATGTTGGATTTGGTCGTGGCTAATGATCAACAAGTATTGATCCATTATCTGATTATGACTATCAGAGATTTCTTTATGCTCAGAGTCTTTTTGATACATTTGACAAACTGACTTACTCTAGTATTGAAGGAAGAAGGAAATATTACTTACTTTTCTTGATTTTTCTTTCATGATAACAATCCAAGGTTAATTTAATCTGTTTTGATTAATATCAACTCTTAGCAATCATTTATCTTCAATTTAGATTGGTAAACATCCTGAAAGACTTCAAACCTAAGCTGAATCTGACTAAAAAAGCCCAGGTTGGTATTAAAACCTCTGTTTATCCAAATTGTAAACAATAGCGTCTCAATAGTGTCCTATCGCTCTTACCCAAACTAATTTAATCTTCTTGAAAGTAGATTATCATCAATTGACCGACATTTGTCAATAATTAAATTTTGTGTGATAGCGAAGAAGACGTTTCCCACAATCCAGAGGAAAACCTTCCAGAAATATGGACGATATCTTTGGATTCAACAGGAACCATGATGACAACTACTACAAAATTCTTGGATGTGATAGACTTTCTGATGTAAGTAATCGTTTGTTCATTTAACCATTATAAGTCCATTTAGTCTAATAATTCTTGAATCTTAAAGATCAATCATATAACCAAATAATATCTTGAACCATATTTGTTGATTCATATCAAGCTCTCTGTTGAACAATTTCAATTGACTTTACTTCACACGCTAATGATTGATCTTATATTACCATGATTTGTCGCCTCTAGCTTCTAGATTAAAATTTATAATAAATTGCAATATATTAATTTTCTGATGTGCCTTTGAATGTTGTTGGCCGTGTCGGTCATTTTTCAATATTTCAACTGGATGAAGCTGCTCGGTTTGAATACTGTATCAGCTTGTTTAATGGACAGTGATATGATAATTTAAATCCAAGCTGACATTGAACAAGATTATCCTTGAAACAAATTAATTGCAAATTCAAGTATATTCTTGTGTTATTATTCATTGAGTTAATGTATCATTATTGATACAATTTAGAAAAGTTTAGCTTAAAGTGAGAACAAAAATAAGCAAAAACAAAATACATTGATTCATCTTGTTAAAAGGCTTTCAAGTGCACATAATTGAATGCTGTTAGTTGATTAAGATTGTCGATTCTGTAATACTTATCCATCAGGAAACACATTCATAATCATATATTGTATTTCTTAATATTTCCATGACATCTAATATCTCGTAATTTTCTCTTTCATAATAGGTCGATCAGATTATGAAGGAATATCGATTAAGAGCAATTAAATGTCATCCAGATAAAAAGCCGGAAGATGAACAAGCAACGCAAGAGTTTGAAAAGCTTCAAAGGGCCAAAGAAATATTAACTGACACCGAGAACCGTAAACAGTATGATAAATGGCTTGACTCTGGAATATCTCTTCCCTTTGAAAAATGGTTGAATATTTCACGAAATGTTCATACATCAATACATTGGATGAACCGACGTCTAACCAACCCCATGATCACATATCCAGAGGAAAACCAGCTTTGGAAGCCAAATCAATTTAAATGGGAACGAGATTATGATGATGAAGTTCTGAGGAAATTTCGCAATTATGAGCTTTAATGAAAATCAAGTTGACAATATTCCCTTTATGCAGCATTGTCAACAGGATAAATTATATGGCATGACAAAAATTGACGATTCCTAAAATGATTATCTCTACTGTATTAAAATATTGGAGTATTATAATCGCACAATTAAATATATCAACATTTCTCTCGCTTAATCTATTGTTGCTCACTCAGAAAATATGGTAAATAAAATATTATTCCCAATCACAGGGGAATCCAGTGGTTGTCACTCCAATCTGAGTGGATGATTTGTAAATGGAAACTTTATCTGAGATTTCATCTTTTCTCCATCAAAAAGTAGATGTGAAATTCAATAATGTAAACATTTGTAAATTCAATAGGAAAAGTTATATATTTAACAGTTGAAACTGATGAGTTGTGAATGACTGTGATGACGATGATAACAAAATTAATAAAATTAATAGCGAGATGCTTTAATTGGGTTGAAAAAATAAAATAAAAACCCAACTGAAATAAAGATCAAAATTAACGGCCAAATGAATGGAAGATGTTTTAAGTTGATGTTTGATTGTGCCTCCAATTTATCCTTTACAATCTTCAATCACTGGACCAATAAAGGGATCTGCAAGTTTTAGAAGGAAGGTTTCAAATTAAATTAGAAAACGCATGAATCTAGTTTTGATCATCATTCCTCCATTAGAGTTGGATGAAAGAAAAAGGAAAACAATTCATCAGTCTAATAAAATAGGATATTGGCGTGTTGAAGTCAACAATTATGAAAATATTGAGTGAAGATAAAAACAAAATTTAATGCTACGAAGTTATAGCAGGAGGGCGAGCGTAGGCTTTAGGAATGAATCCGTATTTACGTATTTTAGGAGCATAAGCCCAAAGCCAACCATCAACCTTTTGATTATTGTAATTAGCGTATATCCAATCGCCTCGTCTAACACTGAGATCATCTGGCGCTTGAGCTTTATAATCATATAACATAACCAATTCTGTTCCAAAGGGTCGACCTTCAATAACCGGTGTCATCAAGAGTTCACCACTATCCTCTTGAGATGGAGGTGGTGGAGGTGGACTGGGTGAATTGTGGTCAATTAAATTATCAAGTAAATGGTGTTGATGGTGATGGTGGTGGTGATGATGGTGATTATTATTAGGACGATGGTTACCAATAGATCCTGAGTTAACCTCACCACTTGCACTGCCACCTTCTCCTTCTCCACCGCAACCGCTGCCACTACCAGCCCCATTACCATTGGGTATACGGTTGATTGAGCTACATGAATTACCATTTGAGGTGGGTGCTGAAGAATTGGCTGCTTGTTGATGAACCATACTGGGATCTGAATAAGAAAAGTAAAAGAAGAGAAAATCATTAGTTAACTTTTTTCTTTCCTCTATCTTTGATTTCATTTTCCTCTCTTCTTTATCATCATTTCTCTCTCTCTCTCTTCTTTCTTCATTTAATTGCTTGTCTCGTCTTTTCGGATCGTTAATATGTTACTCCAGACACTTCTTCTCAGTTGATTTAATACATTAAACTTGAAAAAGGTTAAATTTTACATTCTGGGCGGACCAGTGCAGTTTTTAAGCAGCCGGCATGTTTCTTGATTGATACCATATTGTATATACACGATGAAGATGATGAAGGTTAATAAGATGAAGAATAATGGGCAAAGAAGAAAGAAAAAAAGATGATGGTGATAGGTATAAGTAAAGGAAAAGTCAAAGAGAGAAACGAATCGGTCTAAGATTAAGAGGTGAAAAAACATCATAGTCGATCTTTTGATTATATTTCTCAGTTATCTGGTAATTTTAAACTATGGTCAAGAAAAGAAAAGATAAAAACTAGACCAGCGGGAATCTTATTATGACCAGTATAAGGTACCAGATTAATAGTCTGAAGACAGACAGGGCAGATATGAAGGATGCTAAGAAGAGTTTTCCTTCTCTCACATACATTCTATCTAATTTTTTCATCTTCTTTTTCAGTTACAATCACACATAAATCTTTTTACAACCAACGCTACGATATTATCGAGAGAGAAGAGGAGAGAACCATGAGAAAGAGTGAGCAAGAAGAGAGAGAGAGAGAGAGAGAGAGAGAGAGAATAGCACGCTGGGATACACTCTTAATTACTTCTTCTTTCTAATCTTTAAGAAAGATTCTCCTACCGATATTTGACTTAAAATAACCTGCATAAACCTGAAGACACAGCGGTGAATAACTGTGAGACTGTAAAAAAATCTCACAAGAAGACAGGGTCAAGATTGGTTAGTAAACGGAGAACGGAGTTGACCTGCGTTTGTCTCCATCTCTTTAGTCTTTTCATGTTCAAGGTAACCAAAAGAAGCACTTGTTTCAAATCTGGGTAGCTAAGTGGGTGTTTAAACAAGATTCAAATATTGCAAAAAAGAGAGTAAAAGAACCAAAAAGAAGATGCTGAGAAGAGTAAAAAAATCAAAGATGGATACCTCTAAAACGTTCTGCACGCAAATCTGGTTGACCAAAAGTTAAAAACAATCATCCATAAAAAGAGTCATAATATATAAATAGTAAGTCATTTTGAATATCACTTAAATTAACTGAATAGATGGCAATGAAAAAACTCTTATATTTTCACGAAATTAAAACACAAAATTGTAAAATCAGAACTTTTTAAGCTGAAATAAATCGTCCAGCAACAGGTTAATTACAATAACATATAAATCTATTGATATCGCGGGTTTTTTAGGGAAAGAAGGAAAGTGCGCCATATTTAAATTGAGACAGACTGTTTCAAATTCAATGTTTTCAAATTGAAAATGTGTAGAAATGATTGGGATTGACTTGAAAAATGTGATATTGAAGATTTTAACAAATTAATTGGGTGAAGATCTGAACATTTGCTTACCTTGAATCATCTCAAAGGGACAGAGAAAAGCTGACGGAACGAAACCTTCTTGTCCATCAGATCTAACAATCCAAAACCAATCAGTATCCTCTTTATTTAGAACAGTCACTGATTCTCCTCTTTCAACACTTACATCATTCTCATCTCGAGCGATAAAAGTGAATAAAACAATATAATGACCAGACGGATCCTTGTGAAATGGTGAAACTTCAATGGATGGCGGCGCTGAGCTTACATGCAATAAATGATTGTCTTTGATTTCATCTTCAAGTAAACTATTAGAGTAATGATGATTAAGATGGCGATACTGAGTTTGATGATGATGATTGTGACTTTGATTGTTGTTATTTATATTCAAATTGTTGTTGATGTTGTTGTTATTAATGTTGTTGAGATTGTGAGCACTATTATTGACATGGTGATGCGATGTATTGTTCAGATATGTTTGATGGTGATTTATTTCATTAGGTGCATCATTTGTATTGCTTGTGTCCAAACCATTTCGATGACTTTTCTTGTGTTTAATATTTAAGGCTAGATCGGCTAAATGACTTCCAATGGGTGCACAATATGAGTGTGGTATAAAACCTTCTTGGTTATTTTCCGCAATCACATAGATCCATCCTTTCTCTTGGTACAGTATATTAACTATTTGGCCTCGTTTAACTTCAAGTTCATCATCAACACAGGGATTAAAATCATGTAAGACAACCATCTTTGAATCAGGTGACAAGCCATTTTCCTTTTCAATACCAACTCGGACCAATGTTTCAATTGAATTACTTCCAGTGATACGACCTAGAATTGGTTGACGAGTAGTTGGCTTGTCTATGTCTGTAAGTGTCAATTAAAATAAAAAATCAAGTGATTAGCATGATTGAAAATAAACAGCAAACAAGCAGATTGAAGAAAGGTGATGAGAAAGAGAGAGGCAGAGAGGGGAAAAGCAGACTTGTTGCGTTCAAAACAAAAACAAAACAAAAAACAAGTGAAAAATTTACTAACCTTTGGTCTTTTTATTTCGTCTTACACGAGCTGAGCACAGAAAGGCCATTTCCGGATCAGCCTCTATCGATGGTTAAACTAACACTGGTCGGTTATTAATGAGAAACAAATCAAAAAATATAAAATAAAGAAACGACTGAAACAATAAAAACCCCATAAGCTGAAAAAGTAAGAGAAAAACAGAGAGAGAAGGGGGAGATGGATTGAGTAGGAAAGTCAGAAGATGAAAAGTTTGGAATAAAAGTTGTTGCTTTGGTTCTTCTTTATCTTCCTAAAGTGAGTTTGGGATGAAGAAAAAAAAAGAAAAAGAGAAGATAGACAGAGGAAGATAGAATGATGAAAGAGGAAATGATGAGCAAAGAGAGATTGAAAGAGTAGGTTGAACTTGCCTAAGGCTTGTAAGATTGGAAGATTTACTGATGATCGTTCTCCTTTTCTCTTCTTTTTTTTCTTACCTTTTTCTTTTGTGTTCAGAGTCGTTGGTTAATATCAATAATCCAATGATAATTAATAAATTATGCTAATCATTTGAATACGTGCACAAACATATTAAAAATGAATGTTGATGGCGAGTTGCACAAGAAAAACCAAAACATAAAAATCTATATCCACATAACATGGTAAACAACAATGTAAACAAGAGATGAAATGAGAAATATTGAAACGATATGAGATTAATTGTTAATAACAGTCAAATTGGTTGCAATAAGTTTAGTTGATTTTGTAAAATTAAGAAAAATAAAAACTAAAAAGACTGAGAAATATTAAAATTGAGTCAAGTTTACATATGACTGTTAAAGATGGAAGCTGTTATTAAATTGTGAGGGTTGAAGATGGGTTAAAGCTGAGTAGGAGTTAGAAGCTGTTCGCCTCTCAAGATCATATTTTTTGGATGTTATTATCATCTTTATCTTTTCAGACTCTGTGGGCTTACTGGACGGACATTGTAAGTTAATTTATATTCATGATTGTGGTGAGATTGTCAATAATTTAAACCTACACCTTTATTGATTCAAAGTAATGTACTTATGCTTTATGCCTATGCTTTTACCTATGCTTGTGTTCAGCTCATGTATTGCTATTAATTTGTTTTTTATATTTCTTCTTATTCTTCTTATTATTGCCATTTTAATTAGCATTTGAATGAATTAATATTACGATACGTTCAATGCCCTAATGATAGCTAACAGAATAACATAATTGTATGTGTTGAGAATAATTGTTTACATTTTCACGAGAAAATAATCAACATTTGATTATGCTAATCAGGCAAAGCTCAGTTTGCTCATTCAAAGATTCAATATCTTCTCAATTATATTGTATTGATTTAATTTTAGTCTAATTTATTCATTTTATAATTATACAACAACGTATTTGCTTCATCATATTTGATACATTTTATTGGAAAATTACAATTTGTTTGTTACAATGTTTCATTTAAAAATTAGCTTCAATTTGATTCAAATTCAATTCAGATTAATGGGCTTGTCAATTGTCTGTCAAGTTCAAGACCAATGACCTAAACATCAATTAGCTAGAAAGGTACTGATGATGATAGCTCATGATTAATTCGAGGAGGAGGAAAATGATAATAAAGAGTCCATCTTTTATATTTTAATTTATGTAGATATGATTTTGCATGATACATTAATCATTAAAACAAATTTTCTATCATCATAATCATCATCAGCTTTTCTCATTATCAGCTTACCAAAAATATTAATATAAAAGCTTAAAAGCATGTATTCACATTGAAGAAACAATCTAGAGTTTGATTGTTACAGCTCTGCAAGTATTTCAAATAGCTTGGAATCTTTAACTCTAATAATTTAATCATTATTTTTAGAGAGTCGGAAAAAATGCTCAAAATCGACCATTCTAGTTATAATCAATTGTAATCTTGAGTTCAAACAATTGAATACACTTGAATGATTTTTGGATTTTCCAGAGCTTAAATCTTGAATTTTGCAATGTATTTCGTTGGATTTCATGATTCATAGCTAACGTATTCAGAAACCAATTGTTTATTTAACAAAATTTTCATCTACTCTCAATATTGCTCAGTTGTTCTTGAGATTTGCAAACAGTAACTCAAATACTATAAATAATTGCTCACTTTGATCAGATCGAAGTGTCTTCAACTATTAAAGATTGATTATTTAATAGAGTTTATTTGTTAAGCTTCGACTTCGATGCATCTAAAACTTTAAAGTTTTCCAGCCGTTTCCATATTTAATAATGGCTGATAAATAAATGAAATGCAAGATTTTAATTAATAATGAAAGACATAATAATATAAAATACAAAAAAGATGATCACAAAATATGGTTATAATTTGAGGCAGCCGATCTTTGTTCAGTTCCTTGGGAAATGTTTTTGTTTTTTGTTGTTGATCTTAAGGTTAACATTTGGGTATTCCTCAGTTGCAAGTCACTCAACCCAATTCATCAAATTTACATTCATTGTTAACCTTTTACAATTTATTCGATTATTGGTAACTTAACTTGTCACCAAGAATCGGAAATAAGAGGTCAAATGTTTGGTGATTGGATTGGTTGACTTTTTAGGGTCCACGAGAGTTCCAGCAGCAGGATATAATGCTTTACATCGGTCACTTGAAAATAAGAAGTCATCTTGTTTACAGACCATGTCACTTAATCCAGTAAATGCTTTCTCCATGAAATTATTCATTGCTTCTCTACCAGCTCCTTGACATTTTTCAGCAGTCATCCTGTTAAAGTGATTGAAATTGAAATAAAATTTGAATTAGAAACAGAAAATACAATTAAGAGTAAAAGTAAACTTTTCTGCATATTCATACAAAAAGATTTGATAAGTCTCGAAGCCTCCAAGACTGAAAACGATGAAAATGCGATAACTTACTCGAGTAAACAGTTTTGCCACCGATTGTATGAACAGCAAGTTAAATCAAGTCGATCATCGAAGTCTTCATGTTTGTTAACCTTGTCAATAGAGGCCTGGTAGGGTTGATTACATTTAGTCTTGTACTCATCTTTACCTAAAACATTTTCAGCAATACATGGAGAATGACGAAGGAATTCTGTTGATAATGAAAAGGAAGAAAGACGAAACAAGTTTTACTCCTAATTCAAGTAAATCGTAATATTGGAGTGGTGATGCAGTTAAACATATAAATCTCAAAACTTACCTGTTCTTAATTCACCAGGTTTACAAAATCTATCAATAGATTTCGAGAATTGATCGAGAACAAATTCAAACATTTCCTTTTGAATTGGAGTTCCACATTTTTCCATATGATCTTTGAAGCAGTTTACACCTTCCAATGAATTTCTATAGCCACAAAATTGAATATATCCAACATAAATTAATCAAAAAAACATATTAAAGATAGGATTAAGCTTCATTAAGGTTTATAGATGAAAAAAAGCTAAAACCTCTGAACCCGGGAAAGTGTTAAAATGGCAAAAGGGAAAATTATTAAAATCAGATGTCTCTACTTACGAGCAAATCTCATCAATTCCTCTTGAAGATGTAATCAATTTGTACGATTGTGAATCATTTGTATATCGATCAACCTTTTCAATACAATCTTGTAACTCTTTCATGTGACAATTAGCTTTGGGTCTTCTTCCTCTGAATTTGTTCTTCTTCTTGTCATTAGCACAACTAATCAAGGTAAGACAGAAAGCAATAACAATTGCTGCAACAAACACTTTCTTAAACATTTTGGATAAGTAACAATGAAATCAACTTGCAGCACGTATAGGTGTATCGAGATGTTTCCAAGTGAAAAGTTAATTGTAAAATGAGGTAAGTATTTCTAGTTTGATGACTGTCTACATTAATGATTTGATAGAGTAAGGAGGAATCTCTGACAATTAGGGTTGAAAAAAGGTGAGTCTAATTTAATACACAAGGTAAGATATTAAAGAAAAGCTGTTCTTACTTTCTCTATTTTTTTCTCTTCTTCAGCTAGAAATGATTGCCAACTAAAAATATCAACCTGTTTCTCGTACAATAAACAAATGTAATTACACTGGACACTTTGGAGTTTGGCAACAATAATAACCAATGTTAATCATCATTATCATCGTGACTCGTAATCACCACAAATAAACCGGTTATTTACGTAAATAGCCAAACTATTGCTGTGAAGTGTCCAACAACAATAATAATTATTCCTGTTTCTCTGTACTCTTCAACATGTCCTTAACACTTTGATTACTTTTTCTCGTCATTTTAGAATAGATTTATATTTTTAAACTCAAGTTAATCCTTTCCAATAGTTACTATTGAACACTATGAATTGGTCAATTGTTGATTATTAACCAACAGCAACAACGAGGCTTAATGCTTTTCAAAGGTAAAATTAAATTTTGGTTTCACTGTCAATAAATAATAATTTATGAAATGTCGTCTTCCTTAATAACATTATCAAGGACAATTTAATTTCCTTCACTTTGATTGATTTGTTGTCTTTATTGTTGATAGTGTTTTTTATGAACAATATTTAACTCTCAAATGTTTAATAAACCTTGATTGATTCATCATTTGGAAAGCAAATTGTCCATTGATTAACCATGACTCGATAGTCACCATATGTTAGACATACTGTGCAAGTATTTCCAATTTTCATCTTGTTTTTTTTGTGTAAAAAATAGTCAATTTGATCATTCCATTTGCATATTCAATTGAATAGATATAATTTACGAGAATTAACTCATACCAGTGATTCATTCCATGCCTGTGGCTGTTAGTTGATTGTCATTAAATGATAGTATTTCCTTGAAAATGATTGAAATCCAAAATTTTCACTTTATCTTGCTATTAACACTAACCAAAGGGAAAATAATGTCTCCATTGTTACATCGGATGTCTTGAATGAAAAAACATTTGAATCACAGTTAAACTTAATTGTCATTAATGTGTCTACGTTTTTGCATCATTATACACTTTTTATGACTATTTTTGCCATTATTTAAATTTATTAATGGCTAATTGTTAGATCAAAGTAACCAGAAAATTACGACCCGAAAACTTGAACCAACATTTAGTCTCATCTAAACTCGAACTAAAATATCCAAAGACTGAAATGATTTATTTTTACAATTTTAATGATTTTAGTTTCAAAATGGAATATCAAAATTATTTTAATTATTGTCTCAGATATTTATCAATAACATTGTTTTATCGTTTGTTTTGCTAACAAATGACATCAACTGATTGACTTTTTTACTGCGTACCTTTTCAATTTGAGTCTAGAAACAATTGTTTCATTGATTAAAATGAGCGAGTCTTCTTTAATTTTCAGATTTAGGTTTAGTAAATAGTTTTGTTCAGTAATTTACTTTATTCTGGTTGTTGGTTGATAACAATTTCAATTTGTTTATGAAATATTTTGCTAACAATTGAGTTAGTTAAATGAAATTGGTATAAGACCCCCAATCCATAGATTTTGCTTTCTAAACTGACTGTAAGATGTCGACACCTTATTGAATATTTTTCGCCCCAAATATCTTCTCATATTTTAAAACCTTCTTGACGGAATCTAATTTTGTATCATTAATTGGTTATTATTATTTACACTGATTTCTAATAATGTTTCTTCAATCAATTTTATAACCAAATCAAATCCTATTTTAATTATAGCCACCCTTTGCTGGCAAAAAAACTAATCCATTATTTATTTGTTACCTTCTACTTTGGTTAAAGCCTCAGTTATTTACTTCAAGGTTTAATCCTTCTTTTTAAAGGATCGGGATCAAATACCTGATCTGCTACCTTCACTATCAGCCATTTTTTGATTCTTAATGCAATCAAGCTTGCAATTAAGGTAAGATAATTAACAATTTAACTTTATTTGACACTTGTTTCATCTGCGATTGAATTTGAATTGCTCTCACCATTATTTATAGGTTTTATCTATTGTTTGTGATAATAGTTTATCCAAAGTTTCATCGAATACCGCTGTTTATTTCATTTTATTTTGTTTTCATTTTTCAGGCTAACCAATGTCTCAAGCGTCTTCGCATAAACTGCCAACTATGCTTTCTGAGGGTGGTGATGGTGATAATTGCAATAATGCCAACCTATTAGGATGTAATCTGAATGATGAAAACCCGCTCACTGGCAAAAGTAAAACATCTAATGACAATAATATCAAGTCAAGTGGAGAAACATCAAATAATTATGCATCTTTGACTGAAGCTGTTATTAGTAATAATAGCAGAGAAAGTAGTAACGCGGATAGTGATAAAGATTGGGTTTCTTGTGAGGATACACAAGAAACAGGTGACTCGAGTCGGAGTGGTGGAGAAGAACGATCTCCTGTTAGTGAACTGTCTTGTGGAAGTTCATTTTCAAATGCAAGTGAAGATAAGTGGACACCTATCTCAGGTCCAATGCAATGGATTCAACAGCAAATTTGTCAAGGAACCGATCCAAGAGAGGTTTTACGTGAGGTTTTACCTGAAACCTTAGATCATTTGCCTCCACGAGTTGACAATTTAGTCCTTTGGAAGATTCTACTTAATTTATTTGCTGAGCCTCCACAACGGAAGAAGCAACCACACGTCAATACACTTGATGACGTTGTTGAATTAATTAAAAAATGTAAAAATATTATTGTTTTGACTGGTGCTGGTGTCTCAGTATCCTGTGGAATACCTGATTTTCGATCTGCAAATGGTATCTATGCTAGATTGATAGAAATATTTCCCGAACTTCCAGATCCCCAAGCAATGTTTGACATTGAATATTTTCGTGACGATCCAAGACCTTTCTTTAAATTTGCCAAGGAAATTTATCCTGGACAATTTCAACCTTCAATAGCTCATAAATTTATTAAACTCATCGAAGACAAGGGTAAATTGCTGCGAAATTACACTCAAAATATCGATACTTTAGAAAAAGCTGCTGGAATTGAGAAAGTTATTACTTGTCATGGATCCTTTGCTACAGCAACATGTACGGTATGTGGATATAAAACAAATTCAGACGCTATCAAAGAGGATATATTTGCACAGCGATTACCATTGTGTCCCAAATGTCCTGAAGACGCTGATCCTACACCTGTTATTAAACCTGACATTGTTTTCTTTGGTGAAAGCCTGTCGAGTGAGTTTCATGACTCAATGGCTATGGACAAAGATAAATGTGATTTACTCATTGTGATGGGCTCATCATTGAAAGTACGACCAGTAGCTTTAATTCCAACTGCAATCCCTCCCGAAGTACCTCGTATATTAATCAACAGAGAATCTTTGAAACACATTTGTTTCGACGTTGAATTACTTGGTGATTGTGACGATGTGGTACAACAAATATGTCGTAAAATTGGTGGAGACTGGCTTTCTATATGTAAAGAAGAACCTAATAATGCATCCGCTGATAAAAAAGAAGGAACCTCAAATGGTACAAATAAAAATAGTGATATAGACTCATTCGAGTCAAATTCTGATTCTTCTAAATCATCACCTCCAATTTCACCAGTGGGCCCAGTTAAAGAGGAATCAGCTTCAATGTTATCAATGCCTGATGATGATTCAATGGAAGCTGGACCAAGTCATGCCTCTCATAAATACCTATCTTAGATTAACCCTGGTTAGGTTTTTATCATGTCTCCTTTCTATCTCTCTAATTTCATTTCATTTAACTCTACCAATACAAACTTCACTTTCTTGAAATTAATTATATTGATACGTTTCATCATCGCCATCAATAATTTGAATGAAAGTTTATCATAAAAAGTTCAATACACCATCTTTTCATCACTGGTCCGATTCAAACAATAAATTCTGTTTCCAATTCATTTTAAATATCGACGTTGATGGCTAATGGACATTCAAGACAAAAGATAAACTTTTTTATTCAATCATTTGTGACCAGCTGAAAAACAGCCATTCTAATGTTCTGTGTACAATCTAAACATGAACATGCTCTATTATGAGTTACATGCATTTTCTTTTGAATATTTCACATACACTGTTCTCATTTTTCCAAATCGCCTGAGTTTTACCTGATCCAGCTATAAGTTGCTCTCTCACACACACACAAGCAAGCAAACCGTACAAATCAATTCAAAAAGTACCGAGACCACTTTTTATCGCTATTTCTATTCCAATTGGCCTTGTTTTCGGATTAAATCAAAACTTCAGTTGGATGTAACTTTTGATTAAGCATCATCATTATCAATTCAATTTATCATCAACAATTATCTCATCAACTCAACATGACCCAATGGTAGAGAAACATCATTGATTCATCCTCGATCTTCATTTTTGAATATCAACCTAATTATACCGATGGGTTGAATTTTATCCCAAGATACTCTGGATACTTTCTATTATTTAAACACAAAGAATACTTCTTCCATTTAATATCTAAAATCCTCGGGCTTATTTGAAACCAAATTTTTCCTCTTAAAGTATATAATTTTGATTAACGGGATATGAAAGATCTCGTTAAATTTTATCCTAAATTATTATTACTATTCTTCAAGCCTGTTTCAATTATTCTTTCCACTGTTTGGCCAAATAATCGATCTTAACATTTAGGCCTTTTTGTGGATGAAAGGATAATAACTTACAATCTTTGTTTAAACAGAATTGTCAAACTTTTTAAATCTTGAAATACAAAGTTGAAACAACACTGTTGTTTAATTGAATTGACTCTTCATAAAATAATGAAGTAATCATTAATATTATGTATCAAACACAAAATTCGAAAAAAATCTTGTAAAAATAATAAAGAGTAGCAAATCGTTGTTGTATCGCTACTATTGTTGTTACAAACTCCGTCTCAAATCATTTTTTTATCTAAATATCAGTATAATTGACCAAAACTGAATTTCAGGTATATTTACTTAGAGCGTGCGACTCGCCCAGAGCCTAATTATACTAAAAAAATAGCTTATTCATTTTTTAATCATGAAAATATACTAAAAGAATGCTTCGAGAAATTTAGTCTCATTTGATGTTAGATAAAAATCGGGAAAAACTATCATTCAGTTCCACAGAGTCGACAAGTTGTCAATTTATTGATAGCGAGAATTTTTATCTATTATCTAATAAAACTGAAAATTCCCAGGAAAATATAAAAATATGAGTAGATCTTGATTGTGATTATATACCAAATTCAAAAGTTTAGTTTATAGTTTAGTTACATTATTTACATACATTACCAGGATAGTTTAATGACATTGATGGTATCATTTGAACAATTGAGTCTATCAAATATTAAGATCGCAACTAAAAAATAAGATAACTATTCAATTTGATCCGAACAAGATTCTTAGACAATCGAATGACTATTAAAATTAGTTTACTGATGTAAAATTTAATGCTTTTCGGAATTAAAACGAGATGTTTATCAAAAACTTGAATCTTTATTGAATGACATTAATAGACTTCGCGTTAACGCAGTCAACCAAATTATTCACGAAAAAAGGAGGTTCTAATTAGACAATCAAGATTTAGTGTTAAGAAATTTTCTATTAAATATTTATTTACTTTTATTTAGTAATAACTTCGATGTTTAAAACTTAACTAACAATTGTAAGACACTAATTAATGAATAGATCTGACCTTATTTAATCTTAAAATCATAGTGTCTTTCATTTAATTCATAATATTATGTTTTTGATCAATACTTATTTAGTGTTAACTTTTTTCGTAAATTTGGTTTACAGTTTGGCATCGGATAGTTCCAATTCTTGGCATTTGGTTGAAACTTTCACCAAACATTGGTTAGCTAATTGGACTCAAGAGACTGAACTTAAATATGGTTCCATATTACTTGAAAGCAACATTTCCTCCCAGTGTTACAACTCAATTAGACAATATATGACAAAATTGAAATCATTTGATCCAAACGCTGTTCAAAGTAAGTTACACACTTTTTCACTTTTAGTAAGGTTGTCAGTAAAAATTTTTAACCACTTTCTAGTGTTCGATTCTTCTGGAAAGATTCCTTCTGGTCTTCTTCAAGGTTCATGGACAGATTTAGGAGCTTTCGATGAATGTTTGGCACTTCCATCCAGTCAATATTGTCTCGTATACAGCAAAATTCCGCTAATCTGGTCCCGAAAATATGAAGGATTTTTCCATCCAAGCAATCAGCAGTTGTACAATCATGATTCTAATCCAACTTTCCACCGATTAATCTCGCAATATGGCCATTACTTTCTTCAAATGAACATAACGACTGGAATATGTCTTCCTTTGGGTTGTTCAGTGGATGAACTTCGTTTATTACTCATCTCTGGTCTTTCTAGTCATAACTCAGGATTACAATTTGATGTGGATTCATGTCAAACTCATTCCTATCCAGTGCCATGGAAGAAACATGAAATAATTGCTGCCTCTATTTTGTTAGGTGTTGTTATTGCCAACATTATCGGTTCGTTTACTTCATCCGTGCCAATCTTGCGATTTTTCGATGTCCCATCAAATTTAGATAAAGTATTATCATCTCCTCAACATACGCCGTTTCCCTGTCTTGGTGGAATCAAAAGTTTAACCATGATCTACCTAATTTGTGGTCATGTTGTTTGGGGTTTACTATTCAATAGTTTTGATAATCTATTTGCTCTTCCATCTACTCTGGTCAATCCGTTGGGACTTTCAGTGCTTCTTGGTCCAGACACTGTTGAAACCTTTTTCCTAGTCAATGGTTTGGAAATGATGACTCTGTTTCTCACTAAATCACCGTCATCATTATCATCTTCACCTAATTTTCCCCTTACAATTTTCTTGTTGCTTCGTTGGTTTCGTTTCGCTATTACTGTTGGTTGGTTCATTTGTATCAACATCATTGTCTTCTCAGATCATTTTAGAGTCGCTTTTGGTGGACCTTTCTGGCATCACCTTCAATCAGCGGCATCAATCTCATCAACTTGCGCTTCTACCTGGCTTAATCATCTCTTTTTAATTTCTCATTACTTTAATTCACCTGAAAACTGGAATACATGTTTGTTAGCTGATTGGTATCTAGAAGTCGATTTCATCTACGTTATACTCTTCATCTTCTTCATAACTCCATTTCTAGGAAACAAAACATTCAAACCAATTTTAAATTCAACTCTAATCATCTTGGTAGGAACCTTAATTACCGCAATAATCACGATTGTCTATGATGTTCAAACTTCTTGGCTTCCAACTAATTTTGTTTCAAACCAATTTGCAAAGTATCTTGTTTACATTCACTCAAAGCCTTGGGCTCATTTGAGTCCATATTTTTTCGGTGTTATTCAGGCTTTTGCTATGAACTCGGATAAACCCAAAATCAATAAGGTAAGAACCCTAAAAACTCTAAACGACAATAATGTTACGATCACATAACATTTAGCTGATTTTTCAATCTAAAAGCACACAAAACACATACAAAAAACTCGAAATTGTTAGCTCTAACAGTCTCTATTACTCATTACAGCAATTAATTGATGGCAATTAGAAAACTCATGCTTGACGCAAACAGAATCACGATAAAATCTAATAGTTATGCTCCAACAGCGTATTACTAACACTATTATTGCTGTTTTGTTACTAAAAAGACACAACTAACACAATTGAAACACTTTTGCACAAATTGACACAAATACTGAGAAACAAATGGCCAAAAACGGGTGGAAATTGATTTCTTTCATATTTAGACTATGTCAATGTGTAGAGGAATAAAAACTGAAGCCATTTGTGCGATTTAAAAGTTTCTCTGGTCAATGGTTTTCGAAAAAAAAGAGTTCAAACTTGAGACTTCGATCGCCTTTTTTACAATAATTGAGGCCGATTTTTTCGTGAAACGTATTTCCCCGTATGTAATTTTTAATGGCCAACCAGACAATGAACTTATTTTGAGAAATAAAATTTTCTTTTTTTCGAAAAACACGTAAGTTCGATTTTGAATTAAATCGACTTTTTACGATGACCATTTGAGTTAGAGAACTGAAACTTGTTATTCGTCGCTAAAAATTGTTTTGTCACATCATGTGTGCATTACTTTTTTTAGTTCATTGAAGATTCTCTTGATTTTGGCCATTAACCCAAAAACTTTGGACCTCAATAGTTCGAAAACGGCATCACCTAGAATCATCATTCTTTGGCGTAACATTAGATTTTATTATGGTTTATAACAAAATGTGAATGAAAACCGAAGTAATCTAAACTAGTTCATTTAATAATGAATATTCTTTTGACACATCATAAGTAACCAGTTATCTTTGATAACAAAGTCTCAAAACTGACAACCTAATAATAAAATGTTATAACTTTTTTCGTGGTTTCTTGAATCATCTAAAATTTCAATTTATCATAACCGTATGATAAAATCTAATGTTAGGTCAAAGAATGATGATTCTAGGTGATTCCGTTCTCGAACTATTGAGGTCCAAAGTTTTTGGGTTAATGGCCAAAATTTAGAGAACTTTCGATGAACTAAAAAAAGTAATGCACACATGATGTGACAAAACAATTTTTAGCGACGAATAACAAGTTTCAGTTCTCTAACTCAAATGGTCATCGAAAAAAGTCGATTTAATTCAAAATCGAACTTACGTGTTTTTCGAAAAAAAGAAAATTTTATTTCTCAAAGTAAGTGCATTATCTGGTTGGCCATTAAAAGTTACATACGGGGAAATACGTTTCACGAAAAAATCGGTCTCAATTATTGTAAAAAAGGCGATCGAAGTCTCAAATTTGAACTCGATCCTATCGAAAACTATTGACCAGAGAAACTTTTAAATCGCACAAATGGATTCACTTTCCATTTCTCTACAACGTAACAGTGTCTAAATTTGCAAGAAATTAATTCCCTCCCGTTTTTGACCATTTGTTTTTCAGTATTCTTGTCAATTTGTGCATAAATGTTACAATTGTGTTAGTTGTGTCTTTTCCTAACAATTTGTTGTTTTATTCTGAATACCTAAATCCAAGCTTTGCAGATTCATTAATTTGTTCAATATTTCTAACGACAGAAACTCATTCCCTTAGGATGGTTAATATTTTGGCTTTCTGTAGTCACGATAGACTCTTATGAGATTGTTACCAATATTAACCTTTTTACAGTAAAACGATCATTCGCAATCCTCTATGGTTCAACTTTTCGCCTGATCTGGTCACTCTTCGTCAGCTGGCTAATTTACGCCTCTCACTACTCTTTAACGTGGTCTTGGGTGAAGAAACTGCTCTCTTCCAAGTTTCTCGGTGTTTTATCTCGCTTCAATTTGAATGCACTTTTTGTCAATTTCCTAATTGTCCGATTTAATAATGCAACTCAAAGATCACTAATGAATCTTTCAATATCGACAATCCTATTCAGTTACAATATTCCGATCTTATTGCAAACATATTTTCTTTCCGCTGTGTTCACAATTCTGGTTGACAAACCAGTAACACGGATTATGATGGTTTCAATTAGGAAAAATTTCACGATCAATGACAATGATAAACAGAATCCAAAGTTACCATTGAATTTTGTTAAATAATACATCGTCAAAAGCATCATGAAAAGTTCAAAGCATCAATGACCCATCAGAACAATAAATTATGTGTTTTTATTCAAAATATTTACACTGATGGCTGATAGACAAACAAGATACAAGGACAAGGAAACAATTCTTCATAAAATCATGAATTAAATATAATTATGAGTGTATCAACTACAAAGACTTGTAAAATAATAACAAGTAGCGAATCGTTGTTGTATTGTTACTATTGTGGTTTGGAGTTTATTTTTAAATTCATAGCCATGTATCACTATGTTTGATTAAAACACTGAAAATTTAAGTAAATCGTCCGTTTTGGTTTAAAGACAATGAAAGCTATAAGATACAAGTTTCGACCTATTGATAACTACTCAAATGCATGTTTTGACCTCCGTGCCTGAGTTGACATTCTCTTCTTTGGATAAATTTTTTTAAAAAGTAAGATAGCTTGAGGTCCATAGAGAGGAAGTCAGGTAATTAGGGTTAATTGGCAATAATTCAGAGTCCAAGCTTTGTTAGAGTCACTAGTAAAGTTTAAGAGAAAAAAATTTGGGGATTTCTACACTTTTCAGGGCTGTAAAAAGACAATATTTTTGTGAATATTTGGCCTAATTTGATTTTTTTAAACGGATCTATTAAGGATATATAATGTTTTAACCAGAAAGGTCGCAATCAAACTTTTTTTCATAGCGAACCACAAAATATACCTCTTAGGGTACTTGATACCCTAATAGCAAACATAGGGTAAGGCAGAAAAAAAATATTTTATACATAAGTATTCTTGTAGAAAAATTGGTTTATAGTATATCTGGGTTGTATTATTTCCAAGACATTTTCAAATTTTATTGTAAGCTTTAATTTTCTTGCGATTTAGTGAGAAATGATTTGACTTTCCTTGGTTTTGAGAAATATTCAAATTTACCGCTACTACAACTCACTCTTGTTGATTTGGTTACAGCATACTTTAACGCCAACTCAGTAAACTGTATTAATTTTGTTGACTTGTCAGATTTGTCATGTTTAGTGTTATTTTTGTTGAATAAATTGAGCAATTACTTAATCATGGTGGTCAACAATTTAGTTTTGCTTGCTCTAATTAGTGTTCTTCCTAGTCTATCTTTTGGATTTTACATTGGAATTGATGCTCATGCACAGGAATGTTTCTTTGAAAGGGTAACAAGTGGTACTAAAATGGGTTTAATGTTTGAAGTAGTTGAAGGTGGATTCCTTGATATCGATGTTAAAATCACCGGTGAGTTTATCTATTATTTTATATCTGCAAGACTTTTTTCATTGATATTTTTTTCATCACATTAAACTATATAGGTCCTGATAATAAAGTTGTCCACCAAGAAGAGAGAGTTTCATCTGGTAAATACACTTTTGCAGCCCATATGGATGGCGTCTATCATTACTGCTTCAGCAATGCCATGTCTACTATGACTCCTAAGGCTGTTATGTTTTCTTTGGATATTGGTGAAGCACCGAAACCAGAGACACCAGACAATGATACCTCACACAATAAATTGGAGGATATGATTAAAGAACTTTCATCTGCTTTAATAAGCGTTAAACATGAACAAGAATATATGGCTGTTAGAGATAGGATTCATAGATCAATCAATGAATCAACTAATTCAAGGGTTGTTTTGTGGGCCTTTTTCGAAGCAATAGTTCTATCTGCTATGACTTTAGGACAAGTATTTTACCTCAAACGATTCTTCGAGGTAAGAAGGGTGGTTTAAAATTTTTTTTCTAATAAAAACGTGTTCCACGGTATCTAAGATCTTATTTTCAATTTTTACTCATCAATGCATTAAAAGTATTTAAATTTGAAAAATAAAATTTGATCATCTTTTTTGGGTGAAAAAATAGTTTATTCAACTTGTTCAATACATTGAGAAGGTAATGGCAGTGATTTCACTAAAGTTAAACAGCTTTCATACAGCTCATCATAAGCTTCATTCTTGCGAATCATGACCATAACACAGGGTCTTTTAACACCCATAGCAGCAGAAATGTCATAACGAAGAGGAACAAATGCAAATGGAATATCATTTTCTTCGCAAAGAACAGGTAAATGGCTGATCACATCAATTGGAGTTACATCGCCAGCAATGACAATGATACCTTTATCCCCCCGTCTAATTTGTTTTTGGACATTTTTTAAACCGGCCACAATTCCTTTCTTCTTTGCAGCTTTTTTGGTTAGTTTCAACAGCTTTTTGGTCATCTTTCTAGAAGCCATTGGCTTCGCAATAACTGAAACATAATTTAACTTGTCTTCATAGGCCAAATTCACAATGCTCGCTGGATCCGAGGTAGTATCACCATTCTCATCCAAGCGTGTTTTCTTTAAAGCTGATTCATCCTGAACTTCATCAGCTGTAGTTTCGGCTGGACGTTTCATTATTTGAAGTGGTCAACTAAAGTTAAATCACACAAAAAAATAAATTAAATCAAAGTCTACAATGAACTTAAACAAAAACAAATAAGATGGAAACCATGTGAGTTTGGAAATTTTACTGGAAAACCAATAGGCCACACTACATGCTCAGTTGCTATTAGCAACACGACCAAAAATCTTAAGTTTCCTTAGGATTACTCTAAATCCTCAATCGCTATACGGATATGTCAAACTTGATAAAACAGGTTCAATTGTTACGGATAGCTACTGATATTATTTAAACCATTTATCGATTTTAATAGTAAATCAATATTAAATTACAACAGTGGCGTCAAAATTCAATGATCACCGAAATTATGATTTATCTTGCGCCTTCCCATAATGGCGGTTGCTTCAAAAATTATTTTTAATGAAGATATATTGATTTTATTATAACAATTAAACAAAGCATAAGGATGCGACTGGTCGATGTATGTTAATTGAACATTCCAATTGCTTTATTTTTCATGTTTTTCTTATCTGGTTCTGTTGATACCCGAAATGTCATCAATTTTTGATCAACAATCTGACATCGACTTGACAAGTGTTCAAACAGGTCTCATTATAGTGATAGCAGTCATAGTTATAACTATTTTCATTTGGTGTTGTGTTTGCTGTATAATTTCAATGTGTAGTGGAGGTGCTGGAATAGATCAAGTGCGTTCATCCATGGTTTCTGTTTATCATTCATTATCAGCCGGAAAAAGATCAAACAGTTCAAATGTTCATTCGTCTCAACAATTAAATGATGAAGTTAGTCAACAAACTGGAGTTTTTTCAATCGCTTTGAACGACACCACACAAGGTCAAACTATTGACACTGCTGACAAAGAATCCAATCCAAGTGATTTAACAATGACTACATCAATGGAGACTGCTGGAAGATCATGTTTACGTCCTAAGCAAATGATTAAAATAAATAAAATGAAAAAATAACCATTGCTGTGTATAATAATCATGGAATGTATGAATTGCTTTGAAAAGATAGACGAGTGAAAGTGTTTGTGATGCAAATAAATTAAACATTTTGATTATAAAACAATCACAAGGCTTGAGACAATTAATGGCAGCTAAAGACTGATATTACATCAACGGGAAGGATAACTCTTCTTTAATTTCAGGTGCATCAATACAATTCCACCATCACAGTAACCAAATCAACGAATTTATTCTTAAATTGAACACAAAACACAAAATTTAGATCAAACAAAACAACTCGATTATCATCACTGGTTGCTGTTTGATGAGATCAACTTACCCGTAATATGAATTCAGCATAAATCAACCCATTTAAATTTAAGACCAGAATGTTTGCTTTCAATGTAATAATCGAATACATGTAAATAAATGTTTAAGTTCCATTCGATAGCCAATTTTTTGAAAATCTTTAAACAACTTGGAGCAATTTGTAAATCGTTCAATGAATTGTTTCGGGATAGCTTCTGCAGGTAAAATTGATGGCTGTAGGAAATTCAGACGAGCCTGTTTTATTCAAATATTTTAATATTTTTTAAATTTCTTCTATTGTGAACATCAGATGAGATTGCTTCAAATTTAAAAGTAAAATGATTCAGAAGAAATTAGTCAAGTAAAATAATACAATTGATTCAAATCAAACGAAATTGACTAATAAGATTTTAGATTTGTAACTAATGAAGAAACGGCAATAGATTCATGAATTGAGATGAGATTCATAATTTACAATAAAAACATAGTTGACTGCTTTCATAAAGTTACTTTTTTTAAAAAAATAAATAATTTTGATTTAATTAATGGCATCCACAGGATTTAACGACCATATTCCTATACTTTTTGAGGATAACATTAGAATTATCATCAAAATAGAGAACCATAATAGAAGTCAATTTGGTGGGCGCACAATTAGCTTTAGGCACTTTGTTTGGTTCCATTGTATGAACGAGTGTTTGAACTATGGCATGATTGGTGGCATTCATTTGAGCAGTGAGTGGGAAAGAACATTCGCCATCACAAAAGAATGCTGCATATCCATCGGGGGCAATTATCCAATCTTGCCACCCGAGATCTTTGAAGCTAACATATAAGCTCTTTTTTTGGCAACTGCGGCTTGAAACGAATTCCGTAAAATCTATAGAATAAAATTTAAATGAAATCTAGTAATCATTAAAATTAAATATTAACTATGCTAACTTACCATAATAAGGATTATGAGGTTTAAGAGCAGTCACTTCGTCACTACTTTTTGTATCTCTTTTTTTTCGATGCAGCAAATGGGATTGGCGTTCGAAGAAAGCAAGAACAAAAGGTCGCTTATCTTCAATAGGATCACTTAGCCCAATGTCCTTTGGGTCAAGCTCTTTACCTGAAATCAGATTGATGATTAGTTTTCATAATTGGCAAATGTGAATACAACTTACCAGTCGATAGCGAGAATACAGTCACATAAAGACCGAGATTGCTTAACGGATGATCAATCCATTCTTGAATGGCACCAGTGATATTAAACATTAGCCAGCCTTGTTTATAAGAAAAAGTTTTAGAATCTATCAAGCGAGATTGCCTGAAAACGGGATAAAATACATATTAATATATGATACAATTGATAAATCTCGTTTCACAAAGATAACTCACTGATTATCAAGATCAGTGATCATATCAATATTTATCTTGAGGAGATCAAATATTGCAGTTGAAGAACGAGTTGCGCCTAGGAACAATCGTAACTCAGCACTTAAGACTTTACTGCCTGGAGCTATTTCCCTTGTATCAAACCAGAGATCAGACTCTTCATCATGTCCAACATGCGTCACATGTATTGGAACTAAAAAGAAAGGAAAGGAAAAAGAAGAGAGAACAAATTAGTTATCACATAATCAAATCCCGCCAAAGTCAACATACATTTACTAACAAAGCTGACAATTACATCTGACTCGTTAAGAGCTTTAACACTTGTTCTTCTTAAAACTTCGCCTTCAACGATAACAGGATGAGAATCATCGCAATCAAGATTAGCCGTTTCTTCATTGAAAAACGATTGATACAAATTTTGAAGGTAAACGGATGAAAACAAATCTGTAACAGAGTAGAAAAGAAAAGAGAAGAAACAATTGGATGTAAATGATTGCAGAATAAAAAAAATAAGGTAAATTATGAATAGAACCAAACAACTATGTAAACTTGTTCATCATTCCACACCATGGGACATCACACAGAGATAAAGGTACGGATAAAGAAAGAACGAAGTATTTTCGTCGCCAAAGCATAAGAATCACAAAAATAAACATTAAAAAACACTTACCTTTTCTCTTTGGTTTTGGTCTATGATCTAATCCGAACAGATTGAGCATCTGATATTGAAGTTGCCGCTTTTCTGCGGCCGGTAGAAGCTTGTAAGCAATACTTTGATCATAACTGGCACCAGAAAGTTGCAATGCAAATAAAACTTCAATCAAATTAAAGACACCAATGAAAGACTTGATTGTAAATTTCATTGTAAATTCATCAAGCAAACGATATATCGAGTTTCGGCTTGACGTTTCATTATTTAAAGTAGTCAGCTAAAGTTAAATCACACAAAAAAATAAATTAAATAAAGGTCAACAATGAATTTCATTGAATGAAATTAAACAAAAACAAATAAGATGGAAACCATGTGAGTTTGGAAATTTTACTGGAAATTTCATGTCAATTTGGGTGCGCCACAGTGGCGACACTATTCGCTTGCTAGCGAACTACAAATGTGTATTATGATCAAATTCAATTTACAAGCTAAATTTTATACAACATACTTTATTTATATTTTAATACATTTTAAATTTGAGACCAGAATGTTTGCTTTCAATGTAATAATCGAATACATGTAAATAAATGTTTAAGTTCCGTTCGATAGCCAATTTTTGAAAATCTTTAAACAACATGAAGCAATTTGTAAATCGTTCAATCAATTGTTTCGGGATAGCTTCTGCAGGTAAAATTGATGGTTGTAGAGACTCTTTTCCTTTTTAACATATGCTTTAGTTATTTGGTCAATTAACTCACGTTCACTTTCACAATGTATAAACCTCAGAGTTACCAGATTTGCTAGTGACCTCGAATGAATGAGAAGTCGAAAAACAGATTAACCATTAGATGAGTGGGTGAAAGTGTTTGTGATGAAAATGAATCAAGCAACAGGAACTTTCCTCTTTGTCTTTGTAAATAAAATGTTCTCTTTCTGAGAATCAAGTTAAAATATATTCCATTTTTTCGACCAAATTAACAAAATTACCAGTGTAAATCAGCTTGGAAAACGATTCATCTGTAACAGAGTAAAATTATTATTAACATTTATAGTCATTGACTTATTTACCATTTCATAACTTACTCAATAGAATCTCAGGAACAGAAAAAATCTCTAATAAAGAGTTTTGGTATTTTGTTTGACTCATCTCGTAAGCATTCTTGATTTTTTCAAGACTACTTGCAACTTTTTGTACAGTTGCAACATCGAATCTACGATTTTCAACAGAGGAACCTTTAAAAATGAGCAACATTCCAAAATTGGTTGTTCTGTTTGGATTTGTGTGTGTAAAAGATGGAATAATGGCTAAATCAGCAAACAATGAGGTTAGTAAATAGATTAATCCCACCATTAACCGAGATAAACAGGAGCTCATATGTAAAATTAGAATATCAGTTGACTTGAGACATTCAATTGAGGCAATCAATTGTGTAAGAATACTTTTAATAACATCCTGTTCTTGTAGTATAATTGTTAACGATTTAGAGCATTTTGCAGTTGAAATTTCTGTCAAATGACTACTATATGGATCAATGATGACAAAATTTCTACCTTCAGATGAATACTTGCTCGTTTCACCTCTAACAATCATTCTTGATTCCAGATGACGAAACTTATTGGAAATTAAAGAAGAAATCGCACTCAATTCAGGTCCTAAAATGTATTTGAATTGTGTGGCATCATCAGATAATACGTGAGTTATCAAAGAGTTGAATCTGTCCAAAGTTTTTTTGTTAGCGGCTGAAGATGCGATTTCTGTAGCCGGCATACAATCACTAGAGTCAGTAACCAAATTATAAAGATGAAGTAAATATTTGTCCACAAATTTTGAATTTGTAATCCTATTGAATCCAGAGCCAAACGTAAGTTTCATCTTTGATATATCAACTGGACTAATGGTTGACCAACGATTCAAAATATTTTCTGCTTCATCACGGTCGTATAAATTTTTGAGAATTACAGTAATTCTTTCAAAACTGATTTGTTCATCTTGTTTACGTTTTTCGTAGCTTTCTTGGCTACATACTGCGTTCAAAAGAGCATATAAATAATATTTGAACATACATAAGTGCTTAAAATCCAAATCTTGACCAGAAGTTAGTCGAAATCTATCAGAAACTGTGAAAGTATGATATCTCTTCAAGTAAATCCGAGTGATGGCCTTTTTGGTTTTATTAAGAGAAAGGTAAATTTTCTCCCTTTGAGGATCATTATAAATGTCTAAGTTCCGTTCGATAGCCAATTTTTGAAAATCTTTAAACAACTTGGAACATTCTGTAAATTGATCAATGAATTGTTTCGGAATAATTGTTGCAGGTAAAATTGATGATTGTAAAGACTCCTTTCCTTTTTGAATGTATGTTTTAGTCAGTTGGTCAATTAAATCACGTTTACTTTCATGTAGCTTGATACACACGGCATAAACCTCAGAATTACCAGATTTACTAGTGACCGGTTTGAAGAATGAAACCTCGGAAAACAGATTAGTCATTAGATAGGTGAGTGAAAGTGTCTGCGATGAGAATAAATTAAACATTTTGACAATAAAACTACCACCAGCCTTGAGACAATTAATGGCAGCTAAAAACTGATGCAATATCAACGGGAAAGATAACTCTTCTTGAATTTCAGGTGCATCGATACAATTGATGCCACCATCCCCAGTAACCAAATCAACTGGTTTATTTCTAAATTTATCAATAATACTTTGCAAAAATGCCACATCTAACAAGTCGCCGCGATTATCATCACCAAAAAACCAATGATCATAGAATTTCACATGCTTGATGAATCTATCATCGCCAATTGCTGTTTTGATTGCATCAACTTGCTCGTAATATGGATTTAGTGTTGAAGCAGCCCAGTTAAATTTGAGACCAGGATGTTTGCCTTGAATGTAATAATTGACTGCATGTACAAATGAGCCTGGAGCTTCGCACAGAAACAACGCATTCACTTCATTGAGATCTTTTTTAGATTCACTTTCTAAATCCAACACTGGAAAAGACGTGATAATCTCTGTTAATTTGCACCATGCTCGAGTTAATAGTTCATTCTGAATCTTATCACGAATTTCTTTGAGCACAAAAGATGTTAAATCAGTTCGATTGGTATGTTTATTCCAGGAGATTAAATCCTTATCATCTAAAAGAGTTCGAGTGCAATCTAGATCATGTCTAAACAATGAACCACAACGAAATTCCCATGGCGGCCAAGTCAAGAAATCATCGAGATTCTCCAATGTATCCAAATTTTTAAGATTAAAAGTGAATCTTTTATCAAAAAGTTGATCGATGTTAGTCGCGTAATCCATATCATGAAGTGAAATGAGACTGCTATTATCAAAAGTCACAAAACTGAAAGAAAATAAAAAAAAGTTAAAGCATGAATGCATAATGTCATAAGACTTTAAGTTTATAATCTTGTTCATTAGATTAGATACATACTCACGTTAATTAAACTCTTCCAAGTTATCAACCCATAACACATAATCAGGTCTGCATAAAATATTCAGGACGAACGAGTTTTCCAATATTAAAATACTGTTTACTTTAGTAACTAGAGTAATTTTTCACAAAAATGGCTATTCTTACTACAAACATGTGAAATCCTAACCGTGAAAATAACTGCATCATTAAAAAAATTCAAAAATTGAATGATAAAAATACTTTTACAGCGGATAATTTTATTAATTATTTATGATTCTTTTCTTTTCAGATTTATATTGAATCATGCATTAAACAACAGTATCTCAGCCAAAAAGTATAAAAAATAGCAAAAGTAAAAAATTTACAGATTAGCAAAATTATTTAAATATTAAATCACAGTTAATAATGAAAATATTGATCGCTAGAGTCAGTGTCGTTTCTATTTAAAAATATTCAGTATTAATAAAATTGTGACTTCATGTTCTGAATGGCGATGAAGTTTAAAGGATTTGTTTAATGGCATTCATTGATGAATTTTACTTTGAATAAATGATTTTGTTGAAAGTTCATCTCAAATTGCTAATGCTAGAAAAACATGATTATTTGAAGAGCTTTGTAAATTGTGAACATTGAACTTGAGTGAGAGTTAAAGTTAGCAATAGTCGATCATAAACGAGGTAAGATTTCGGGCAATTGGTTGAGTAAAAAACGTGAAGATTAAAAACTTTGTTCCTAATCAAATTATCTATATTTTATCTTTGATTCCTTCTTTCAGCTTTTTCTTGTGAATGCTTAAGAAAACTTCCTTTTCGATTGTAATCGGTTCCATGTCAAGATGTTTATGAATAAAGCTTAATGAAAGCGCTGAAGTTAAATCATGTGCGGTAAAAAAATTACGAGATGAATTGGCACCAATCATGGCCCGGACAGCCCAAGGCATAACAAATGGAATATCAGTTTGGTTGTAATGAACTGTGTTCTTGATTGTGACCACTTTTCGCTCAATTTTATTGGCTTCGATATCATTTGTTTCCCCATCGTCTGAACCTTTGGAGCTCTTGTCATGATGATTTCCACGGAGACTAGAAAACTCGCCTGGATGATCAAAACTGTTAACTTGGAGAAGCTGTTTGATGGCTCGAAGGTTGGCCTTTGTGTGAAAAGATTGAGTATTAATAAATAAAACTGGTTGAGTGACCATTTCAAAGTTTTCCTTGTGAATCGGGTACATCCAGGCATCTAAGCAAACGCCTACTTTGAAACGTAGCTCAGTGGAAAGTGTCATCAGTGTTGTTGCACCACCAAATGAGTGTCCCATTATTACGGCAGAATCTATGTCGATGAGATTTTCAAACTCAGTAGGATCTAGCATGGGATCTAGAAGATTTTGTACTTCATATCCAGCATTAAGCGCTTCCAATAGATCTAGTGTTCTGATGCATTCTTTAACTCTCCGATGAATTTGTTTATTTCTCAAATTATATCGACCTTCTTTGATGGGTAAATAGGGAATCCAGTCCGTTGTTATGTGAGGAATTATAGCTGAATTAGACAGCGCTTTTGGAGGCAAGTAATTTGGATCATCGATTTCATCATAACCCTCTTCTTCGTCGTCAGTAAATTTGAGAGGTCCATCAACTGAATTTATGTTCATGTTTGAACCTGACATTGGCATCCGAGTTTCCTTGGCAAAGAAAGTACAGCAAGCTGATCCATCTCGATGTTCAACAGCTAAAAAATATCAAAGAGAAATAATAAAATATAAATTTTTGGTCAAAAATTTGAAATCAAAAAAGATCATTCCATTATAATTGGCCTTCAAAAAGTTAATGCACTTCATGTCTATTGTTAAATAAAGGAAAATACTACAAAGACCATTAAAAAGTGAAGGTTGTAATTTTAGACTGAAAAAAGTAGGAAAAGTAAATGTTTGCTGTAACAAAGCGCAAATACTTTGATAATTTTACGTCTTTTATAACCAAATTGAATATTTTTCATCTTGTTAATGAACTATGAGTAGGTTAAAATAATTTCTTACCCGCAACTATGAATCCATGAGAAGCCAGATCGAGACATAAAGCTGAATAGCTCGACCGACAAGCTCCTACTCCATGTGAAAACACAATTAATGGCATTTTTCGATCTTTCATTGGCTTCGCCTTGGGTAGGGCTGGAATGAAAACATCCCCAGTGTACCATCTTAAAATTTTTTTGAAAGGTGACCAGTTAATACCACCGACAGACATTAATCCTTCCCGATAATTTTCATGAGGTAGCCAATTTGGCCACATTAAATGTTGACTTTTAATGGGTACAGTATCAGCTGCTGGATAGTAAAGTCTCACCATTATACCAGATATCCGAGAAAATCCAATCATTATATCACGAAAGCCAACATTCTGATATGGTCCTGTAGGCAATGGGATATGGCGACGACCATTGGTGGTTAAACAACGATCACGGGTAACTTTTATTGTTTTAGTCATGTTTCTGATTACTTTGGAGGCCAGTTTTTAGGCAGTTTATCACAAATGGCAGATTTTAAATGAAACAAACTATGAATATCACTCAAGCTTTTAGTAAACTAAAATGAGTCGAAAGTGAGTGACAAAAATAAAAGGGGAAAATAGAGATAGTTATTATTAGACAATTACCAAAGTATATTGATATTTGCACTGAATGCTTGGATAAAGCGTTGAAAAGGATGGGTTGATTTGCAAAAGTGAAATCACTCAAAAAAAATGGAAAGTGAGATAAATAAGGTTACCAAGACATGGTTTACTTTTAAGTTTACAATAACAGCTCCAAAGCAACTGCAGAGATGAACAAGACAAGTTAGAAGTTGTTCTTGATGATAAAGTGGTTTCTAATGAAGATAATAATGGAGGCCCGAGTGAGTACAAATAAATCTTTAAATGAACTGCAAGTATGAAATTTGAAAAGTACTGGACTATAAGATAAAAGGGATCTGAGATTCGTGTTTAACCCAAATTTGACAGCTGCTTTGACCACCAAAAAACACCAAACATAAAACACAATCAAGATAACATGACTATACAATCTTAAATAATTATCTTCAAGATGAACAATAGTTTAAATCATTTGCTGTTTCTCACTTTTTGACAAATTTGTTTCACAAGCTTGGAATGAAGTAAATTGAAAATATGAAATAATATGAAAAGGGATGATAATAAGTGGCATAACTAACTGATAAAAGGTTGTTCATATTCAAACAGAAGATTCAGACAAAAGGTGAGAGAAAAAAGGTTGACAAAACAAAACATAAAACTCACCTTAGAATTGCATCATTTGATATTCAAAGATTTCAGCTGAAGAGTACATAGACATGGTTGAAGTATGGAATTTGTTGACTAAAGAGTAAGAGCTAATAAACAACGATAAACAACTGGTTAAACTGATGAGATGGTAATGATGAGATAAACTCCTTATTATGGATTTAAGCAGCTTTTCAGTTCAGAATAGCTGTTGGCAGGGTGTATTTAAAATTTCTATTTAATTTACAACCATTATGATAATTAACTTCCTACTGGTTATTATCTGGACAAGATAGTCTGAATAATGTAAAACTGATTAACAAATTATAAGCAAAAATTCAACAACACATTGTAAACAATAACCCATCACCTATTGAGCTTCCTTCGCATCATATGTTTTGGACTGCTAAGACCTCTCTCTCTGTTTGGCTTCAAATCCAATGTTTGTCTGTTTGGTTACACATGTAAATATTTTCGGTAGCGTAATAAACCCATTAATCTTTGAGCTATTTATATTCATAGCGTTATTCATTCTAGCGAAATGTCTTAAAATTTACAGTTTAGTTCAATGATCAAATTTAAAGACCATTAACAGAGTATTGTTTTCATTAAATTAAATTAAAGTTACCGGTGCAAAGTTTTAATAAGAAAAACATGAGTAAATTGGGATTTGATTGAATCACGATTCGAATCAATTCAACTTGGTTGTAAAACAATGAAATTTATGTAAAATAGTTTGTAATTGTGTAAGTTGAAAAGTAAACCTGTTTTAATAAATAAACTGACCGGTGCAAATTGAGTTGATTACCAATGAAGCAAATAGAGTAACTTTCTCGCCCAAATAAATCACAATTAATTTTCAAGTGATAATTAACCGTGTCATTTCCTAATCTGTTTTATCTTAATTGGGTGACCGTGATTGATTTTGTCCATGGAAACACCGCCTTGAACTATATTAGAGATTGATGTGATACTGAAAAAGAATAGTAAAATTTGAATGCTCATTGTGTTTGATAATGAGCACAAATTAGAGGAATCGGTATTGATTGCAAACAGAATAAAGCTTAATTTATTAAGTTAAATATGTATTTACACATCTTACAAGATTTAAAGATCACTGAGAGGACATCAAAATACAAAAGTTCACTTTTCTATTTTGATAATCATTGGACTGAATTTGGGTTAAAATTGCACAAAATCGCAGTTATAGTTTATCAATCCAACAATAATCAAGGTAGAAACAGTTTTCCGAGTTATTAAATCGATAATTTAACCGAAAGTGAAAGTATATTTTCCACCGAAATTTTGGAAATGGAAAGGATTAAAGCCATTGAATCCTTGATTGGCTTGCGATTCTGGGTCTAATGGATCTTCACCTGCATCAAATTTTCGTCTCTTTTCTGGATCAGTAAGAACTTCTTTGGCCGAAGCTATATCAATAAATTTCTTTTCCGCAGATTTTTTCTCGTCTCCTTGGAAATTATCAGGATGCCATTTTTGGGCTAATTTACGATAAGCTTTCAATATATCTTTCTTGTTCGCATTCCTAGGTAAAAAACGAATAAAAGATAATTAACAATTGTACAGACAGGTAGAAAAATTTAGCTCAAAATATTTTGAATATGATAAGTGCAGTGATTAATCTTTGATTAGCAAAATTACCTTCTGACTCCAAGAATTTTATAATAGTCTCTTGCTTGTCGTTGGCGGCCTTTAACAGCTTTCAAACCCTCTTGGGCTCTTTTAAGATCTGGTTCAATTTCACGGGCTCGCGCATAGTCCGATTGAGCTATAAAATATAAATTTTTCATTAAATAAACGAGTTTTCGCTAGAAATTTGAGCTTGAATTACCGTTTTCATAATCATCGTTGTTTAAATATGCATCAGCTCTATCACAGAGAGTAGCGGCATCATTTGGATCAAGTTCTAAAGCTTCAGTACAAACTTCTATGGCTTTTGTAGGGTTGTCGAGCTGTGGAAATAAAAATAAACCATAGTTATTAGAACAAAAATTACATCAAACCAAAAATGAAATGAACCACTTACCTTGGTAAGGCAATGACAAGATTTTTTCTTTATTAACTGTACAATATTCGTTACTCCTGATTCAACTTTAAGAGCTGCGTTGGACTTTTCAACACATTCAGCAAATTGTTCAGTTTGCGAGAAATCGTTCATTGATTTAAAATGACCAGCTAACTTTTTGACTTTTTTATAATGTTCCCAACAGTTTTTATGATCTGGATCAAGTTTAAGACATTCCCTGATGGTTGTCAGAGATTCTTCAACATCCCCAATTTCATAATGGAGTTTACTTAACTTTAAGTAGCCATCAGTGTTGTCTACTTTTAATTTAGTAGCTGCCCTTAAATCACTGATAGCGTTGAAATAATCAGCAACATTTTCAAAACATGTAGCTCTCATTTCTCGTAATTTGACATCCCATGGCAATTCGTGAATTAATTTTGTTATCACATCAATTGCCATAGGCCATGCACCGTCATCATAATACATGTAAGCAGTTTGTAGATCGTGTTTGATTGGTTCTATAGATGTATACAAACGTGTGGCTTCTTCATTATAAGGGTCATTACGCAAAACCCATTCAAGATCTATGTGAGCTTCATCAAGATATCCTTGCTTCATCAGAACTCCTCCACGTTGCAAACGCGCCGATAGAAAATCTGGCTTCAATTGAATGACTTGATTTAAATCTTCAAGAGCTGGTTTAGACTTTCCCAATGCCAGATATACTGTTGCTCTTTTGAAGTACGTTAGATAATTTTTAGGATCCGCCTCTGCAAAATTAAACAATGCAAGGATATGATGATTTGAAGTTGGACAGTGGAATCAAAAAATATATTCTTACCGACAGCAGCATGATAATGAGACAAAGCATCACTATATTGTCCTCTGGCTACCATTTGCTTCCCCAATTCGAGGTGGCTTTCAATTTCATCGCTGGATAGACTATCCAGACCTATTAAAATAAAGATTAAAGTGAAATATTCATTAGCAGATCTCTAACAAAATATGACCAACTCAAAAATGATTTTAAAAGACAACTATGAACACAACATAATGGTATCTAATGACAGCAACAATTAGTTGCTAAAAATTAAAATTTACTCACCATCGAAGCTATTTAAAATAAGAAGCATCCAGATAGACATCAAATTTGTATAACAAACTCTTTCGAGCAAAGTATTTATCACTGGTAATTGATATATATACATTTTGTCAGTATAATCAAATTAATGTTATGTTACATTCAATGTCCAAAGAGAAGTCCAGGTGATCAGAGACTGTATAACACTAATAAACACATCAACAGTCAGATCAATGAAGAAAACTGAAATCAAATGGGAAAAATTTAATTCATCGTCATTCAAATAAAAACAGCTTCTAGTTAGAGTTAAAAGAATTAAGCTCTTTAAGCTAAAACTTGACAACAAACTAGATATACATGTGTTGAACTGTGATTGGCTGTTTTGACAACAGGAAGAAGCGCCAAAATGAAAATATTTGAATTTTTTCTGGTTAATCTCAACCAGAATCTACTTTTCCTATCTAATTCAATACAAAAAGTATAATAAATATATAAATTTGAATTCTAATAAATTTTTAACAATAAGTATACTAAAATAAGAATGATATGTATGTTAATCAATTGTTAGAGTTCCTTTTATTAACTTTGTCTGGCCATATCAATGCAACAAAATTCATTTAAAGGGCGGTCCATGAGTAGGGTTTGATTTGTAAACGTTTAATTTTTAAACCACTCAATATTTAAGAATCTTATTTATGTTATCGGACTAATCACACTCTGAGGCTTCTGAGTCTTATTATTTCCAGTTTTTTGTTGCTTGAAAATTTTGGTTGCATTAATAAAATTATTAAAAATTACCTGCAAATCAATAAAATATGGTTTGAAATCCTACCAACAATTAATTTAACCCAGTTATTTAATACATCTAATAATATAACAGATTTTCCATCTAAAAAAAACAGTATTTTGAGCAGCTGAACATACTCATGTAAAAAGAATGAAATTATGCAGCATAGACTCAGATGACAAAAGATGTTTAATTTCAATGATAACTTTTTAAATGTCAGTTTTTTGAGCACTCAAGTACAATATTTGCAAAGAGCGTTGAAACCTCCATTAACTTTCGCACTCAAAATTTTTCAATAACGATGAATGAAATGACAAAAAATCAGATACATCAATGTTAATAAGTAAGTCATTTTATCCCCTCTGTACGCACTCAATATAACTGACGATTATGGAACTAATGTTGAATCTTAGCTTGTTAAATGACGATTATTAGGCCACTCAGGTATACTTTACCAATGTTTCAATCGATCCAAAATAGCCTAAATTTGGGTTAAAAGATAATAATTGTGATATTCTTGGTTGAAAGGATGTTTTATAAAGCTGTTTCAAACCAACAGTGACGTATTAAATAAGGGGATTTTTAATCAAGACAATGATTGAACAAATATTTGTTTATCATTTAATGTTGAATTATTACAAATGATTTGAATTTAAAAAAGGCTCAATTATCACAAATTGATAAAATAAGAAAAAAATAATAGTTGATTGAATTAAAAAATTTAAAGACGGCATTTTTTAACATGGTTGGTCTTTTTGCATTTGAAGGCTTCATTGAATGGAGCAAAATGTTTGACTATAAAATTGACTGGAGTTCTTTCAATTTTATCATTTGAACAGAACATCTGAAATTGAGAAAAAAAATAAAATTAATTGGATATTTTCAACAAGTTATCATAGATTGAAAAGTATAATCAGAAATCGATTTAAAGTGATTCTTATCCGGCAATAGAATAGGATCTTTCAAGAGTTTGCCAAAATTGAATAAATTTCATTCTGATGACAGATACAATTTTGAATGGTTTACCTGAGCATATGATATGAAGAATATTTGCTCCAGTGAAAAGTTTTTAATATCTTTTGGTATCCTAACATCTCTTGAGTTTGCTACTAAATCATTGAATGCTTCAAATGAAATTCGCAATCCTTCAACATCACGAATAACTTGTTCCAATGATCTATTGTTTAAACCAACAATTGAATCATAAACATTATCAAAACACCTTGAATTAGTTTGATAATCGATAGACCCTTTCGTTGTCCACCAATTGCGTTTAGCACCGTTCTCATCAATCTCTGATCCTTGCAAATCAATGGCAGCAATAATGTCTCTACCGATTATTGAGCCAATTGCTCCATAATTGATTGGTAATGGTGCGTCGGAATTATAAATTGGTGTTTGTAAAAACCCAGGACTGTAGACTATAAATTGAAAAACACAAAAAACAATCGACAATTAAATAGTGAAATTAAACAAGAAAAAATCATCCGACTTACCTAATTTCAAGTTTTCTTGGTCAAAGAAGCTATCAACAGAAAGTATACCAGGAACATCGCTAAACAGAAAAAAATGAATTAAATCATCATGATTGCTGTTTTGTTGAGGGAATCAAAATGTGTTGCTCATTGTCAATGAACATACAAATTGATGATTGTAATGTACTTACGGGTTTGGTATTGGTTTGGTAAATTTCTGTCTCAATCGTCTTAATTCTTTATAAGTTTGTCCTGTAATTACATCTATTATACTTCCAAGATATTTACGATCAGAATAATCGGGAATGTCTGAATAATATTCTTCGACTTTATCCTTTTTGGCGATCCAATCATCATAACCTACCAAGCCTTCAATTTTTTCAAGCTACAGATGCAAAGAGAAACAAATATTAGAAAATGGATATTTTTATCATAATTGAGACAATTTGATCGAACCTTTCTCTTAATACGATTTTTCATCTCACGATCTTTATCGGCCATTGAGATAGTTTGCAAGTTATTGATTAAGTAGGTTTTAATTGTCTTCACAATTGTAGCCACTCTATTTCGCGAAGTCGAGTCAAAATATTTTTCAACATACAGTCGCTTTAATGCATGACTGTAATATTTAAATGTTGCTTGTAAACAATATTTTTCACGATTCACTTCATCAACAGGCAAATCATTTAAGTGTCCTCCATATTGGGAAACAAATTTCCAACCAATATACGTAGTAATTACTCTGCAAAAATAGTAAAATAATGTTAACATCTAATTGTTACCTGGAAACTTGTTTCAATAGTAACTTACTTGTTTGAGGTAGTCGATAATATTTCATCAAGTCTCTTATAATACGATTGGTGAGATAATAAGATGGGTTCAGTCTTGGATAAAGTAATATTAACGGTTCCAAAAATTTCTCTCAACACGAATTCCCATGGAATCTAAAATGAAGAAATTTGATAATAAGTAAATTGATTTTGAGATGTCTTAAAATTTTAAAGCTTACCTTTCGTTCAGGACTAGTTTCAATGAGCTCACCAAGACTCATATATTTATCTTCAGATTTATCCATCAATGCTGCTGAATAGGCTTTAGCAAGTTCCTTTTCAAACGCAACAACCTCGTCAATTAATTGGTTATTTAGCTGACCACGTTTTCGGCCCATTTTTTCAACCCAACCTCTTATTGATGCTTTGTAATCCTCAACTTTAGTATTGATGATATCAGTAGTATTATCGCTCTCTTTCAATGTGTCCCAAATGCTTGAGTATTCAGGCAGATCAATCTAATTGACACAAAAGAAAATTAAAAATAAGTGTTAATTCTGTGTCTGTACTTCAACTATGAAAATATAACAAACCTTTAAAATATATTTAGTTCTATATTTCGGGTTAACTATTACTGACATGCCAATGATCCAGTTGCCATTCCATTCAGTTCTAGCCTTAACATAGCTATCAGTCCAGTTAACAGAGGCCTTGACTAAATCTTCAGAGTCTGAACTTTCCGAATCTCCATTCTCAACATTAACTGTAGTTGTTTCCTCCTGGTTGCTCGAAATTAAAGGCCATCCTCCAATATCTTGTAACTCCTCATCAAGCCATTTAGCTGCATAATAAGGCGCTGATATGAAGTGATAAAAAAATACGGAAGATTAAGAATCGATTTGTAAAAAATAACCAACTAAAGCGTCTTACCTGCATCGAGACAGTTTTTATAAAAAGTGGAAGCAAGTTGAACAGGAACCGGACTGCGAACCAAACTTGTTCCTAATAGAGCTGTAAATTGAAATGAACAAAATCGAATTAATATAATTAAATCATCATTTAAAAACAATAAACTGGTAATTAACAGAAAAATAAAATCCGCTTATTTACGTTTTAAGAGGGAATAATTTCAACCATTGAGTAACAGCTAAAATTTTGAGAGCCAAATTCAATTTAGATTTTACTGATTTACATTTTTAATCTGTTCATTGTCATCATTTTATTTCACCTTGAAATCCAAATTTCAACCTTTCCATTATTATAAATCAGTCGCTAAAAGCTGGTTTCATCAATTGATTAACTAACTACTCGAGGAAAATTTTTAAGGTTATTTACTTTAGTAGAAAATTTCCAATCGATTTGAAAAACTCATTGTATTCTTCTCGATTAATTTGTCATTTATTTGCATTGACATCACCAAAATTCAAGAACAATAGATTCAGCAAATCAGTCAATCAATATTGAAAATGAATTGTTATGAGTAGGTGAAATCATCAACAATTTTTTAAAACAGAAACCAGAAGCATTAAGAAAAATCAGACTAACGCTGAACTAACCCTAACAACGATTGAAAGAAAGCTCAATTAAGGGAAAATTCATTCGATCTGATTAACATATTCGATACTCTAAATGAACTGATAATCAAAGGCTGAAATCAAGCCTGTTGACTGTTAGGAGTGAAATGATTTGATTGTTGGTATTGTAAAGAATGTAAAATTTGAATGAATCAATCTTTTCACAAGGTGATGGACAACATATTGTTGGCTTGACCAAATATATAATTTTTTTCAATATTGTTTGTCTTGTATTCAACCTTGATTGTTATCATTATTATTGCTATTAATGTTGTCATTTGATGCACTTAAACATGTTAGCCTTGACTAGTGAATCTTTATATACATTATTACCTGGATTTACAATTAACTATTGCTTACCACTCGAAAAGGTAAACCAAAAAATTGTCCCTCAACTATTATCATCAAATCTATTCATTAGTAAATTAAGAATAAAGCCTTAAAAATTGATTTAACCCTCTAGGTTTGTTATTAACATTTTCATCATAACACTGTACAGATTATTTCAATTCAACTAATAATATATTATTTGGGTATTGATTGTGGTTAATATTAGCAGTTAAACATGCGAAAGAGGAAAGATAAATTGAAAAATACAATTTTCAAGTCATTTTGTTATTCCAACTTCAATCCACCAACAATCGAATCAATTTTGATGCTGTAAGATTGATCAAGCCATGAGATAGAATCAGAATCTTTACCTTTACTAATTATCATTATCTAGACTAATTATTGAAATTGTCTCACAATGAATCACAACGTAAAAGTCAGTTAGTTGAGAGCAACCAGTTAAAAGTCACCAATCAGTTAATTTCAAACGGCTGCTTCAAGCAACTCTATTGATAAAGAATCAACATGTTTAAATATGAATTGATAGTTTAATTTAGCTGCTATTTTGATTATAAAAAATGTAAAACTAAAGCTGTAAACTGAAGCTATCAGCTAATTGAGATGAAAAAAATTGTTACAATAATCGATCAAGTTATTTAGATCGCAAGTGAATCCGGTTTTTGTGTATTTAAAAACTAAAGATTACACTTAATGCAACAAAGTACTGGCTATTGGATCAATTAGACTGTCCAGGCTATTTAAAGATCATCAAAGTCATCATTTTTCCACTCAATTTTTAATCAGTTAACTGGGTAAAGTTGCCTTCATTTTCAAGCGGACACTTTTCCTTGTCAGCTGACCAATTGAATAACCACCGAATAACCATTAAAATGATTTTGAACTTACTCTTAATTTGTTTAATTAAAGTTTCTTGCAGTTCATGTTTAACTGAATAATTCCTTGGCTTTTCCAGGATAATCCATTTACCACAGGCGAGTGAATAAAGATCATTACAAGCATCAGAATCTCTATCAAGATATTTTATCATTTGTTTACCTGCAAATAAAGGAAAAAATTAATATTCAGCAAAAAGGTTAATCAAAATTATGTAAATGATTGAAATCACAGTTGAATCGAGTTGGTAAAGGTTTAATTACAGTTAGATTCAGGTTTTTTGTCTCAAGATATTTCAATGGGTTTTTTTGTCTCGATCACTGATGATTAGCTTTTTGCTAATTGTGAGAAAGATTGATCAGTAAATCAGACTTGATTATTCGAGTATAATAAAAAACACTTATCCAATCAAGTGAAACGTATGACAATCAATTCACGGTTAAACCAACCATTAGTAATTTAGTTTAATCACTTTCTCTCCTTCCTTCCAAATCAAGTCCTAACAGTTTATTGGAGTTAAAGAGTGAAAATCCTCAACCACCCACAAATTATTACAGTTAACCCCATTAAAATTTGTCCATTATTTATTGATATCATTATGATTACGTATTTTTTTGTTTGTAAATTACATTTTCACTACAATTCAATAGTCATTTACAATCAAAAATGTCTAACGTTTTAAGACAATCAAAGGTTGTATTGTTTATAAATCATAACCTTAACCTTAGTCAAATATTAATCATAAACACTCCATCATTAAAAATTATCATTAAACATAGAAACTGATTTGAAATTGTTTAAAGTCAATAGTAAAAATAATTGATTGCAAGCTCAATTTAAATGTTAAACTTCCCTCAACCAGAAAAAAAAACATTGGGATGGACGTTCAGAAAAACTGGTTAAAATCTGGTTAATTCCTGGTAAACTTGGTCAATGTCATTTTTAATCGAGATTATGACGATTTAGATGATTGTGACGAAGTGAATTGCTAAATAGCTTTGAAGGAAAATGATTATAATTTACTGATTTTCTGTTTACATCTTCAATGTATGCTTCAAACACTTGTAATACCAAAGGCATTGCTTTAACCGCACAAGGCTTTTCTCGTTTTTTCACCAATAATTATCTTAACCATTTGTTGCTATTAAACAAAAATTGCTAATTCAATGTTTTTGCGATAGAAATGCTCAACAATTTATGACATGATTAAGCTAACTAAGATGACTTATCGACAAACATTCATAATACAGTTGTATAAGTGTTATGTACGGCTCTATTTGTGTTTACAACTCTAACTGACAATCAGTGATTACAAATTGATTGACTAAATTACAACCTGAAACTGGTTAAATTATTGAAAATGGTCAAACTTACCGGAAGCTTTACATCCTTCTGACCTGCAGATTCCTGTTAAAACACAGCACAAGAAAAGTGATATTAGTCCGAGGGAAATAAACGTTAATTATAATCAACTAACCTATCTTTTTATTCTCATTGCCCGATTTAGCGACTAATAATATGACCAGAAGTACTAAAACAAAAGTTGCAAAAATGGCATAAGCCCACTTTTTCCCCATTTTGATGGTGTCGAGTTTATTTTAAAACTTATATAAATGGATGGGAATATTAACACTACTTCAATATATCCAATAGTAGGGCACAGCAGATTAGTAGTTAATTAGTCCACAAATACATAGATTATATGAATTGGTTGATAAATTAATCCATTGTGAATGGTGAGTCGATTGGTGAACAAATCCGGTAACGCTGAATTGAACAAAATCAAAACAAGCCGATGTTAATATAAAATATAACTTTTCAAGACAATTCAGTAACTCTGGATACTGACTTTTTTCACATGAGTGTTAATCCAATTGGGTTGATGTTGGCGTGGTTCACAAATAATCAACAGGCAATGTGAAATGGGGAAAAAATAACAAAAGTTAGCTAATGGAGGTAATACAGAAAACGAAAAGATATCTTTAAGATGGACAGTAATTTTTCCTTATTGAAAGTGTGATTACCAGGTTGAGTCCATGATCAGCTTATACAAGTCAACTTTCTCTTCCCTTCTAAACAAGTTTGCTACTCAAGACTTGCGGGCATTCAATGGTTAATTAGGAAAAGAAGGAGAAGAAGATGAAAAAGAAAGAGAAGATTAAAGGTAGACAGAAAAGGAATAAAGAGTGAGAGAAGAGAAAGAAATAAACCAAGAAATAAGGTAAAGGCAAGATTAGTTAGTGTAAAAAAGAGAAGGAAAAAATTGAAAATCCATTGAAATTTCAGTTTGATTGACGGTGATTTTCATGATGATCACTACTAACCTTTCTTCACTTTGTCCCAATCATCATTTTATCATCTCTTTCTTTATTCTCTCTCTCCCTCTATCTCTGGTTATCGCGACTCGAGGAACGAGTTATCACCTTGTAATACGAGTTTCTGGAAACATTAACACAGGAAAGTAAAACCTAAATTCAAGATTGGAGGAAATAACTCAAAGACGAACACGATGGCTTAAGTGGAGTCAGTGTCACTGTTGGCTCAGCTGTTGTTGGTGAACACAGATTAAACAGAGAGATTGAAGCGTGAGTTATCCGTAAAAGGTTACTTTGCAAGTGTTTGAAATGAAATTTGTTTACGATCGATTCGTGTTGACACCAAATTTTAATAGCATTTTGTGGGTGAATGAGAAATGATCAAGTGAAGAGAGGGAAATGGAGAGAGAGGGAGGTTGAAAGAGAGAGAACGAAAGTTGAAGATAAAGTGATTTTGGGTTTACTTGTTGTTTGCTTGCAATTGGAGAAACTTGATTCGGCTTTGACCGGAAAAATCGAAACAAGTTATTAACTGCTAATCTTGATCTCACAATTTACCTGTCTACTGTTAATCTATCTTTCTACTTTAGTGTCTATTTAGTTGTTTCATTCCCTTTCCTTAATCTGAAAAATTTCCTTCTAACCTCCTTTAGGATGTCTTTTTACTTCATTTTTTCACTTCACTCCAATCTATCGTTTCTGTTGTTTTTTTCACTCTCTTCAGTTGTCGCTTACATTTCGCTATTTCTTTCACTATTGATTACTAATTGTTACCATGTAATTGTAAAGTGTTAACCATTAATCCTTCAATGTTATATCTTCACGATTATTCATTAAATAATCCTGTTTACTCAGTCTTTTAAAGGTTATTTATTGACCGAGTCAGGTTCATCAATTGATTGGTAAAATGATAACACAGTTTGTATTGAACTGATAGTAATAATGTTCAAAGGGATTAACCAATGAAACCTTTAATGACTAGTTTGTACTTTAATTGTCAAGAATTAGGCGAATCAAAATTAACAAATAATTCAAACGACAATTAAATAGCATGAAAATAAATACTCGTTCATCTTGTAATTGTAACTCACAAGCACTTAAGGTTCTCATTAGTTAACATTGAGCGACTCACAAGGATAACAAAATCAAATCAAATTGACGCTAATCAGTTGTAATTAATAAACGAAATGACTAGCAATTGTCAATCTACAGACACTTTAAAATAAGGTCAAAAAAGGTCTATCTTGGACAAGCTGAGAGCGTCTTCCTGACTTTTCAAATTATTCCGTAATTTTTAATAATTTAGGCTCAAAATTTGATTATTAATGATAACAATTTAATTTTCCTGAAATCTTGAAACAAAAATATATGGCGTCAATATTGATTGATATTGTAAAACCTGGAGAAACAGGAAGGTAATCAAACTAAAAATATTGAATATTAAATAATTGACTGGAACAAACTGAACATAAAATATTTGATAAATGAAATGCTCCTAGCAATAAGAAAGGAGATTCCATGAAGTATATATAATATATTAATTACAATAAACAATATTAGAATCACCTTAAAACAGATGATCTTAAGTTGACATTTTTTTAACATAGTTATTTATGCTTTTAAATATCTTTCTTGAACGTTCAAAACACTACTTCTTGATTTGACAATTGGTCAACAATTCCTCTATCATTTTCCTAACTTCCACCTGACTCACAAGCATAAATAACAATATTAGTTATTGAATTAAGAAGAATAATCAAATCTAAGTATCCATAGATGATTGGTTGGCCTCCGAATAGTGAAAATGGTCAAGATGATGAATAACAACCAATCGATAAATTAATGTCATCGAGGAGTCTTGTGAACTCGAGAATCAAAGTCTTCCATGCTGTCAACCCAAGTATAATATGCGATTGCCACCAAAACAAAAGCAATCGGGAAAATAATTTTGGAATAAGCGTCGACCTGATTGGTTCCTGAGCCAAAATGTTTCATACCCCGGAATAATTTCTCAAAAAAACAGGAAGGTCTATGAAAATCATGTCTTCTCTCGTCTTCACAGGATTTGTTTTTCTTCTGTAAAAAATAGAATCCATGAATTAAAATAAAATTGAATTAGAAAGAGTATAAACAAGTTACTGAGGAAACATGGAACTCAGTTTTTTCCTGATATCATCTTACCGTTTGATTAATGTTGTTGTTGTCCCAGCAAGTAGCAATGACAAACTCAATAAGACCAAGGAACACGAAAGTTGTACAAATGTTATTCCAGATATGAATTGAGATTATATAAGAAGCATAAATATGGACAGTTTGGACTTGTTGAGTTATTAATGAAAGTAGAGAAGTAACAATCAGGGTAACTCTGGCTGGATAGCTGTGAGATGGAATCCAGAATCCAATAAATGAGGTAGAAACGATGATAAAACTGGGAACGTATTTTCTAGACACAAAATATCCCAATCCTCTATCCAATACTAAAGCTGTTTGGAGACAAGCGAAAGCTCCTGATGAAAGAAAATAAATTATATTAGTTGAGATATTATTAATAAATTGTTTGAAATCGTAATAATTGTTTAGGTTTACAATTCAAAGTGAGAGTTATGTACAGTTTAAATGCACAGACTGTGATCATCAGCTGAATTTGATTTATCGATCGGTGAATTGCAACAAGTTTCAAGATTTTTCATTATAAAACTGACAAGTTAGGAAATTGAAATATCTATTCAAATTGTGTAAAAATGTGGAATTAATCTAATTAAGTTCATCTGAATGTAAATAAGACAAAATTAATGGTTAAACCTTGAAAAGACAAAGACTTTAGGAAGAAAAGCCAAGACCACAACAAACAGCCAGGATAAATGTTAATCGTTTACTATCAATTAACTGTGATCAATATACAAACAGTTAAACAACATATTGGACTTATTTCACTCGAGTAATATATTTAAATGCTTGCTCAACCAAACAATTTCAACTTTTTCCCCTGCTTGGTTCAAGATCTTTTCTGTTGATCCTTTTCATGCTACAACCTTTGCTTGTCTGAGCTGTGTCTTCATCTATCTGTTTGTCAAGTTTGAGTAAAGGCGTAATAATGGCAAAAATAGAGTGTAACTTACTTGGATTATCATAATCGGTACAATCAACAGAATCACTTTGATTTAAGCTGACCATATAATCTGTGTTATAAAGATCTGGAGATAGCTCAGTTTTACTCCATTTTAATCGAACCGTTTTAATTCTATGAGACACTATTGAATGATGATGACGATAAATTGGATAGCCAGACGAAACATCAAGATGCCAAGAAATGTGATAAAACCCGGAGACATGTGACAAAATTTGAAAATTAGATGAGTACGGGTTAACAAAGAAACTTGATAGTTTGATTAGAATGAGAAAAATTCCAAGATACTCAACTCATTCCGATGTTGATGGCACAGGAGTGTTTGTCGTGGGGATATTTACGGAAGCTCATGTGGCAAAATAAAACAACTGATACTCTGTTTGAAAGAAATCATAGAAAGAAAATCAAAATTAGTGAATTTTGTATCGTACGGATTGAAAGCAAAAAGCTTGATCAACTCACCTTTGGGTCATTTGTACACTTTTATTTGGAAATATTTCAAAATAAGACATCGGAGATTTTTCAAGGTACATATCACCACGAATACCGTTTTTAAAAAAGACTGATGGACACCAAAGCTTTTTATCCCAAGTTTTGTCCAAAATTAATTGATCTGTGATTGCTGTTAATGTTGCATTGGTTATATTTAAACGTGGCTCGGTCCATTTTAACTTGATAAATAAGTCAATCGTTATGGACTGGAAAATTGAAGCAAAAAAATCAGACTTTAAGCCAAAAATAAGTAACATTGCAATTGAACAACTTGTAATATAACATCATTAGTCTTGTGTCTTGATTTGGTTACGAGTAGCTTTCAAATATCATCCGAGATCTTAATTAAAACAAAATTGTGATTGACAATTGATTAAGAGTCTGACATATATAACTTGGCGTTTAAATGCATGTACATATCCTATGTCTATTAAATATTAACCTCAAATATCGTTTAATATTGGTTAAATTGTAACCATGGTATGATCCTTGAAGATATAAATTGCGACCTTGATAGTAATAAGAATAAGAATTTGAAGGTTTGAATGTGATACAGTTTCATCGGTTTCCAGAGTAAGTCTCAATGATCTCAAAGGAATCTTTTAATTTTGACTGATATAACAATGTAATGTAATAAAAAAAATAAATTTTGACCATAGTCATCTTCATGATCCTCTTTTATTATCATTATCATACACATTGTCATGGTTAAACTTATTTTGTTCAACGTTTACTTCAACATTCTTCTTTGAACAAAAAAAAATCGTGTTCAAAAACAATTTTACTCCCAATTTCAGTGAACAATTTCTCAAATAATAACATCTCTCTGATATTGAACTGAATATTGAACAAATTTCCCTGAAAACTGACTGAACAAATATGACAAATTCAATCTAAATAACCAATTCGTTGTGTACCAGTTGATTTGAATTATTAAAACAATGTTAATCCAACAATGGTGTGAAGTTAACAAGGTACATAATTGAACTTACCAATTCCCCTTCATTGACGGTTATCAACCTAAGATCAGTTATTTCCACTTCGACGTCAATTGGTGCTCCTGAATTAAATACAAAAAATGCTTATTAATGAAAATTCATGAAGATTTAGTGTTAATTAGTAGTAGACTTGGCTTACCTCGTGGTTTTGGTGGTATAATAAGATCATAACTACTAGGTAAAAGGTACTTTCGAATGGATCTGCATAATTTGTTAATTGGTAGAATTAAATTGATTTGAAAAAGGGGGAAGAGAGAGAAATTACAGGTTAATTAACACAATTAACTTACGCAAAAGCTTTGTAATCAAAAAATAAACTGACAATAAGTAAATTGATGCCAAGTAATCGTAGATAAGGCATATTGATGATTGATGGCACTCCAGACTTGTTGATATCCAAATTGACAATCAATATTAATTATTAACAATAGATGCTACCGTTTATGTTGATAGTGATGATTGTAGCATAAAATTTACTAATAACCAGAGTAGTGTCAAACTTAGGACTAAAATGGCTATTTACAAAACACAGATTCAACAGTTGAAACTTTGAAAATTGCACAGAGTGAATATGGAATAATCAGGAATTTATCGATTGGATTGGGACAAGTAATTAATCTATTATTCTAAGGTCGGAGTAATTAGAGTTGTTGGCATGTTGATGTTGTTTGTGGAAACTTGGAGGTTAAACAAATCAGAGAGATGAAAACTAGCCCGGATTATCTGGTTAAGAGAGTTAAAGATGATAAAATTGGATGAATCGATCATTGAATGTTATTAAAAAAGGTTGGACAATGGGCATGAAATTATATGACGATAATGAGGGAGGAAGTGGGAAAGTAATGGGATGATCATGAGAATAATGATAATATTGTGATCATCAGATGATGACAAAGTTGACCAAAAGGTTTAAGAAGGAAAAAGAAAGTTCATCTTACCATTTAGTTTACTTCTAGGTCTTTCATCTTCAATTTTATATATTTTGATAGACACGATGATGATAATGTTGATGAGTTGATTATGCGTCGCCATATATATATATAAATATATATATATCGTAAGTATTATAATAATGGTTGTGATCAAGTTTCACTTGAATATTATTAATGGTTATTGTTTGGACTCCAAATGATTTGGGTTTGATTGGAAAGAGAACCAGAAAAAGGCAAAGGAAAAAAAAAGTAGAGGGAAAAATAAAATAAATGGAGGCAAAGTGATTCATTGGACAAAACCAATAACAACTCTAATGGAGGCTTAACAAAGGTTATAACAATGGCTACAAGATAAACATTATTCATTATAACTTTGATCCACCTTTAACCCTTATTAAGTTAATCATAATTTTATTAATCATATTTATATTAATCATATTTATATCCAATTTGGTCCTTGTTTAGTTAAATAAACCCTGTTAAATCAAGTTAACTGTTATATTTAATTTGTGTGACGTGAAAAGACCAAACCTGGTAAAAACATTGTTGCTACCAGGAGTTGGAAAAAGAGACAACGAAAAATCCTTTTTCGCCATATTCAACACTTTTTCTGGTCCACTTTTCTCATGTTTTTTGGCCCTTCCATCATCAACATCACCAATATCATCTTCATCATTTCCATGGTTACAAGTGTTTATATCTATTTATATATCATTTACTTTGGTATCTTTTTATTAATCATCTCCTGGGTATTGAACATGATGGATGTAAGGATGATGCCCAATTGGTTTACATATGGGATACCCTTTTATTGAAAATGTAAAATATCAATCCGGATACAATGTTATACTTGACTAGATTCATTATAATAACAATAACAAGTGTAATATTTTCATGATAATCTAATTTCACATTCAACTCATATTCAAGAACCAAGCAAATCAATCTTTGATTTCAATGTCAAAAACAAGAAGTGTTGGTTAAAAGACTCAAAAAGTGACAAATTAATATCAAATAAATGCATCTAAATTGCTACGAAATTTCAATTTATTTTAAAATTTAATTGAGTAGTGATTAGACAAATTAAAAAAACAAAACGTTGATTATAACATAATAGGAGTATTCAAGTTATATACACTTTTAGACGCCTTTGAATATTTCTCACTCCTCAACTCCAAGTATGAAATTGCTGTTAAACTGAAACAGATTTGGATTGTCGATTTTGAAATGGTTTATAATGATTTAAATTGGTCAAATTACTTAATAAATTACCCAAATCAAGTGCAATGTCAGCTAATAGAAAGGAATCAAAGTTTTCTGGTTTCAACTTCAATTGAATGAACTGAACGAGATAAAATTATTATTTTAAATTTTACTGAAAAACAGATGATCGTATTTGATTCTAGATTAAATCAACAAACATAAGACAAAAAAACTAGGCAAGATTGAATCAAGTTACATGCGCCAGTCATGATAATTCAGAATGAATGAACCTGAAATCTTTTACAATGGGTTATAACACTAAGCAAGACAATCAGTTTTAAACAAGTTGAGTTGAAATAAAAGTTTGTTATTTAAATCACAGATTAATTTGTCAATTTTTCAGTTTTGAAAAAAAACTTCAAAGCTAACCAATGGACATGAAAAACGTTTACCTTCAGATTACCAGAAAAAATGGTTCAACTGTTAACCCTAAAAGATGGAATCTATGAAAACTGGTTAAATTGTGTTCATTATACTAGTTAAATTACCAAAAAAAAAATTTCTTGACACTCTGTGTGTTTGTGTGTCCAGTATTGAATGATTTGAAAGATAGACATTAGTTGTCCATATTAAATGAATCCTGAAAGAAAAATGTCAATTCTAATATGGATTGGAACATTTTTCTCACTTCTAATTGTCTTGTTATTTGTTATATCGTTTTCACTCTATTGTGATCCAGCCAAATCATCGTTCAATCCTAACTCTATCTGTTTAACCTCTGAATGTGTAAAAACAGGTAAGGGGAAAGCATTAAAACTGCCATTTCTTTATTCTTTTCTTTCTTCTACATTCAACCTAGTCATAGTTCAACTGTTGGTGCCATTTTTTAACCTTATCAATCCATTTTTATTTCATTATTCAATCTTACCGGCTGGTTTAACAACTGTAACTAAAAAGCTTCATCTTTATTAAGTGCAATGGATATCACTGCTGAACCATGTAATGATTTTTTTCAATATGCATGTGGTAATTGGAATAAGAAACACATCATTCCAGAAGATCGCTCCAGTATCAGTACATTTGAAGTATTGGCTGAAAATCTTCAACTTATTCTAAGAAGTAAGCAACAAACTAAAATTAATCTCATCATTTCACTGTTTTAATCACATCTTTATTACCATCGTCATCATGTTTTGTCTTCAAACAGATCTTCTTGAGGAACCAGCTTCAAGTCATGACAATAGTGCAACAATTAAGGCTAAAACCTTTTATAAATCTTGTATGAATATTGGTAAGTTCCAATTTCTTCTCTCAATTATTTTGCAACTAAATATAGCTTCTAATTAACGATCAACAAACTGATGAGCAAAGGTTGAAAACAATTGAAAACGGTTGAGAAAATATCATTTTTGGTTTAACAAAAATAAGTAATCTGATAACAGTTTTGAACCTTCACTGTAATCAGCCATTTTGCCTTTGTTGTCTAAGATTTTACCCGCTTAATTATGTTTCATCTTCATTTTAACTTTGCCTTTTTGCCTTTGACATCATTTTGGCCAATATTTCTTGAAATTTTCTCAGCTTGCTATTGTTTTTAATGTAAAAATTATATTTTTTTAAATTGTGACTCTTTCATCACACCAAAAATGATTCCTTAATTGCAGAGGAAGTAGTTAAGGTTGGTGATATTCCGTTAAAGAAAACGTTAAGTGATTTAGGTGACTGGCCAGTTACAAATAAAAAATGGACCAAACCAAATTGGTCATTTGAAGAGTTATTGGGACGACTTCGGGGAGATTATAATCAAGGAATAATTATTGAACAATGGATTGGAGTTGATGATCGTAATTCATCTTTACATATAATTCAAGTAAGTGATCACATATTTTATACAAAAAATCCTAAGCAAATCCATGCTAACCAAAAAAAACCATCAACAGAAAACTCAAAAAGATACAATCAAACTTTATGCTAGACTTCTGTTATCAATAGCAATAACCATCATTCTTCATCCATTTTCTGATCAAAGGTGAAAATATTGAATGTAAAAGATGAAATTGGTTCAGCTTGTTCAGGTAATTTTAATATAAAATTATAATGTTACCAAAGCAAAAACATTGAAAAGTAAAAAAATCTATTGGTTATTGGTTTTGCGTTTTTGCTTTTCACTTCAATAATATAATATAAGCAAAATAAATGAAAAAACAACAAGAAAAGCAAAAAATATTTCAAAATGAAAACAATAACAAGGAAACATTTTTCTTTTCTGTTCAATATCATATTTGTAATTCAATTGTAATCAATTAACATCTTATAACACTTTATTGTTTTCATTTTTTATTCTTCTTTTCTGCTTCTCATAATATTTACCAACATTGAATGGATCATTGATTTCAACGTCTTTTTAATCTATTATCCTTATTATTGTGTCTTTTTTCCGACATTTTCAAGATCGATCAAATGTCTTTAGGTTTACCAAGTCAAGATTATTATTTGAACCCGAGCAGTAAAAAGGATAAAGAAGCTTATTACAAGTTAATGGTTGACATTGCGATTTTACTTGGAGCTGAATATGATTACGCTCAACAACAGATGCAACAAGTTTTAAATTTTGAAACTAAACTTGCAAATGTGAGTCAACAAACAAATGAAAAAACATTTGCAATTCTTAACCCAAAATTCAATGTTGAAAGTCAATTTTTTGCTGACATCTGAAAAAATCAAATGAATACAACTCTTGCTCAACTTACGCTGATAAAATCTGTTTGATTAATATCATAAATTCCTTCATAATTTACAGAAATACGATTATTCGTGATTGTCCCTTTGATTAACACTATTCTAAGCGGAGATAAATATGCATAACATTGTTTATTTTGATTACATTTATGATGATTTACTGTTATATTTGTCTTCCTTGGATCTTAATTTACCTCAATCAACAATCCCACTCTTTCCTGGTATTGCTTGTTCACCTTCTTAAGAATCATATCAAACAAACTTACATAAATTAACACTTAAAGTTTTTCACAATCACTTACCATTGATCAATATGCATAACAGTATAAATATCAAGCTGTACCCACCACTGATATAATATGCCATATTGAAAAAATTAAATAAGAATTCATTTGATTTCCATAACATTGAATATTGGGTAAATTTTACAATCAAAATGACTAATTGGTTTACCTTTTTATTTCCATTGCAGGCAAGTCTTCCAGAATCTGAACGCCAAGATACAAATGCCATTTACACCAAGTTGACCGTTCAACAATTAAGTGATTTAATACCCGAATTCAACTGGCTTGTCTATCTAAATACATTTTTACCAATCAAAATCGACAAAAATGAGCCAGTTGTCGTTTACTGTATGCCATACCTATTCAATATCAGATCAATTCTGCTTGAAACTCAGCCTCATATATTATATAACTACGCAATTTGGAGATTAGTAAACTATGTAACCATTTACATGGGAGGTGATTATCAAAATAAGAGGGGCGAGTTTCGTAAAGTAATTGCTGGTGTTACAGCTGAAAGACTTCGATGGTCTTCCTGTGTTGAAATGATTAATAAGCGCCTTGGTACAGCCGTTGGATCATTATTTATACGCGAAAATTTTGATCAAGAAAGTAAAAGAACGGTAAGCTTCACCATATATTTTCCCATTAACACCAGTTACAATCATCATCATTGTTATTTTCATCATCATCCTTACTTAATCTTGCGCATTCAATTCATGGGCTTACAATTTTTTCATGCTGTTGAACATCCAAACGTTGAATTTGCCTAAGGCTTGAATCAGGATTTAAAACGGATTTATTGTCAAATTGCTTCTTTTTTTCTGTTGATACCTTGGAAAATATTTTTTGTTTCTCTTACACCTTACCGTAATATGATTGTAATTAGTTTTACCGTATTTTTTTCCTCTCTATTTCTTCAATAGATTGAGATTAAATCGTCTTTTAATAATTTTAAGCTCCTTACTTAAGCTTCTTCATCTTCTTCTTATTGCTACTGTATTTCTTGGATGATATGAGGAAAAAGACAGTTTCATTGTGTTGTTTTTTTTATTTCATGATAATGCTACTCTTATAAATTCAATTGTAAATAGTGAATGTTTCTGTTTGACTCCATAGATTTGATTTTAAATTCGCAATTAAATTTTCAATGGATAGTTCCAAGACCTTGAGGCTATTTCGACTTAGCTCTTTTTGTTCATATCAAAGTTGAGCTGATACACTATAATGTTATCACTTTGTTATTCAGCAAGGTTAAGACTTTGTAAGATTAAAGAATGATTACAACAGGGATTTTTTACTCTTATTGCATTTCTTATCTGTATCAACACTTGAAACTGATTTTTCCGCAATAAATCTGTAATCAAGTGCAGTAAATCATAAAAATCATGCAGACATTAACCCAAAGGCAATGTTATTCAATGGATAATCTTTTGTTCCTGGTTTGCTGTCTGAGGCATACAAAATGTTTACTCAATCATGCCAAATATTAGGCCATTCAATAAATAATCCAACTAGGTGTGAAAGAAATGAGTTTAATCTATGATTATCTAAGTAATGATTCCTCAGTCGAAAACATTTTCGTACTGATCTCTCGAAACCGAGATCCTTTGAAGAGATCCTTGATAGCGGACTTCAACGTAGTTTGGTCTGTCTGTCAGAGTATGCAAATGGTCTTTTAGCCTTATTTCAAGTCATTGAACACCTAGAAATCACTTGGTCCTAGAGATCACACAGCTATCTTGGCCTTTTTGAGTTCTTTGAAGTACCAGTAGACGAAGTAAGAACCAGGGGTTCATCTGACACAGATTCGGTGATTTTCCTTTTTTGATGAGCTTTCAGGTTATTCTGTAGAAGATGTTAGTTGCTATAACTGTACCTTGTTGATTGTAATCGAAAATTGAAGTAGATTCAAATAATTTTTCTAAACAAAATTTCTTCTAAACATATGAAAAAGATGCTCTTTCAAGACATTAGTTTGACTTTGGTAACATCGTCAAATAATTCCTTCGTACTTAGTTGGACTACTTATTGAATGACTTGTTAAATATTGGAAACATTTTTATTATTTTATGACAATTAGTTAAGTTTCTTAATTGTTTGGTTCTATTTGATTAGCAGTTTCATGTATAATTTCAGTCGGGAATTACTTTTGAAAAAATAACAAAACTAACAACAAAGTTATAAACCATTTGATTTATTTGGGTTATTGTTTTATATCTGATTAACTCCTTTTTAACATAATTTTTTAGGCTCTTGAAATGATTCACAATATTCGCGCGGCTTTCAATGAATTGATTGATGAAAATGATTGGATGGATAATGAAACTAAACATGTTGCTAAGGAAAAGGCGAATGCAATGAACGAACGGATCGGCTATTCAGAGACATTAACCAACCCAGTTGAAGTATCAAAGGAGTATGAAAAGGTTAATTAAAATTGACAACAAATTGTGTTACAAAATTAAAATCTTATATTGACTGTTTTTCATTGTTACAGCTTCAAGTTTACGAATCCCAGTTTCTTATAAATATTTTGAAGCTACTTAAATTTGAATCAGCCCGGAATCTTGAAAAATTACGGAAACCTGTTGATAAAGATAAATGGACAACTGAACCAGCCGTGGTCAACGCTTTTTACAATCCCAACAAAAACGATATCGTGTTTCCAGCTGGGATACTTCAGCCAAATTTTTATAGTCATATTTACCCAAAGTAAGGAATTATTTTCTCAGCTCATTTTCAATTATTTAATTGCTTGAATTCTTGTCATTTTTTCAGATCACTTAACTATGGAGGTATTGGTGTTGTTATCGGACACGAGATTACTCATGGATTTGATGCTAAAGGCCGACAATTTGATAAAGAAGGAAATCTTAAGGAATGGTGGAACAATGCAACTGTTCAAAAATTTTACGAGCGTACTCAATGCATTATCGATCAATATTCAAGTTATGTTCTTCAAGAAGTTGGCCTTAATATTAACGGAAAAATGACCCAAGGAGAAAATATCGCTGACAATGGCGGCTTGAAACAAGCATATCGAGTAGGTTGACTCAAAGATTGCCTTTTCAATCTTAATTTTATAACTTGCATATTTATCGTTCATCTTTAGGCTTTCAAAAAGTGGGAAAAACAACATGGAATCGAACCACTTCTACCTGGATTAGATTTGAATCATGATCAATTATTCTTTCTTAATTATGCACAAGTAAGTTGACTGTCAATTAAATTTATGGCTGGCATTCGCATAGACTTACAGATAGGTATTCAAGTTTGAAAAACCAAGATACTCTTACAACAAAAGGTACTTCGTAATTCCACCTTCTAGACTTGATTTATTGATCAATTCTATCTTGATCAAAAATCGAATCAATTTATTTCTATTGAAATTTTTCCATATTTCTTTCACTATCTTTTGGTTTAAACTTGAATATTAATAGTTGTATAGATTGATGGAAAAATAAAATTGAAATTGAATTGTATGCAATTATCATAACTCTCAGAGTTTCAAGTTTCAAGCTTCAACCAATTTACAATTTACCTTATAACATTAAGTTACTCTTAACGATTAAGTTGCTAGGCATGATAAATTGTAGCTAATCAAAAGGTTGTTTGATTACTCAATTGAAAGTTGAAACATGATGAAAAGAAATTGTTAAGTGTACCTTTCAGGTAAACTAATGTCATCTGTTGGAATGAATAATAAACTTTTCTATAAAATTTGGCATTACAGTAGTTTTGACTCTTAAATTAAAATCATGAAAATTATCCTAATAGACATTGATATTTTAATTAGATTTGGTGTGGATCCATGCGAAATCAAGACGCGTTGAGTAAGATTCGTACTTCAGCTCATAGTCCTGGTCCAATCAGGTTGGCTCTTAAATGGTTCAATTTTTTACTATTTACTAATTTTCAATTTTTTCCATCTAATTTTCAGAGTTCTTGGACCTTTATCTAATTCCTACGATTTTGCTAAGGCCTACAACTGTCCATTAGGAAGTCGAATGAATCCAAAAAAGAAGTGCTCTGTTTGGTGATGGAAATGAAACCCAATTTTCTCAGATCGCAATCTGCAGTTGATGACCAATGATGAGCATAAATTATAAAGTCATGGGACACTTTAATTAAGTCCATCGAGACTTGAAATAATAACCAGCAATATTTATTATTCAAATTTTTGTATAATTTGTTAAGTCGGATTATAGCGAAATATTTGATTAGCAATAGTCTGATATCTTCCGATTCAGTGTAATCAGTGTTTTGGCTTTTTTTACGCCAAATCGAAGAGAGTTTTAATGGTTAATAATTATATTTCCATTAAGATTGACCTTTATTCAGTTTTATTAAATTGTTAACTTAGTGTAAAATACATTCAAATGAGAAACTCTTTTATAAGAAAAGAAAACCGATTTTCTTGTAATATTGGTCATAAATTTGCCAAAATTATAGACAATAGCTACATCAGCATGAGGCCAATTGATTGACCTGAGAATCACTGAATTTTAAAATATGCATATCATTAATTGACTACCAATAAGTAATAATAATAACAACATTTTATTAAAATTGAAAAAGCAGAATAAGAAAACCAAATCTATTTTAATTGCGGTTTTAATCGGGTCAATTGTTAATCATTGTTTATAGCTAACCAAATTGATTTGATCTATCATTTATCAATGTATATTTCACCATTAATCAGTTCCTATTGATTTACAATTGTATTGACATGTATTGTATTATCACATCATTTTCATTATTATTATCGTTATTATTATTCCAATCAAATTTTCCCTAACAAACAATTCTCATGTAAATGGTAGTAAAAATAATCAACTAATTGTTACAATAAAAGTGAAAGAAAAATTTCAAACCACTGTGAAAACGTTATCCACTGTTAGTTATCAATCTTAATGAGCTAAAATAATCAACTAATTTAATTGAATAATCTTTATATTCTCTTTCATCTTTAATGTTAAATAACTCTTTCATCAGATAAATACTGTTTGATAATTACTGTAGCTTCTGAAGATTCAATTCATCATTGATCAACAAGTTACTTCTCAATTTGCCATCAAGTTAATGTCATATATTGTAATTATAATGAAAAGTCTGTAATTTAGAGAGGCAATCTAAATCCATTCTTAATCATCGTTGAACTTATGGTTAGGGTTTAATGTTGGTTTCAATTAAATTCATTGAGTTAACAATGGAATTATGGGCTAATTATTTTAGCATGAGAATTAAGCCAATCTCTCAAGACCTTGATTAATCCTTGATGACAATAATACAATAAACCAAATAAAGAATAGTGACGTTAATGACAGTCAATTAATTACAATTAAATGTCCACATGATCAATTACAGAAGGTAAAATATTTACTCTTCTAAATCAAACAAGAAAAATCCCTGATTAGTACAGATTTTTCTTTTTACAGTCACAATTTCAACCAATCTTATTATCACATAATCTAAATCAATTCAAGTCAAACAAGCAGCAATATAAAAAATCTTACAATTTACATAATTAAAATTGCTAAAAGTGTTTAGTGATCTGTAATAATACAAGAAAGAAGTAAGAAGTCTAAAATATACAATGAAAAACAGAGGAAAGCATCATAAGATATTTGGAAGGTGAATTGATAATTACACGTGTTGATTAGAGACGTTGATTGTTGATGATCTTCACGTGAATATGACAATAGATGATTAAAAAAGATTGAATCAAAACATTTGATTTGGATATTTCCAGTTAAGTCGTTGGACCAGAAATGATTGAGACATTGACCACCATTGTTAATGGTGGCGTGATGTGTTAGGGGCGCTAATTATAAACAGTGAATCAATAATGTTGACTTCGTTGTTGCTGGTGCCGGTTAACTGTTGATTTTTGATTGTAAATGATTAACTTACTATTAACTGATTCACGTCTCATAAAGTTATTGAGAACAGCGAAACCACAAATGAAGAAAAGGATTACTAAAGAAACAATGATGGCCACAACCAACCAGAAGGGAAAATCACAGTCAGACATTTGCTGATAGGAGGAACAGTAGCCATTTTGGAGCAGCTTTCTGTTCACCGTTAACTCAGCGTCTTCAGTGTATAACAAGGATTCATTTTTGGTACACGAATGAACAACTAATTGGGTTAAACATTCATCAGCCTCCCAGAAAGAGCAGCACGCTGATTTGATATCTTCATCTGATATTGGACCCCATTTTTTCTCTGAGTTATAAACACAGTCAGCCGTTTGACGTCCATGGGAGTTCATACATTTTTTCACTTTTAACTTGTTGAAGCTAATATTATATAAATAATGGATGTCAACCATTTCCCGATTAGAGTCTAGATAAGGTTCAACGGTCTTCTTTTCATTCCACTGGTACACTTTGGAGCCATTTACCAGGCAAATATGGCTTATTAAAACAATGGCAACGCTTATCCATATCAATGTGTTGATGGTTGCCTTGATTAGAAGTAAAAAGTGTCGCTGATCAAACACAAACATTATAAGAGATTGATATATTTGTTGATTATATCCTCCAAATATTGGTTCAACTAATTGCCCGATAATTACTATATATATTTGTATAATTATATATACACACACATACACATTTGGAAACAAAGAAACGGTTAGATTTGGATAAAAGTTATCGACTATGAATGCATTTACGAAATGAACAGTCAATTACATGTTAACATCTCTACAAATGGCAAAGTTAAGCAAGTGAAAGGTAAGTAATGATGTTTTGTTTGTTAGTTGATTATGATAAAAGATGAAACCTAACCATTTGCCTAATTGAATAGGAAACATCAAGCTTCGCAATTTACCTTAATACAATGATCTATCATCTGTCTTTTGCCTTCAATGTCTTCTTTATCATAATAAATAAATCTCTCATCATCACTATCATCATCATAGTAACAGGTAAACACAATTATAAATGAAAATGCTAATCCTCAGACCACAGAATTAATATGATAAGCTTTTCAAGAGGCTCTTATTTTCCTCTCTCTCTCTCTTTTCCCACCTAATGATAATCAACTTAATTATGACATTTCTATTACCTTTGCGATTATACTTTGCGAGATTAAATCACGAAAATTCTGTTTTTTATTGATAATTCTGATAGAAAGGAAACACAAATGCAATGTATGGTTAGGATGAGATTAACCATTCCACCTGAAACTTAAAATAAGGTTAATATGTATGGATGGCTGTTTAAAAATGTGGATGATCTCGATATATGTTGTGGCATTTAGCAATGATCCAAATAATAAGGTAATTATGGTAGTAAATGATTGTCCAGATAGTTAGGTGAGATTGAACAGTAGACCAACCCAGTGACACCTTAGTAACTTCATTGTATGATACGGATGTTGTTCTTATCATCATTCATGGGTGTTTTTTGATACTCTAAATGAATTTGATTTAATCAAGTGAAAGGAAATTTTCCAATTTTCCATTATTTTAACCCTTAATGATTAAAGTAAATCGATGCAAATAATGGTAAACCAGTGTTAAGACATTGGACGCTGATTGTGCATATCGATACTGATTACACCAGTTCACACAATTTTCATGATAATTTCTAATCAATAACCGTTTTTATTTTTCCTTTTCCAGTTTCAGTTCCAGGATAAACAGCAGAACGGTCATTAACCCATCACCTAATCACTGGAATTTCAGATTGTTGAATTGAAAAGTCGAAAAGATGTGAACTTGTCTCATACAAATAATGTAAATGATCCGTTGAACACATGTAGGTACTGATGATAAATATGGTGAGTATTGGATCAAGGTGATTGAGAAGTGACCGCATCTTGCTTCAATGGAGATGTTTTCATTGTATCATCACTAATTTCTGCCTTTTTACGATTCATTAAATATCTAACAGCAAAACCCAGAGCAAGGATGATTATGGTTAAACTAAAGACGACGGATAAAGACACAATTAACATTGGACTGATTTTTGGATCAGCTACAGAAGGCCAAAAGGTTAAATAACAATCAGACAATTGTTGGTATGATGAGCAGTAGCCATTCTGTAGCTCCATTGTGGCTGAGATCAATTCCTGGTCATTGAAATAAAATTGAGACTCATCATCGGGACACAGATCAAGAACCAAATTTTTTAAACACTCATTTCCCTCCCAAAATGAGCAGCAAGATGATTTAGTCTCTTCTTTATCGGATAATTGGTACCATTTCTCCATTGAATTGTAAACACAATCAGCAAAGGCTGCCTGATGGTTGTATAAACATTTCCTCAAATTGTACTTCAACTTTGAATAGCAAATGTTGTATAAATCTGAAGTATCGACATTGGTAGCACCAGAGAAGTCATTTTCCGCCTTTTCCGGATCGGATGCTTGGCATATTGAAGAGTTGCTGATTAAAATAGTAACTGTCCAAATTAATTTGATAATAGTTGACCTGGTCGGTGTGTTTAATGTGGTTAAAGATGGTAAATTTATATTCAAAAAGAAACACATGGTTTAGTTTATGTTGGATTAACCAATCTTCAAACAATCCGTAATTATTTACCAATAATTATGTTGAACAAGGCAAGAAATACCAATGCAGATCAATAAGCATTAATAAACACATGTTGATCAACCAGACTATTTATAAAGATCCGATTGAACCAATGAATGAACATGAACATGGAACAAAAAAACGCCTTCCTAATTTAGGAATAGTTTATTCAGTGAAAAATAGTTTTATAAATCAAATGAAGATATCAAGCCCAACACGAAGCTAATACATAAAAATCTACATAAAAAGTTATGAAAGCTGAGCTTATCTTGATTGGATTCAATGTTGGAAAATTTATGCAAATTTCACCAAAAATTTTTCATAGTTTTTCAAGTTAAACATGGAAAAATGGATTGAATTGAGATTACAAATTCATTATGGATCAGTCAATTGAAACATTATGGATAAGAAGCAAAACCAAATATACCTGTTGATGGATATCAGTAAAGCAAGCTTTGGGACTAAGAGAGACTCATTGAATTAATTTTTTCAATAACTTATTCTTGATGGTTTAAGTTCAACATGGCCTGACATTTTTACAATCTTGATTATCTTTGAACTTGAACCAGATTAATCTTGAAGCTTTTCATTAAATCGTCATCTCATTCAGCTCGAGACTATAAATAAAGCATAAAGGCTCTTAATTGTAACATTGATGTCCATAGTTAAACCTTGACATATTTAACAACATTGAATATGATCTGAAAATAAAATTGCAAGACCTTTTGACATTATCAAGTGCAAATGAGTTTTAACGCAAACTCACCAGCTTTTAACTCCCAGACATTTTTCCAACTGATAACAGAGTTTTGTTGAACAGTTGGATGATAATATCTTACCTTTACTCATCCATTTAATCATTCAATTTATATATCGACAACAGATTCGATTGATTTGGCCAGTAAATCACGGGAAAGAAAAGAGGAAGAAAAGTAAACTCAAATATTCAGTGATGTCTACAAATAAGGCAAATTGTGGTGACCAAAAGGACAACAATGAAGGCTCTGTAAAGGACAATGTGAAAGATGTTAATAACAATGAAAACAATGTTAAAAGTGTTCATTGTAAGGATAATTGTTTACCCGTTGTTAATCATGCCATTTCGGGTGGTTCATCAAAGGAGAAACAATGTTCAGGTAAACGTTTTAGGTTACCCTTTTTTAATAAAAAAACTGTCAAACCTGGTAAACCGATTGATGAAACCATCAATGAGGAAGGTTTGATCTCGGGAAGGCGAAGGACTTCATCCGTTGGAGAGAAAGATATGGAAACTGTTCGTAAAAATTCAAAAGCTTTGGCCATTCGTCGTGGTCCACACGATATTGAACCTGAAACTCAATCAGCTCCAGTCAATTGAAAGATTTACATCAACATATGGTCAAGTGTTTTGCTACTATTCAACATTTTCAATATAAATGTCAACTCGTTTCCTTCAAAATTATTATTAACTTCACTGAATGTTGTCCATATTATATTATTTAATTTGATTGTTTAATGGTTGATTTTAATCATCACCATCATCAGTACCATCGTCCGTCAACGAAATTCAATCAAAAAAAGTATAATTAGTGCCCAACAATAGATGTGGCAATTTATTTCAATTATTTTGTCTTCCATGTTAAACCTAAATGTTTAACCTTGTTTTTTTTCGTTGTGACCAAATTTTGTGCTCAACTTGTTAAATTATAATTTATTGATTGTAATTACAAATGTTTCTCCATCAATATATAATTATAAATCTATATGTAAACAATTTATGACTAATTAACCTACAAAATACAATAAAAGAGCAAAGTCACAATTAATTCACATTGCATCAATATGATTTCAATCAATTTTTAACAAACAATATTTCAATACAATGGTCAGGTTTTTCATTGTAAGTGGTTTTATAAATATAATAACCGAAAGGATAATAAAGGTGACCAGAAATGTCATTGAAAAGTCCAGTTTTTTTCAAGTTAACCAACAAGGTTTGGGTTACTTTGAGGGTTATTTAATCAATAATCACAATCAATCTCATTTAACTGTAAATATTGAAATGAATGTGTTTTTATACAATGAAAGTGAATTGAGATGAAAACATAATTCAAAATCTATCTCTGTGTTCATCTTACAATTAGACTGTGAGATGCTTTAGGAAATGTTAAAGGTTGAAATGACAATACAATCATGAGATTTACATAATATAGTGAACATTATTTTTAACCTGACAAATACATTATTATTAGGACAAACAATTATCATAATAGCTGAATTATTTCCACATGAATAACAATTTATTTTTCTTTCATCTCCTTGAGGCTTTCTTTTTTTCTCCTTGTCTTTATTTTCTTCTTTGTCATCTTTTGCTTTTTCCATCCTCATCTTTTCCATTATAATTATCTTTGTAATCATTGTCATCATAATTTGTAAATGAGTTTCAAATTGCTAGGACAGTAAATGAAGAAAAGGCAAAATCATTATGATTGTAATCAAGTAGTATTAGCAATGAACAAGTTACCAACTTACATTCAACTGTTGCTTCAGGACTTTGGTGAAGGCTTAGTTAGACCTCGATCAGATTTGAATTTTGATTTGGGAAGCTTCACGAATCCTTTCAATCTGTTGAACAAAAGTCAGAAATTATTTTCTTTGGAATTGAAACAATCTGTGATAAAAATACATACATACATAATTGAGTCCTATTAAACCTGAAACATAAAATGCTAGAGAAAGAAATATAAGTGAGTCTAATGAAAATGTCGCTTGAAAACTGAAATTGTTGTTAATTAACTAATGATGATTGAAGATTGTTTTGGTTTGTTGATTAAAGTTTGTTTAGTGTTTAGGAAATGTAGTTGCGTGTAACAAAATAAAATTAATTTCCGATTCATTCATCCATTTTGTTGACTCTTCTTTGCCTCATTTCGTTACAATCACAAATGATTACAGGAAATCAATAGAACCTTCCAAATTATAATAAGTAATAGTTGATGGTGAGAGAGAGGTAAAAAAGATCAGCAATAACAATAATAAAGCTATGGAACAGCAAAAATGTTGCTGCTAAAAGTAAATCAAATTAGCTCTTAATAAACTGTGTAACATTCAATGTAACAACAAGTAACAAGTGTTATTAATAAAAAATTTGGGCCTTTCGATATGGATTGTTTCAGTTTACGCCAACAATTGCTTTCTTGATTAACATAAGTGTTAGTGAAGGATCCAATTTACTGTACATCACCTTTTGTCGATTCAAAAGGGAAACCATTGGATGGTAATCAATGTTGATAGTGACTTGATAAAAACCAATTTTCACTGTTTGCTGAATTGATCGGCTGCCGTTGGTGAATTAACCATCAAACTTGACTTTTACTCAGAGAGGTTGATTGATGATTGGTTAGCGTTGGTGTCCATGTTGCTCAATTGTACTGATTCAACAAATACCTGTGAAAGATGAATATTTTAAAGATATTAACGCTTTTCTGGAAATTTGTTAGATTATTATTGTTAACCAATAACATGGTTAATTAATTGAGAGTGGAATCAGCAGTAGCAAGGTAAAAAGGAATTGACTTCACTTGCCTGAAGGTGATTTGAGTTAATTTGCTCATCAGGCGTTTCATTTGACTTTACTTTGTTTGACAATCCAAAAGATGATTATAAAGATAAAGTGAATAAAGTAGTAAAGGTTCAAGATCAAAAATTAAACCTCAATACCTTTTACTTTTCAACCTAATCTTGCTTTCCAATTCAATAATGAAATTAATAATAATAATGTTCGTTTGATTAACTCCACTACGACCTTCATATCCCTTAACCGGATCTGATTGTGATCATTACAGCTTTGTAACAGCAGCAGTTAATCGTCAACAAATTGTTAATTTTTTTGCTCATAAATGCTTTTTACTCAGTATTATGATTATTATCAGAATTATTATTAATTCTAATCATCTTCACGACGGTCTCCAATGAGTTAAGCTTAAGGCAATTGAGAAGCAATATTCATCAGGCATATTTTACATGTTGATCATCATTTGCTTGTTTGCTTCTTCTGCTCATTGTCACTTGTTGCTTTTGGCATAAATGAAGTGATCACTATTAATAAACTGTGATTACAATCAATCCAAGTCCATTTATTTGTTTACCTGGATTCAGAAAAAAAAGAGCAAATAAACATTAGAAAAAAAGGGAAAACAAGATTGTAATTACTTTCACTACTCATTTTTGTTGATGTTTATTGGCATGAATTGAATCAATGGGATCTTCATGTTTTTCCAACCTTTTTCTTCTTCATATTGATTAATTTAATCTAATCACAGTTGATTGCAATGACTAATTACTAATTAGTAACCAGATGAAAAAAGTTAACATGCAAAGTTGATGGAAAAAAATGAAAAATCCTCTTTTGATTTCCCTAATTACGAGTATCAAGCAGGCCTATTTGGCACTTTCTAATTTTGCGTTTATGTGTACTAACTATTTACCATTTAAATCAAAATAGTAGCGACAATTAATGCCAATTTAATTGTAACCTTGAAAGATTTCATTTTATAGTTAAAAATGTTTTTAATTTTTCTCATCAGCGGTAATCACACCAGCAACAGCAGTAAAAATGGTGAAATGAAAACAGCTTGATGGTCAAGTAAGGTGAGTAAATGCTGAGATGGTTAAAGATGAAAAATGATAATATCTTTTATAAGAGTTGACTACATTCAAAGGTAAAGGTAAACTTGAATATCTTGGTAACAGAAGGAACGAATAAAGAAGACAAATAAGATGATAAAGATGATGGAGACGAAGAAGAAGACGAAGAAGAGTAATGAAAAAAGAGGAAAGAATCAGAAAGGAGTGAGAAAGAGATACTGGTGTAAGCACTGTTGTAGTGGAGATGAAGTAAGATATCCTCTTGAAAACGAAAGTGAATCTTCAACTTGGCGAACAGGTTAGTTGAATGTAATCGAGCGGTAAATAAGCTACTATTAAATATAAATTAGTTAACATTCAAACACCAAACAAACAAAATTGAAAACAATAAACAAAATATAACAGTGAAAAAAGCCAAACGAGGGAAAACTGTTGATACGGTCGGTCATCTGGTGGATTTTTTTTGGATTACAAATTTCATCTATTGTACAACGATTTGAAAATGTTTCAAAGCTCATCGATTGCTGCTATCAACAATATGTATCTAAATTACAATTTTAAATAAGTGTAAATTACCAACATTATCACCATCATCATTATTAATGGTAGTTGGTTCATCATTTGTTTCTCATTTCCTCGTTAAATTCATTATTAGTTGATGAATCTTCAATCAAGTTGCCACTAAAAATGTCAACATCTTCAAGACCAATTGTAAAATGTAAACCGACAATGTGACTGAATTTAACAACCATTTGTGATGATTACATCGTGCTAATTGTGGCCATTAAGACTATCTGATTTGTGATCTTTTAATAAACCTGGGAAAATCCATTTCATTAACCAAAGCCATACCTGTTTTTTAATGAAGACAATGATTTTAATTATTCTGTTTATCATTTCCCTGATACCATTGAGTTTACAAGAGTGTATACGATTTGAGTTTCATGAAAAAATTGAATCAACCTTTGGTCAATCTGATTTGATTAGAGCCATGTGTATTGGTAAAGGAGGACGTATTATTGATTACTCTCTACAAATGATTCAATTAGTTGGTCCATCAATTTTCAATGTAACCTTCCATTGTTGTGGTAAGCAATATTTGCATGCATTTCATTATTTTAGCTCTTCAACTTGAGACTTGTCAAAAAGCCATCTTCTAATTAGGTTAATTGTGTTCCTTATTGATTATTGTGATTCTTTTTTTGGGTTAACCTTGTTGATTACCCATTATAGTAACCCAATGATCTTTTAAGATTCCTTTAATCCTTACCGTTTAGGTATTTTCAAGTGATGTGTTATTGTTAGTTTCATTGTTAGCCATCTAATAGGAAGGGATAACAAAAGTTGCCTGATTAGAAATGGTCTTCATCAATCAACTGATCAAATTGACCTTCAATCAGATAAGTTTGCCTGACCCCAAGATTTTTGATTAATATAAATATTATTATTTATGATATGATAATGTAAAACCTAATGCTTGACCTCACTTTATTGATGCTATCACCAACCAAATAGCAACAAAAGGGTCTCTTAATTGCAAGGATAACCTTTAATCAACCAGATTTACTGTCTATTTTTGAAACAAAAACCACTTGAAGGTAAACAAACAAACCTATGATAATCAGTAAACACTTTTGACTCTTCTTATTTAAGACTCATTTCCTTACCATGAAACTGTCATCAATTGTCCTGAAAATTGAAATTTCTGTTTTTCCTTATCTTGTCAATTGAATGTAAACTTGCCATTGCTTAGGTTTCACCATTCAATGGTTAAATTGTTTGCTTTCTTGGGTAAAATTGAATTTTGCATTTCAAGCCAAAAGATATTACCATTAATGTTGCCAAGTTGATTAGCAATTAATTTGAAGAAGTGTAAAAATCTAAATCATATTTTTGTATCATCACTGGACCTGACCTTTCACTTTAATACAAAATCAACTCTCGGAAGTGACATATTAACCTTATAACAGGACCAAATTGTCAAAGCTGTATCTTTATCAGTTTTACATCAATAGGTCAGGCTTTAGTTAGATTGAGGGACGATATTTATATCATTACTCATTGAACAGACTGTTGAATAATACAGACTTTAGATGAAAAGATTTGAAAATTTTAAATATTCACCTTTTATTTGTGAGCCAATATTTTCCTTTTGATTGTTAATTCAATTGAAATATAAATTAACAATTTAGATTAGCAAATGTTTACAACGGTAAACCATAAAAAATTGTCAATAAACTGTTATCAGACTAAACCATGATTAACCTTGTTTCTGGTTGAATCAAAATTGAAAATCAAACTGATAACCAGGAATCATCTCGATTCCTAACCAAATATAACCATTTCCAATGAAAACTCATCAGTTGATAATTAACAGCAAAGTAGACTCAATATTTAGCCTTAGTGTATTATTATGAGCTATCAATCAGAGTTGTTTATTCATTGCATATTTATGAGCCATAATGACCAAAAAGTGCGAATGAAATCATCATTATTCATCAATCTTGAGACGATAAGCGTTTCATTTCTGTGAAAATTGTCAATAATTTTCCTTTTAATAGAAGGCAATTTTAGAAAGCAAATTAATCAATTTAAGTCTAATTTTCCGTCACTAATGCTATTATTAATAGTAGACTTGAACTGATTTTGATCATTTTGGTCATCAACAGCTTCATTAGCTATCAACAGTGAACCTGACTTTTGTTCATACTTCAGCTGATCAGCTTTTCATTCAGACAAACATACAAAGTCACTGATCATAGGAATTGCATCCTTCTCAATGCATTTTAAGTATTGATTATGTGAGTAAACCTCTGTAAATCGTTTCAAATCCGTCCGAATTTGAATTGTAAATTGGTTGATAATGAATGAATGAATGATGCCAATGTTTCAATCTGATTCCATAAGCACTTTTGATCGTAAAATCAATGAATGTACCAAATAAATGGATATTAACTCAAGTCTTTAATGTCAAGAGCTATTTTGTGTTACTATTTACTGCTGTTATCTTTGACCAGAAATTGAGGAAATTCCTAAATATCAGTTTGATATCAAATTCTGACCAGTCTGAAACAAGGTTGATGAAACTGAATGGGTAACAGAGTCAACTTTGCTCATATAAATAAAGGTATTTAGGTTAAGACCTTGGCTCATCTTGACTGTTGGGAAGAAAGTGAAAAAACAAATGAAATTAATGTTGACAAGTTTTTAATAAAAAGCATTAATAATCTGAATAATGATGGGGTTAACCATGAAAATTATCTGCGCCTTAAATCTCATTAGCAAGTTGTTACATCATTAAGTCAACTTGTGATAAATTCATGTCAATTTTTGATACTAATTGTCTCACAAGATTTATCGGTATAAAGGACTTTCATTCATTGAAATAACATTTCTTAATTGTACGATTAACATTGAAAGTTGTAGATATTCCTGAAAACCTAAGATATGAACAATTTTAATCTACAAGGTAATTGAGTTAAATGTGTGTAATTGTAGCCTTTTTCAATTTTTGTTCAAAGAAAGAGGTTGAATTGAATTTGCGAAACAAGAGCAGCAATTAAAAATAAATGATTGCGTGTTCAACTCTGATACATGTAAACATGGTCAACAAATGTTACTTTATCTGATTTGGAATCTTTTTTTTCTTTTTGTTTATCCTTTCTCTTAGCTCCGTCATATTGCCTTAGTGATCACGATTGTCCAATCAATTTTAATTGTAAAAACGGAATCTGCTCAGTTGCTGAATGTATTTTGACCGATGAGCCGGAAATTGTACTTCAAGAGAGTCGAGAATGCTTCATTGACGATGATTGCTACTTTGATATACCATTTGATTCGGATAATTGGAGATGTCTTCCTGATCCATGGTGCTTCCATAATAAATCTTGTGATAATTCGTACAATTTTTGTAAAAGGTGCCCAACAGGTTACATAGATGCTGACCCAAAACGATTCACAGATGGCACTGTTCAACCTCCGACAACTTCATCTCCTTGGTGGTTAACACCTTCATCAATACCCAACAATGATCCTGATGTTAGTAGTTATTTTGGTTCCACCGATCAACCAATCAATTCTGTTCATCATGAGCATTCAGTTCCTAACAATACTGAGACAACATCTTTGGTCTCAAGTTTTGATACAACTATCAATTCAACGCCAATCACAAGAACGGTTACAACCTCTACAACCTCTGAAACTCCTGAACCAATTACAGTCGGTTTTGATGAACTTAGTCCAAATGGAAATAATTCAGAGACTGGATTTGGCGCCTCAGATTTACCAATCAACTTATCGGATGATGAGTTAATCACAAACGTCTCTGTCATTGATTTAGCAAGAATAGACTCAGTTGATGAAATAGGGGAAGCCTTGAATAGCACTGAATTTTCCACACCACAGCCTCCGATATCAACTTCAATTTCCTCGTCACCATCAAGTCCAGATTCGTCTTCTAATCCTTCATCCTCTTTGTCACCATCGGGCTCAGACTCACCATCTAATCCTTCATCACCCTCGTCACCATTGAGCTCAGAGTCATCATATAATCCTCCATTGGCCTCGTTAACATCGGTTTCATCTCACAATTTGAATAACTTTGAATCAAGACCTTTTGTTACAGCTAATCCTTTCGCTTGGGCTGGACTTTTTGAAAGTGATTTGAATAGAACATCAACAAATAGAAACAACACTAACGCTGAGAGAGGCACGACTAATATACCTAATTTTACCGATATCAATTATATCTGAATAAACTAATTTGTAAATTTTTTTCATTATTCAATTACTGGCATTTATACAACAACTATGACAACTATATGAAACAAGTTTACGGCTGCTTGGAATGTGATGGTACTTTGTGAACTCCTCCAGTCGCCAAAAGACCACAGCAATCTGGTACTTTACGTTTTCGACTCAGCAATAATCCAGAGCCATTGGAATCTGTTTTGTGTAACATGAATAAAATATTTTTACTCAAGATTAAAATGAAATTGTAAATAAATCCAAGTAAAATACTTACGAGCTTTATCTTCACTCAAAATTATAACAGGTGCCGCCTTGAGCTCAGCTATCTTTGAAAAACTCCTCTCACTGAACGAGCTTGACTGTGAATCTTGGCTGGAGAAATTAATACTACTGTTTTTATCAGACAAATTTTGTACCCTGAATAAGAAATGAAGAATAAATTAATTGTAAAACAAAAATGAAATTCATTTTCAATTTCAACATACTTGCGAGATCCATTAGATTCTGAACTGTCAGAAAATTGTGATATACGATTAAAATCCCAATCAGCATTGGTTTCACTTGTACGTTCTTGATGCTTCGCTACAGGATACTCAATGAAGGGGGGTAAGTCTGCCTTTTTTTGTACTAAGGTAAGACTATTGATGGAAAATGATCCAAAGTCTTTCGATAAGCTACGACTGGAATTCCTAAATGGAGATCTGTTAGAGTTTGATGAGATCTTAATCTTGATATGCTGGTCTCGCCATTTAGTAAATCGATTTGCTTCAAGGAAAGAAAAGAACGCAATCCAGATAAGAAACCCAAACTCGAAGGTGGCAGTCATTGAAATCACAAATAAATAAGAAACCATGCTTCCAGTGTCTGTATTATGATGAAAGAAAGGTAGGAATTAGCAAGCGATTGTCATATGGTTGAAGTTCAATACTTACCTTTTGTCATTGAGGTTGTTACTTCGCCCAGGATAATCAAGTAAAATGTCAACAGAAAAGTGAAACTTCCGATACAGAATTGTTGTAACTCATCTTCATCAGAAGATAACCATTCAATAAAGGAACGATGTTCAATCGATATAATGAATTTAAATTGGCAAATATCACAATTTAAAATTTTGGTAGCTGATATCCATTTTGATAGGCAAGATGAGTGGCAATAGGCAAGTTCACCAACACAGTTACATGGTTGTATCAAAGGACAATCATTAGAGGAAGTTGTCAAACAAATACGACAGATATTTTGAGGCTCAGGCTTGGAAACGGTCTCCGTCATGTTAAGGATAATTTAGATGAATACTACTTAAGGTAAGTACATTAAATAAAATTAAATTTGATAGTTAACTAATTTAAAACAAAAGGATTATTTAGAGCCAAAGAAAACTAAAAATAGTCTTGACTCATTAGTATAGAGCAACATGTCTTACAAGTGTAACTTTATTAAGGTTCAATATTTTTAAATATTTTAATTAAATTAAGCCTAATATTGATGAATGAGAAATGAAACCTGTCACTAAAGTCATCGCCATAGCCTACAATTTTCACCAAAATCATATTGTGTCACTAAATTGTTTATTATAATCATATTGTGCTTATTTTTATCCTTTATACCCTAGACTTGACCAGAAATCAAGGAACTCAAACAAGTGTCTCTCAACAAAACCGCTTTAACGATTCAAGTTCCGAAAGAGTGAACATACAAGGTTGTCGACATCAAAAGGTCAAAAAGAGGATAGAAAACCGAGAAGTCGATATTTCAATATCCAGAGTCTTACTCAAATTTCACTTTCACAATCAATCACAAATGGATGATTGCGGTGATATGAACTCATACTCTACCTAATACCTAAAATCGCAGCTTAATACTCATTATGTTTAATTAGTTTGAGCAATCTGCAGCCTGACTAGAGAAGTGTCGAGCTGAAGTGGATTTTTACACCCTTACCGTTAGGGAAATCAAAATACTCTACTTGTCTTCGATTTTGATTTTTTTCCTTATTTACGGCTAAATATTCTCTATCTGAGGGTACATCGCACTTTCATTCATTTTCAATCCACTTTTGCAGTTGTTAAAACCATTGAAAAGCAATGACAAAAATCATGAATTCCCAATTGAGTCAAATTGCTTTTTAAGGAGGCAGATTCCTCGCGACATCAATAATTAGATTGCAAAAAAATCCAAGTTTCTTAAAAAGTTGACAGTTGGACACCAAAATTGAACCAGCTGACTTAAAAATCAATGTAGGCTTTGTTGTAAGAAATTTGCCAACTCTGAGTTGATAATAATCATGAGTCTGATATTAACGAATCTCATTTACCAATATTCGGTCCCACCCGAACAATCCTTCACTGGCCTCAAATGGTTATTTCAAAGATAAACGTCCATTGCCGATGCCTCAGAAAGAGCATATCATGTATCATATTGTGATGTTGAAAAATAAGGACTTGAACCATTATTAAAAACAAAATACCAAAGTTAACCTCAAATAAAAATGTTACTGATTAAAGTTTAAACAGTTTTCAAATTTTGAGCTTTGACGTTGAAAATTTGTATCTAGAAGCGATCTGGAGGTTCGCTAAATTGGTCAATGAAAAAATCACTTAATACATTGGATCTGATGATTAGGATATTAAAAGGGTTATTTTTAGTTGAGATTCACTTGCCAATGCATAATTAAGTTAATCCGATCAACCAAACCAACTTTTACTAATGATACTTTTGATGGGCCATTAAGCAAGCCAGTTCAATAACCAGAAATGCTGCAATTTCAAATGAGATAAGTGTTGGTTAGATGAAAGTCAACTATTTATAATAATTAGGTTATCATAGTTTAAAATAAATAGAAGCCAAAAGTACAAGTAAATGAGAACTGGTCATTACACTGTCCATTATAAATCAGTGGTAAGAGTCATGATAGATAGCAGAGTCCAAATTATCATCTTTCGAAATCTTTTCTATCAGGATCTGTACAAGACACTGTCTTGAGAACAAGCCTAGAAACTGAAAAAGTCCTTAATCAACAGCGTTCGGTGCCTACTAGACTGGTCATAAATGGCCCACTCAATCAACTCGAGTCCTGCATTGAGATCCGGTTCCAAGGGTTGAAAGTAAATATGTGAATGCCGATCATGAGGTCATCACTCGAGAAGAGATCACTAACTGTTGATCATTGTAATCGGGAAACATTACAATCTTTTTGATTTAACAGGTAATTTATTTCTTTCATAATTAGAATGTTAAATTAAATTTTACAATACGTCTTGTCACCGAGTTTTTTTTTACAAAATCAAGCTTAAAAAATTAATTGGAAATAATTATTTTCAGCCTAAAATGATAGACTGTATTGCGTTAATGCGGGTATTTTATATCAATTACAAAAATAGAAGGAATAAGATTTGTTATATATATTAATTTCAATATAAAATTGCGTTAATTTATAACTTGTGTTTTGCCAACGTTGATCAAACCATTTATGCAACATATTTTAAATATGTTTTGATAAATTAGCACTGAACCTGCAGTTGATTTGGTTTCACACTTTGTGCTTGACAAATATTGCAATTGTATGATATCACGAAGATAGGTTAAATGTACAATTTAGTAATTCATTCAACTCGATCTGCTTTATTGACATCATTCGTAAATCATTTGGCCAAAAACAAGTCCATGTTCCGTATTCACTTGTATCTACTTTCACTATAATGCTGATATTGGTATTCGACGTCTAATATGTTCACCTGGACTAACAGCAATCACTAGCGGCATTTTATTTTGTTCAGGTTTGTTTGAAAATCGATTTTTTACGCGAGAGGAAAAATCCAATGATGATGATGACGATGACGATGACGATGGGATTTGAGGTGGCTTTAAATGAGCAAATTGTGATATGGACGGTGACTGAGAGGCAAAATTTGATGATGAAGATGGCGATGATAATGAAGGCATTAAATGAATTGCCTGAGATTTTTGTTGATTGGATGATTTAAATGGAGACAAAGGCCTCCATTGGCCAAAGTCAAGAGAGGTAACCTTTATTGATGTCCCTGGAGGTGGTTTATGATTGGAAGGAATGGGTGAAATGGTTCCCACAGAGACGGTCGTTGATGGTGCAACAGTTGACCTTAAGCCTGCTAGTAGCATTGGAAAATCGATTCGTGTTCGAGTTGTTTTACGTGTAAATGAACTTGGATCTCGACTTGTTAGCTTGGTTACCTCGGTAGAAACAGCGGGTGGCTCTGGAGTTGTAGTTGTCGTTGTAGAGGTTGTTGTGGTCGTTGTAGTCGATGTTGAAGTTGTTGAGGTTGGAGTACTGGTTGTTGATGGTGTCATTCTTACTCTCCTCGTGGTTGATACAAAAGGTGCCTTTGTTGTGGTAGTAGTTGCAGTAGTTGGTGCTCTTGGTAATACAACCCTTACTAATCCTGATGTTATTATGGGCAATCCAGTAGTTGTGGTAGTTGGTGTTGTACTAGCTGTTACAGGTCTCACAGTTGTTAAAGATGGTTTTGAAGGGCGAAGTCGTTCAGCAAATCGATTGATTAATGATGGTGAGTTACTAGAGTGATAATTTGAATGACGCCGATTATCGTTTGTTGGATAAAGAAACGTTTTACGTTCATCCGTAAGAATATTATTGTTACTGTCAAAAGTTGAAGGTTTTGATTGATATTTATTTGGCTTTGAAGAGGGTAAAGGTGTTGTAGTTGTTGATGTTGTTGTTGATGTGGTAGTTGAAATGGCTAGTGAGGTTGATGATGTTCCTACGGTTGGGCCTCTTGTTGGGGTCAAGGTGGGTCTTCGGGTTGACTTTAAAGGTTTAAGGTGGATAGCTGTTAATACAGAATCAATGGGTGTATCTTCGCTGTTTTTCTCATAAAATATATTTCCTCGAATCTGTAATGGCATTGATTGATCTTTCAAGTTCAACATTGGATCCGTGTGATAAGATGTAACAATTAGTGAATCAAAATCAATTTCTGGTCTACCTGGACCAACCATCCTCAACTGAATCAATCCTTCTTTCAATTCCTGTTGAACCAAACTTGGAATCAGTTGATCATTGCGTGATGATCCTGGTGACCTTTCCTCTGTTTCTTGAGTCAATTTTGATTCGATAGATTTCCTTGAATATGCTAATGAATTTCGAGCTTGAATAATCTTTTTCCGATCAAGATAGACACGAAAATGGACAATCAATGAGCCCTTTCTAAAAGCGTAAACTTCACTCTTAATTATTGAATTATCAATTGATGTCCATTGGAGAGCAGAATGAATCTGGAAAATAAAAAAACAATAAATTAGAGTTGATGTTAAATTGTTAAATTGAATGTTGAATGAAATTTAGATGAATCAAGTGAAATGCAAATTTCAATGGTATAATAATTAATGGATTACAATTGAGTTTATTACTTTACAGGCTTGACTTTAAATTAATTTAAGAGTTATAGCTACAATAAGATGGTGATTTCTGGCCTCTTCAATCACCATTAAATTCATGATAGCCAAGATAATAGTTGAAAATAGCTGATAATGGCAATTTGTGAGAAGAAGAAAAAATAAGGTTGATTCATTGAACAAGAAATTGGTCATTAAAAAGGCATTTAATGATGATATTTAGTTGAGATGAAATTTAAAAAAACAAATGAAGATTCAGTTGATCTTGTAATACAAATGCCTTTATAAATTTCTCTAACCTGGTTTATGTTGAGAAGTGATCTTATCTGATTGGGAGGATGAATAAGATGAACCCGATACAGATGAAGATGTAAATGTATCTGATGGCGAGGATGATGGAAAAGAAGAGAGAGAGAAAAGGCTAAATGAAATGAATCAGAATTAATGTTGATATTCCCAGAAGTTTAGTTAATTGGATTCGGATGGGAATCATCTAAAAACAATGCTGTTCCAGTTACCACACCCGAAAAAGGTTGATGAAGAAGAGGAAAGATGAAGATGATTTAAGTGAGAGAAGGTGGATTAAATGCTCAAGGGAAAGGCAAATACTTAATTCATCTTAATTCATCAATTAGAGGTTTCATTTTTTTCATCATTTTATTCTTGTCTTGGTCATTATTAGGATTAAATTTACGCCCTTAAACTGGCCTGCGGCAGCGGATGGGTGATTTTCAGTCAAAGGCATTTACAGGTAACAGACACAAATTGTAGGAGTAAAGAGAAGTGAATTTAATAATAAAAATACCGTTAAGCTTGCAATAAAAATGTAATCAAGAATGAATGATTATTGGTGAAAAAAAAGATTGTTTTTCTTGTTCAATTGGAACGATGATTTTCAAGATCAGCAAATTTTTGCTTTGATTTACCTTCTTTTTTTTCACTTCTTTCCAAGCTTCTAATGACATTCATTTTTACAGGTTAAAAAATGTTCACTGTTTGCTCTAGTTTGGTTGACTATTAATGAACACTTGAACAGATTAACATTATTCTTGTTCATATTGATCATTAAAAGGCAGATGAACATTTGGTGACTTTGCTGTTTAGACTAAAAATTATCATTCAAAGTTTTACCGTTGAAAAGCAATTGACATCAATTGTTGATGTTTAAGATTACATTTTTTGTTGTTCAAAGACGATTGTTGTTGTTTCATGTCAATGATAAGTGTATTAATGGTGATGAAGTTGAATTATACAATAACGGTGATGGAGTTATCGTATTCAGTCTCTTTTTGCTAACTGAATTGGGTAGCAATTCAAGTCCTCTCATAATGGCAATATTCATTTCATAACAATACAATTGTGTGGTTTAAAAGATGAAGACAAATGGATGATCAACAAGATGGGATTGTATTAATTGAATGGGATAACAAGTAGGAAAACAATGATTTTGTTAACATTTGTAGTAAACTTGATGGAAACTGAAACATTTTCAGAATCAATTTTGCAACATTTGTAAGTAAAAAGAGGCAAAAATAAAACCAGCGGGAAAGTAAAAGCAAGATGTTGATCAGAATGATCTGAGAAAGAGATGAAGAAAGGTAAACTTGATAAAAGGCTACAAAAAGTGTCATTGTAGAGGTTTGCGGCTCAATAAACGCAATAACCCGTTTTTACACTCTTGTATTTCTCAGTCGTTAATCATGCTATTTAAACCGTCTTCTGGTTACAATAAAATCAAATGAAACAAAAGCTTAACAAGACTTCAACTATTATCTTCATTGTTTCATAAAACAAAAACCAATGAATAGAGTTTCAACCAAAAAAAATCTCACTGATTGAAATCAAATCTTGAATCATTTTTCAGACAAATTAATAGTTATCCAATTAAACAAGTAACTCAACCTTTTTTCATTCAATAGCAATTGAAATAGTCAGACAAAACAATTTAAAATTTGTAATGGCTACTTAACTTACAAGAGTTAAATATCAAATGTTGAAATGTAAAAACTATGAAAGGCCATTTTATGGTTATAAAAACACTTCGCTAGGCATTTCGTTTTGGTCACTTTGAGCGTTGATTTATGCTGCTCAAGTTTAGTGAACAATTGAGTCTGACCAAAGTAGACTTAAATGAAGAGTTAATGAAACGAATCATTTGAAAGCATTGACAATTAAACGTTGGATTGAAAACTAAAAGTTAACCAAAAATTTCACTAAAATGTAATTTTTAGCAGAAAAGTTTTCGATGTTTAATCAAATATAAAATCAAGGAAGGGCTCAATCGATTAAATATTAGGCGATAATAATAGTCGCATAATTTTTGTGAAATGACAATAATTCAAAAAGCTAACCTCATTTTATCAAAAAATCATTAATACAGTAAATGATTCAACGATTATCCTGATTTTAAGCTTAATCAAAATTATTGAATTTCTTTTTGTCGATTTATGGATTTTATCATGAAAACTATTTTCATAAATCACCTGAGTTGCCATCAATTGATAATTGTGTCTAATCAACTTTTAAAATTGAAAGTGAAAAATGAATTAAGATTGAGACTATTGAAGTTACTGGTGCTTAAAATAGGTGAAAGACCGACAATTGTTTTGTTAACCCAAATTGACCTTTTATACTTACAATGGCATTATACTTTTCGGCCTTTTCGAGGAATGCTGTAGACGAAGTATTGTACAGTGAAGGGACAAAATCGTCGCCAGATATAACACGGAATCGTCCACTGACTGGTAAAATGGTGGCTTTACTTAGATTTGTTATGATACCTTTAATAGTGGAAATAAAATTAGATGCAAAAAAGGACGCAATTAATTTACTGTGATACTGAAAGATGATTGAAGAGAGCAATGATGAAGAATACGGTTAAAGTTAATTAGATGATGTTCAAAGAAACAGTTACAATTAAAGATGAGAGTAACAAGAGTTGGTCAATTGTGTGTGTGTGTGTTTTGACGATGACCCGATTTAAGACTCGCAACACTTGTATCACAACATCCGGCAGCAGGACATCAAGTCCATCATATTCATTATCATCATTATTATTAGCAACTCTTGACTTGAGCCAGTTTGAGTCGAGCCAGTTATTACTTTGAAAGTGACCAACTTGAATGTAACAACTAATATGGTTATGGACATTAATTATATACACAAACGTTTGAGATTGAGAGAAGAGAAGAAGAAGAAATTAAGATTTTAAAAAATGAATCAAGATTAAGATGAAGATGAAGATTAACTTGTAAAAAAAGGGTTTTCGTGTGAATTAAACTTGTTGTGTTAACTCGACATTCAAATGTTAAATTGTGATAATCATTTATGCATAACTTAAGGGCATTTTCATCATTATTATCATTATTTATACTCAGTTCATTTCAGTTCATCTATTGTCAATTTTTAACCAATTTACAATTGGTTAAACTAATTTTCATTTAACATTGAAAAGCAAATGTTGATCAAATCACATCAATTGTCACTATTGAAAGAGATTGGGTTTTCTGGAGATTCACTAAATTAACGATATCCATGACTTTTGGTTAATCACGCAAATTGAAAAGTAATCAAGTTAAACAGTTTAAGTATTCATGATTTTTCATTTGTTACATCAACAGTAAAAGGTTTGCTTTTGGGCAAGCAAATGGTAATAATTGATGATAATTTTGTATTTATATTGATCAATTGTAATAATTTTTATATGAAAAAAGTGAGTTTTTATAAGCTCAAGATCATGATTTTTCATGACTTTTTACGGATTCTAAGCAATCAATTAACTCGAATCAATGGATTGTAATATTGTTCAACTGGAATGTCTTTTCAAGATGCTTTTTTCATGTTTCAAATTGAGACAATTTGATACATGAATATCGATAGATTATGAGATTTGCTTTAAGAATTTAAATGTTGGTTGAAATTTGAAATCAAACATAATTAGTATTACTTGGATTGACATCTTAACCAGGAACTGGAAAGGTTAATCGTATTCAAATAATCACAATTGAAAAAGATTGTAACAGAGTTTTCAACAAAGATTGGTGTTAAAGAATAAGAAAACAATGAAGATTATTCTGAGTGAAAAAAATTCAATTCTAATGCAAATCGGATGGTTAACAGTTTTGACAATTCAATTGAAATGAAGATAATTTGTCTGTGACTTGTAACTATTATTAATATTTAGATATGAAAAGTTGCAAGTTGAAAAGATTAGCTAATGGTTTCAAGAGAAAGGTTGAGGAAATAAATCATTTCAGGTAAATTGAATCAATTCAACTTAGGATGCAAATTTCAATTTCAATTGTGTAAATTGTTGCACTGGAAATTGAGATGAGCAAATTTATGGAAAGAAAATTTATCCTTATTCTTGAATAGTAAAAATGAGAATCACAATCTTGAATAAAGACACAAAATAAACTCAATTTACACGTGTCATTATTATTGTGATTTACATTTAAATGTCGTGAATCATGATTCTGAGTGGAGGATGATTATGCGATTGAACATATGATGGAAAATAAGACATTTACATGTCTTTATTCAAATGGGTCACCATGATTTTGTAAATTGTCAAGCCTTGAACACACAATTGACTGGTTAAATATTGGCAAGTTACAAAGCAAATTTGGTTTGCTGTTTAACCTGCATTAAGATGATCATTGTAATTGTTTTCCTTCAACTATATTCTTGTTCATGTATCTCGACCAATGGTGGCTTTAATCAACTGCAAACCCATTTACATACCCAAGTAGACAGCAACTCCGATAACGGTTAATAGAGCAGCCAGGATAAGTATGGCTGTTAATAGGATGGCACAACAAGCCGGTGAACAACAACGTCTTGGAAATGAAGATGAATCCCATGAAAGAGTTGATGATGCTTGGCATGAATTAATCATTGGCGGAATATGATTATAAGTAATTATGGAGGCTGGATGACTGTGTAAAGATGGTGCTGGTCCATATTCATCATTTCCCGTTGAATCCCATACAATGTAAGGTAAATCTTCAGGTGAAGCAAATCGACGGCCACATGAGCCACCATTGCTTCGAATCATTTTACAGCTCATTTCAATTCCATTGATTTAAACATCATCCATAGCCACCGTTCATTTGTAAGCCAAGAGATACCAAAAATTGAACCGAAATAACAATCAAAACAAATAACACCAAAATCAATGCAAAAAAAGAGGGAAAATAAAAGTAGAGCAAAAAATTCAAAACAATCAGATGAATTATCCACAGGTAAAACAATTTAAATGTAAATCAAGATAACACAAGTAAACAATCGATAGAAGGCACAAAATTAATAAACTACAAACAATTAATCCAACAACCGACACTTAAGAAGCTAAATCTTCAACAAGATTACCAAGTAAGAGTTCAAACGAGAGCTAACTGTTCGTACCAAAACTCACTCTCAAACCAAACCGCAAGATGGCGTCGCATCGTTAGTAAGCGCCATCTGCTGTCAAAAGAAGAAAAGGTAAAACTTCCAATTCTGATTCAGAGATCAGTTCAAATGAAATAGCAACTAAAGCCTTTTGTTATTGATAAATCATAACAGTTTATTATTAATAGAATCAATGATTTCACTGAGAAAATCAAACAACAACAATAAGTGAGTTGAACTTTGAAAAGACGTGAAAAGCGGGAAAAAGTAGTTTCTTTGAAAATCTCACAATTTAAATGTTAACATTTTTGTTGAAGTTAATTTTGAGGAAAAATTTGAAACAAATTTAAATTCTTTTTTTGGGCTTGACTAATTCAATACAAGGTAAGAATAAGGTAAGATGATTATCATTATGAAACCAGGTATTTACTAATAAAAGAGTCAAAGGATTGGTCAAACAGTTGATGACCTGGTTTGTTGGTTTTTTTTCACGCAATCCCAATGAACAATAAACAACAAGCAACATCATGTTATCATCATTTTTCCTTTGCTTCATCATGTTTACCTTCTTGAATTTCATCTGTAAACTTCAGGTCATCTAAATGGTTTATCAAATGATTATCATTATCAAAAAAAAGGCTCACATGAAAAGACAAGGTTGAACAAAATCTCAAAATTAAATGTCATCATGTAAACACTTGCAACTTTATTTTGTTCAAAAGCAACTTGAAATGTGAGAAATTGTCACAATTGGAATTGTTAATGTTGAGAAACAGTCAAAATTAGATTAACTTTTACTTTTTCCCATTTTTAGACCAAAACCCGACGACAGTTGAATGTTACTGTGTCAACGAGTCTCTTCAACCCACCAAACGAAAACCTTACCTTAATTAACAATCAATTGTTTCTTCAACTTGAACCATAATCGTTTCAACTTGATTAACCCAAAATTCAATGTTACCCATCGGGTTATTTTGCATCATTACAACCAGTAATGGCAAGATCATGGTCGACCAAAATTTTAAATGATCAAAGACTATTTTGATAAAAGCATTTTTAAGGGAATTTTTAGAACTTTAAAACTCGGTAAAATTTAGAAATTTTTTGATCGATTCCGATCGTCAACACTAATTTCAACCAAAAATCGACTAAACTCCAAATAGTTGATCAATCATAATGAACACTTTTTCAATTATTCAACAGTTCTCTTGATTTCGGCAATTGGCTAATGTTGTTCAATCGTTAATGTTCACCAATAATTCCTATCGATAAGCTTCAGCTCTGCAAATATTGCAATCACTCGAATCGAGGCTCAACCGAAAATCGAAGTTGCATAGAAACAGAAAATTTATTTCCCGAAATAAGTGCCTTTTCTGATTGACCATCATCAAGAGTTAAATCAATGTTATGAAAAGTTCTGTCATCATAACTATTTTAAAGGCGATTTTAGTTTGAATTAGAACGTGATTTTATCGATGGATGTTGATCAGGGAAATTTTTTGATGGCACAAATGGACTACATTTTCTTACCTTTGCAAACCTACCAAGTGTCAACTCGGAAGGCAAAGGTTATAATTGAACCTTTTAACGCATTTAAGGTTGTCACCTTAGATTGCTTTAAATAATTGGGATTGTTTCAGAGTTGGATAAAATGTTCATCTTGAGTTGATCTTGATTGTGTTCCTACTGACATAATCATGAGGAATGATGAGAAAAGATTAATTTGTTTCACCTTTTTTTGATGAGTTTTCATTGAATGTTGAACCTTTTCTCATTCCTGTGTTTCTTCAATTGAATTATCATCAACATTGGTTACTTTGTTTCCTTATTTATTAACACAAACCATTAATAACCAATTATATTGTCAATCAAGTTAATTTTGTTTTCTTTTGTAGACTTCTCATTACATTTCAATGATAACTCTCATCAGAATCATGATGAACACGATGATAATAAAGATGAAAAGGGCAAAAATATTGTTCACTTGATTGAACCTTCAATTGTTCAAATGTAAACCACCATAACCACAATAATAGATAGTAATCTTCATCTTTCACTCAAAGCCAATAATCATTTTGTTTCCCCTCATTTTCCAGATTAAATTGTTAACAATTTACAGAATTATTATTAATTTTCAATCAATTTCAACGGTCCAAGATAAATGGTTCAATTTGATGGCAAACACAAATCAATGAAACACAGCAAAAAACCCAAAAAATGTGTTTCTCTCAAAGTCTGAAAAAAACATTGAACAATTAAAAAGATTCAAATTGTCGACAGCAATCTAAAATTGTTAATGAACTGATATTTAAAAAGGTTAATTCTGTTGGCCAATTAAAGCAAAATAATAAGCAAAATTTAGCACATTGACCCATCCTTGACTGTTAATTAGTATTATGATAATTAACATGATGATTATGATGAAAAGCAAGATAAATATGAAAAGTCTCAATGAAAAGCGAGAACAAAAAAGTGATCCTTTTTTTTCTTGAAAAGTATTCCGTTGTTTCACATGAATAAAGTTATTTTTAATGTTCACACCATTTAATTGTCATGTAAGACAATTAACCAACATGTTGATTTATCATGTGATGATGGATTTGATGAAGAAACTTGAAAATGGACTGAAAAATGAACGAGAAAAATATTGATCTTTCAGGTTAAAAGGATAATGATGAGGAAAAGGATTTCCCTTCAATGACAATGAGAGATCAAAGATGAACATTTCAACCTCATTTCATGTAAGTCACTGAATCTTCATTTTCGTCATTAATCTATTCTTGAATCTTTTTCACATTATTTTATGCAAAAATTTCCACTCATTTGAAAGCTTTTTTTAATTAGAAAACAAGATTTTCAAGAAAAAATGATTCAGATTTTAATCAGTTGTATTTGCATTTTCAGCAAGTCGACTAGAGACTGAAGAGTCATTGAGGCGTTCAGTGTTTTATTTCAGTTCTGAATTGTTCAAGTTTTCCGATTTTTTCTTGGAATTTGTTTCTTCTACTAATGGTCATTGATTGATGATCAATTATCAATTGCTACAAACCTGATAACCCAATAAAATTTGGTGAATTCAAGGTTAGTAAAAGGAAATCTTTTTGTTTCAAAAAATCAGGAAAATGGGAAACATTTCAACAAAACGTTTGACAATTAACTAAATATTGGAATGGAAGTCGGATTCTTTTGTTTCATGTCAATGCCAGGAAAATGAACAATTAAACCTTTTAACCTGACAGGATGAAATTTTTATATAACCTTTTATCTTAGGCAGACATCTTAATCAGGCTTGTGTTGATGAGACAAGCTTTTCATCAAATTGGCTTTAAATGATGAATAAAAGTGATCATATTTTGGGAAATTTATTTAACAGCAAAATGATTATTAATAGTTTGCTACAATGCTGATGAAAATAGTAATCATCAATTTAATAATGTTGACCTTATCAGGTTCCATCATTGTTCACATTTTCTCAGGCCAAGAGGCTTGGTATAACGGGTTGACTAAACGCTTAAGGTACTACTGCCACAAATGGGTTGATTCACAGAGGTTGTATTGTTGAAGACTGAAGTAGATTTTATTCAATTAAGTGTCTCATTAGCAATTGTTTTGTCATTAACAGGGTTTAGTTGAGCACCAATCATGCTAAATGAGTTAACTGTCCATGGCTTATATCAGACCTACCAATGGTAGACAGTAAAGTGATAATCGATAATCATTACTGAATGGTATTTGAACAGAAAAGTAAATATTTAAATGAATAACTGATTTGGTTAATGTTGATTGTCATATACAATAACAGTTGAACCTTTTAATGGATTCCTTGTTCAGTTGATATTGTTACGAGAGTTTTGTTTTCCTCTTTTTGCTTTGCTTTGGTCGATTCAATTGCGTTTGTTTCATCAATTATCATCACCCTCAACATGGAGTAGGTGTTTGTTTGTCTTTAACTAAACAAGTTGAGGTGAGTTGCAAGAGATTCAATGAAAGAATAGAAAAGGAACCCGAAAAAAGGTTAAAATAGGAGAAGCAGGAAGATGGTGATTTGATGATTGAAAAAGCATTTGATGGTCATTAACTTAATCCAGTTGTATTACAGTTTTGACTAAACCAGGGTTGGTTTCATCACTAAAGGTCACTATCAATAATAATACTATTTGTCTTTATTACCTTTATAGCCATTATTAAATTGATATTTCAATGGTCTTCAAGCTCAAAATCAATGGTAAACCAGCAAATAAATGCTTCTAGTTTTTTGGTCTCCAATGGTAATTGTTTCATCAGTTAGCAGCATTTTTGCCCTTTTTATTTCAAAATTAATCGTCAAATAAATCGTTTTATCCCTCTTTCGTGTTCACCATTTCACACAAATTGTTAGGCATAAAATTTCAAAATCACCGAGAGGCTAATCATGATAGTTGAGGCCTTTGCTTTGCAAAAATCAAGAACGCAAATTGGATTGTTTTTTAACATTAACAGCAATTTGTTACATCAACAATTAGAACCAGATTTGAGCAACTGAACCTAGAGCCATCTGGATGACTTAAATGTAACTTTTTTAAAGTGAACTGGAGTTAAATTTTTATTGTAATTGATATCCATTTTTATCAGCATAAATTGTTAAGTCAAGATTGGTAAATTTGATCATTAATTACGACAAAGCTTTGATTTTAAAAGTTAAAAAAGACTATTTTCGATCAAATTCTGTCTAAATAGCAATGAGATTAAATGCAGTGACATTTTTTGAGCATAACGACTGTCAAAAGTGGCTCTGTCTGAAAAGATAAAGTCAATATTATAATAGTTAATGAACAAGTTTTCAGTGTAAATACTAATTGTAAAAGGTAAACCAACAATGTAATATCAATTGTGATGATTACGTTATTATATCGTGCTAAATATTGCCATTTAGACTGTTGATTGCTGCCTGATTGGAATTACAATAAACCTGGGAAAACCCATTTCATTGAATCAAGTTCTACCTGATTTTAAGACAATCTATCCACCGATTTATTTCAAATCATCTTAATAATTCCATAGTTTGCTCAAATTATTTATTGTAGATGATTCTATTAATTGTATTAATATCAATGTAATAACCGAAAGGATAATAAAGATGACCAGAAAAAATGTAACAAAAAAGTCCAATTTTTCAAGTTAACCAACAAGGTTTGAGTTACTTTGAGGGTTATTTAATCAATAATCACAATCAATCTCATTTAACTGTAAATATTGAAATGAATGTGTTTTTATACAATGAAAGTGAATTGAGATGAAAACATAATTCAAAATCTATCTCTGTGTTCATCTTACAATTAGACTGTGAGATGCTTTAGGAAATGTTAAAGGTTGAAATGACAATACAATCAAGAGATTTACATAATATAGTGAACATTATTTTTAACCTGACAAATACATTATTATTAGGACAAACAATTATCATAATAGCTGAATTATTTTCACATGAATAACAATTTCTTTTTCTTTCATCTCCTTGAGGCTTTCTTTTCGTCATCTTTTTCATTACAATCAGCTTACTCAGTTACTATTTCAATCAGCAAATCTTCAACCAGCCAAGCATCTGATCCGGAAAAGGCGAAAAATGACTTCTCTGGTGCTACCAATGTTGATACTTCAGGAATTGATCTTGGCAACGATGGAGCTACAGAATGGCTACTGCTCATCATATCAACGATTTTCTGATTGTTATTTAACCTTTTGGCCTCTGTAACTGATCCAAAAATCAGTCCAATGTTAATTGTGTCTTTATCCGTCGTCTTTAGTTTAACCATAATCATCCTTGCTCTGGGTTTTGCTGTTAGATATTTAATGAATCGTAAAAAGGCAGAGATTAGTGATGATACAATGAAAACATCTCAATTGAAGCAAGATGCGATCATTTCTCAATTACCTTGATTCAATACTTACCATATTTATCATCAGTACCTACATGTGTTCAACGGATCATTTATGAGACAAGTTCACATCTTTACTTTTCGACTTTTCAATTCAACAATCAAAAATTCCAGTGATTAGGTTACAATATCGATTTTAAGCTCAAACTCTTTTCTTTAAAAGACTTTGGTTAAAAGCTTAAAAGATTAACGAATCAGGAATAAATCTGGTTCACAGGTTCTGACCAGTTTCACCAATCTCTGAACCTTTGAGGAGGGACCAAAATTTCATATGAAAGGTCTAGGGCCTTGGAATGGGAACTTTACTTTTCATCGAGTTGTCACTAAAAATGTCAACATCTTCAAGACCAATTGTAAAATGTAAACCGACAATGTGACTGAATTTAACAACCATTTGTGATGATTACATCGTGCTAATTGTGGCCATTAAGACTATCTGATTTGTGATCTTTTAATGAACCTGGGAAAATCCATTTCATTAACCAAAGCCATACCTGTTTTTTAATGAAGACAATGATTTTAATTATTCTGTTTATCATTTCACTGGTACCATTGAGTTTACAAGAATGCCACCGATTTGAGTTTCATGAAACTATTGAATCAAGCTTCAGCCTATCTGATTCCATCCGAGACATGTGTAATAAAAAAGGACGAATTGTTGATTACTCTTCACAATTGATTAAAAAACCTGGTCCGCCAATTTTCAATGTGACCTTCCAATGTTGTGGTAAGCATATTTCGTAGCAATTAAAAATGCACGATTGTGTGTTCAGATGTTACTTTGTATTGACTTTAAATTCTCTTTCTTTTAGCTCCGTCATATTGCCTAAGTGATCACGATTGTCCAATCAATTTCAATTGTAAAAACGGAATCTGCTCAGTTGCTGAATGCGAATTCACCGAGGAGCCGGAAATTTTATGGCAAGAGGGTCAAGAATGTTTGATTGACGATGATTGCTCCTTTTATATATTACCATATGATTCAGAGAATTGGAAATGTCTTCCTGATCCGCGGTGTTCCCATGGTAAAACTTGTGATGATTCGTACAATTTTTGTAAAAGGTGCCCAACAGGTTACATAGATGCTGACCCAAAACGATTCACAGGTGGTAATGTTTAGATAAAACAAGTTTACGGCTGCTTGCAATGTGAAGATACTTTGTGAACTCTTCCAGTCGCCAAAAGACCACAGCAATCTGGTACTTTACGTTTTCGTTACTTTACGTTATGATCCAAAGTCTTTCGATAGGCTACGACTGGAAGTCTCAAATGGAGATCTGTTAGAGTTTGATGAGATCTTAATCTTGATATGCTGGTCTCGCCATTTACTAAATCGATTTGCTTCAAGGAAAGAAAAGAACGCAATCCAGATAAGAAACCCAAACTCGAAGGTGGCAGTCATTGAAATCACAAATAAATAAGAAACCATGCTTCCAGTGTCTGAATTATGATGAAAGAAAGGGTAGGAATTAGAAAGCCATTGTCATATGGTTGAAGTTCAATACTTACCTTTTGTCATTGAGGTTGTTACTTCGCCCAGGATAATCAAGTAAAATGTCAACAGAAAAGTGAAGCTTCCGATACAGAATTGTTGTAATTCATCTTCATCAGAAGATAACCATTCAATAAAGGAACGATGTTCAATCGATATTATGAATTTAAATTGGCAAATATCACAATTTAAAATTTTGGTAGCTGATATCCATTTTGATAGGCAAGATGAATGGCAATAGGCAAGTTCACCAACACAGTTACATGGTTGTATCAAAGGACAATCATCAGGGGAAGTTGTTAAACAACGATTGAAATCCTTATGCCTTGCTAAAGTATAAAAACGCAGGCTGGTAAGTTAGCCAGTGCCATACTATGGTAACCGAGTTAAATTGTTTAAAAATATTTCGATAAGCTCCGGATGGAAGTTTTGAATGGATCCAGATAAGAAAAGGAATGGCAGCATTTAAATGAATAATAAACCATGCTTTCAGTTTCTGTAAATGATGATGAAAGAAAGGGTAGAATTAGCAAGGAATTGTCATATGGTTTAAAGGTCAATACTTACCTTTTGTTATTGAGGTTGTTACTTCGCCCAGATAATTAAGTAAGATTCTAACAGATACAGATACAGCCTCCGATACAGAATTGGGAAAATTTTCAATCAATATGATGAATTTAAATTGAATCACAAATTTTGGTCCTGATAACTATTTTCATTGGCAAGATAAATGGCAATAGGCAAGTTACAGAGTACAACAAATTACAGGGCTGCTTTAACGGACAAGCATACAAGGCTGTTGTTAATCAAATACGAACGATATTTTCAGGCTCTGGCTTAGAAATGGTCTCCGTCATGTCAAGGATAATTTAACACCAGCAAGGAAAATTCATTAAAATTTAACTCGATAGTTAAGAAATATAAGACAAAAGCAATAGGTAAACAGAAACAAAGGATTATGTAGAGCCAAAGAAAACAAAAAAATTGTTTTGACTCATCAGTTTGGTAAGAGAGCAACATGTTTCTTTATGCCTTTAAAACTGTTATGTTTTGTTATTCAATGTGTTTGCTTTCGCAAATTAATTTAATTTTTGTGTTTTTTATATTTTTCTAGTTTTTAACTATAGACTTTTATCTATAAAAAGCCATACTTCGAAGTAGTTCGAATGATTTTAGCTTGTTCTTCCTGTTTTAAAATTCTAACTGACGTTTTCGTTTTTTCTTCGCAGCTTCACAGTTTTTATCAAAGAAATTTGGAACAATTTTAAAAAAGATGATTAAAGACTTATCCATTTGACTTAGAAAGGTAAGTAACAGTGTCCTGATTTGAGTGTATTTGCGCAAATAATTAGGTGATAATGATGATGATGATCCCAAATATCCAATCGGATTAGATTAAGAAGAAAGGATTTCAAATGGAAAAGAATGTTCAAGATTTAGTGTTTTTTTCCCCACTTCTCTTCACTTTCTATTATTCCGTTTGTTTAATCATTTGATTTGTTAACTTGACCAATCAGTGATTGAAATAAAACCCCAATGGATGTTTAAATTATTGTGATGTAGTCATAATCACCTTGACCACCAAATTGCATCGATCTGTGAGTCAATGTATTCTTGGTGACCTTACGTCAATGATTCCCAATCATCATCGTCATAATCATCAGCTAAACCTTCCACCAAAATCATATTATTATGTCACTAAATTGTTTATTATTATATTGTACCCTATTTTATCATTTACATACTAGATTTGACTAGGAATCAAGGAACTTAACCCAGTGTCATTCTCAACAAATCCTCCTGATGTTTTAAATTTTTTAATCCAACAAGTGATTTTATTGGTGCAGGACTACCCCTCATTTTTTTAAAGGATATATCATCATCCATCATCATTTGAACACACAAAGAACCAACAAAGACATCAATCCACAAAACCAAGTTTTAGAGGCGTTCTTTTTAACCAACTTGACGATTTTACTTTTCATTTTACTGTGAAGGAGGAAATTTTAATTTTTTTTCCGGATAAGAATAAACTTTGGTTGCCGAAAATCAAAAGGTCAAAAGAGGATAGAAAACACGAGTAGTCGGCATTTCAATACTTGGAATTTACCTTTCTCCTGTAATGGTGGAGATTTTTATCACCTTAACAAGATGATTACAGTACCAAGAAATCCTTATCATGTTCGTGTTCAATCTCGCTCCTCAAGCCCAGAGTCTTACTCGTCCATTTCTCAGATGGGCGATTACGGTGATATGGACTCATTCAAGTCTACACTACCAACTAAGCTTTATAATCATTATGATCAAGTCTGTTTTAATAATATCATCAGTGAATCTAGTCACCTCCATATTAATCATAATCATACCTCACCTTCTCTCAACAACATCACCAACCACAACAGTAATAATAATCACCACCCTCTTCAACGAAACAACCATCAAAATCACGTAAATAGTCAGCATAATAATCATGAGTCTGATCATCAACGAACACCATGCACCATTTCCCGGTCCTATTCATCTAATTCGTCCCTGGCCTCGAATGATTCTTTCAAAGATAAACGTCGATTACCAATGCCCCCAAAGGGACATATCATGTATCACCCATCTCGTTACAAGACGGAGCTTTGTCGACAATGGGAAGAACTTGGCTATTGTGAATATGATGATAGATGTCTTTTTGCCCATGGAATTTATGAGCTCAAACCATTACCTAATCGTCACCCCAAGTACAAAACAGAAAAATGCTCAGCATTCCATGATCAAGGTTTTTGTTCATTTGGACCTCGATGTAGTTTTATCCATTCCAAAGTTGATCCTGCCGATCTTTTAGAAAAAGTTCTCACCAACTTACCCAAAATTCCAATGCCTGAGAATCCTGAGGATAAAGAGAATATCAATACAATTGTAGAGCCTGATGATGACGATCGTTTACCCATTTTCAAAAAGATCGCTCCTTCAACGGGCTCAGTTTCTGGTTGATTGGTTAAGGAGATATTTATATTTATATATATATGTATAAGAGTTAAAAGAAAAGGTCATTTCCTATGTCAGTCATTACGAGAAATCGATTTGTTTCAAACAGCAGTTCAAAGTTAATTCACATTTTTGTTTTAAGTAATTTTTATCAAAGAAAAAAAAATCATCTTTATATATAGTCATTTATATTTCATATACACATCAATCCACCCCTTTAATGATTTCATTGTGAATTAAATTTCACTCATTGTTATCCACTCTTTATAATCGTGATTTAAATTTCATAAACAAAGTTTATATTAGTTACAAAAAAATTGAAATTTAACGATAAAAGAAATTGTTTATTTTTCTATACTATCAATTCTCTATTCTTTTCAATCCAAAAATCTCAACAAGCAATGATTTTCCAATAATCTATTTGACTAGTAGCTCGATTGTTGGTACCTTCATTCATTTGGTTATTCAATTTAGTTCATTCATGGTCACTTAGACTCAAATCATGAAGCTGGCCTAAGAATCAAGGTTAGGTGGTCCTGTCAAATGGTGTTTCAAGTAAATTATAATACAACCAAAATAAGGAAGGATTAGATGATAATACAGCAAAAAGAACGATAAAAACCTTGCTCTCATTCAGTAAATAACATTTGTTTTGGAATCTTGCTCCGTGTTGGTCACTTTGATCATCTTTTGATGATTAACTTCACCCTTTTATTTGAAACTTTATTGATTAGATGCATGGGAACTTGAACCGATTTAGATAATGGTAAATTTATGAGATTTTATAATTCCATCGTTGATTGATCTCCAATGGGATTAACAGGTAATAGTTTACATGATATCCGTAAAGCATTGCAAAAAAGAAACAGATGACTAGCCTTGAGACAATCAGAATCAATTTAATTACCAAAGAATGAAGGTTAATCATCATTGATTTAGAAACAGTATATAAATATGAAGAAAGGTTCACATATAATAAAGTGAGTTTTAATTACAAGGGCAATCAGACTGCCTGAGGATTAATTTTGTTGTCCGTAAAAGTCGACAAAACTTTGAATACAACATAGTGATTAAAGTTAATGATTTTATTTACATTATGTTGAATCATAATCATAAAAAATAAATTATTTACAGAGACAGCAATTAAGAAGTTACAAGAAAAGATAAACATCAGTTTGACATAAGACTCGATCAGGTTAATACATAACTAAGCATGAACCGTGCGTCCAGTCAAATCGATTCGAGTTTAAATGAAAACTCTTTGAAGAATCAAAAGGAAATTCGTGATCTCACAGCGGTGAATACAATCTGAAACCATTGAAAAATAAACATTTTTCGATGGACATGGAATAACATCGGTGGTCGTTGACATTCTTGACAATTGCTTGCTCCAATAAACTGGATTATGCTACAAGGCGTGATGCGATTGAAACTACAGGACCAATTAAGAACCGTTTTGCGAGTTCAGTTTTTTCTGGTGGGTTGATTGACCTCAATTTTTCCATTATTTGAGGAATCTGACTATCACAAGAATCCAGAGATGGCCATTTACCGCAACCAAGATCCAGAACATCTTTAGCTATATTGTCAACGATGGTCCTTTCATGGAAAAAAAGAAAAAAAATATTTAACATTCTCAATCTTAAAGAATTTGTCAGTCAATGTAGCTGTAAATGAAGTTTCAACAGTTGAATGGCCTAAGCTCTTTATGACTTCCTTGTTATATTATAAATCTGTAAAGGAAGAGTTGACCGGAGAAACTTGATTTCTAACTAGTAACCCAGCATTTATCATGCCTTGATAAAAGCAAGATACCAATGAACTTAATTTATTTAACTGTTAAATTATGTTGATAATAATTACCTGATCAATCTAACGGTCGAATCCGGTGATTTTGAGCAATGGTGACGAACCAAGTCAATTGTTTGGTTATAAATTAAGTGAAATGTACAACACAAAGTTGATAAGAGATCATCATCATGAACATTGGCTGAAATATAGTCAATTCGACGGAATCCATGTTCCAATGAGTTGTAAAATATTTTTGAAGTCTCCGGAGTAACACATTCTAGATGTTTCAAGATTTCTGAAGAGTAGAAGAAATAACAATGTATTAATAAAAACTGATAAATTTACATGTATAAGATGAGATGTCAACTGTTTTAAACAGTCAATGACAAATGGTTCAGCTAAAATAGCTAAAAAGTACATCTTTAAACAGGTATGAGACAGGCAAAACAAAGTTCAATAGCAAACGATAATAATCATGTCATCATAAAATTCAGCTTTTCACCAATTTAATAGACTAATTTAAAATTATCAATTTTTAATATTGTTTATCAATGTAGCAGCTGTTTATTAAGTAGCGTTAAAATAGCCATTGTAGTGTAAATAGCGATTATCCTTTAACTTACCGGCTCGACCTTTGGTTGCGTCACAATACTCTTTAAGTGATTTTTTCCCTCCGTGTACAATTATGTTGAGAACTTGTCGAGGAAATGGCTTTAAACATTTACCATAGCGAGTGGCAACTTTCATTGCTGATTTACCGTGTCTGGAATATTACAATAGAATGGATTTGATTAATTTATGCTAAAAAAGAGGTAAAACAAAGGGTAAGGTATAGATGAAGCTGAAGTAGGATTCTTACTTGCAATATATTTGAAGTTCTGTTTCATTTCTTGGTATTATCAAATCTTCTCCAATCATAAACAATTTTTTGAAACTTTTATCTGCTTCGATCTCCATAGATATACATAATTCAGGATCTGGCTTGGACTTACTTTTCCGATATCTACCAAGTGAGCTGTCACCTCGTGATGAATTGGTTGAATCGATTGGGTTATGCTCGATCTCATCAATGTCTTCATCAAGAATGGCACTTTCCATGTTTCGATAAACTCTTTTCATCATCACCTCAGTCAGATTGACCGCTGATCGAGCTTCAATAGTTATACACAAGGTAAACACAGTCGCAAAGGTAGCAAACAATTGACAGTATTTCATTTTGTTGACTTTCAATTTGGATGGTTCTATTAACTTATCGTTTCTTTATTTTTTTCAGGCTGATTCACACAAATGAAAGTTGTATTTTTATAGCTAAAGTCAAGTGTGACCGGTTGTAACTATTCACTCACTTATGATTTCTAAATGAAATCAGTTGAATATATTATGCATCAAAAGATATAAAGATTACCAGGAGGGACGATTTTGATGTCATTTTCTCCGCCTTGACTCTTCACAAAAAAACCAGGCAAGGTGGATCACTCTGGTGTCTTTCATTATTTTTTTTCTAATCAAATCTTAATTCGCTCAAGGTAACTTGAAAGACTTGCTTGACTTTTGATTTGGAACCTGAAATACTACAAGATAATTTGTATTGTTCAACTTGAGAAACAACCTAATAACGGGAGTTTTATTTTTTAAATTCAATCTCACTGCCAATTAATATCTTGGTGCTGCTGTCAGTGGTTGTTAATCCCCAGTCATTTTATTATCACAAGACCAATTAGCTGGATTAACTTGATTTGCAATCAGAAGACCATTAACAAAGAACTCCCATTTAATGGACAATAATTCAAAGCGGGTGTGTGCTCTTAACTCAACATCTATTATTATTCCAGAGCTCTTCGCAATTAATTTTCATACACACAGCCATGTAGAATCACGAAAACCACCTTAAGGGTTAACTTGAAGGTAAATTATGGTCACTTGGGAAAACAATTGATCTTTCAAGTGAGTAATTGATTGTTATGCAATTATATTTCAAGGGTAACAAAATGAATAACTAATGGTATCACTCTTATGACAATTTGAGGCTACTGTCTTCTGATTTATGAGTTAATGTTTGATTGAGCAATGTTTTAATTGCGCAAATTTACCATTACTTTTATCTTATTGTTCTAATTAAGCTGAATGTGCGATTTTGTAGACTAGGGTACATATGAAGACGTTCAAGTGGAAGTAATAATTTAGATACGCTCTTAAAAATCTTCGTTCTTGTCTCTTACAGTGAGTTTTGTCTTATATTGCAAGTTGCATTTTTATTAGGACTCATTTTATTTTAGATTTAGATAGTTCTCATATTGCTTAGAACCATTCAATAACAATACATTTTTATTCTCACTTGAAAATTCCATCTTTTTATCTGAAAAATAGGTAAGAGTAAGGTTTTACGGACTAAGGAGTGGCAACATGGGACATTTAAATTAAGATCCAATCTGGTTAATCTTTAAAATTAAGTCTAATGGTTATAATGGTAATTGAACTAATTGTTACAGTCACCTACCAGAACCTCCACCAAGCTGGAAATAGCTTATTTACACTATTCTTCGAGCAGCATAATTCATAATTTAAACTGATTTTGAGAGTTTTTAGATTGATATTTCACGAAAGAAAATTTAATTAAGCCTATTGATAATTAAAGAAATCGAATCAAAATTCGACGAAATCCAAAAGTAGATAAAACTCCTCCTTGTTAGGGGCCATTGAAAAAATTATGTGCAGTTTCTGGTAGGTGCACTTTTTGGTAGGTGACTGTAGTTACTAATCTTGTCTCAAATCCATGGATACTGAAAGAGGAGTAGAGAAAATTCTGATTAATCATAAATTTCATATGAAAAACAATTAAATTTGAATGTTCACATGTTTGTGTATTATTTATCAATTTTACCATTGGTTAGCAAAAGTGTGTGATTTAAGTTCCGCCTTAGTCCGTAAAACCTTACTCTTACCGAAAAATATTTGAAAAAATTTTGTTTTGTGCGCTTGACTATTTCAAATGTGCGTCTCCATAGTGACTGAAATCATTTGTATCCATGCTTGTTCATTTCAATATGCGTTTCTCTTTAAACTTCTCTAAGTTCGACACTTAATATTCTTGGGTATTTTATTTCATACGTGATTAATTTTTATCAACATGGATCTGGAGATTGAAAGCTTTGATGACTTTGGATTAAGATCTCCTGTACGGAGTACATCTCGAAATAAAAAGTGGTTTGAGCGGACTGAAGCTCTGAATTTGAAAGATGATGATGTTTCCATTCGGTCAAAAATCTGGAATTTTGGCTTGAATTTAATGAAACCCTCTTATATAGGGGAAGGCCGTGACTACTCGTAAGTAATCGGATCTCATTGAATTTATTTTTTACTTATTTGGTTCTGTTTTGTATTTACAGGTCAACTATCAAAAACTTGATAAACGTCGGGTTATTGAAATCGACCAGAAACGAAGAGAAAGATACATATTCGTGTACATGGCAAATTTATGACAAAAATGGACAAACTCACACGGACAAGGATTTGAAGGATTACATTCGTACACATTACACCAGGAAAGTTGATATAAAAAAAGATCTTTCCGTTTGTACCTACAGAGAATGTGATCGTTCAACATGTACTTATCATGATGGAAAAACTCCACGCACAACTAACACTGTTGTTGGTAAAATTTCTAAACTCATCGCAACTTGGTATTGTGTCTACTGCCAAGAGCCTTTATCCTATAAGGCAGGTGTCGGAGACCACGGAAAAGCTTGTCCATATCAAGTACGAGCTGCTTCCGAGGATCCCCAAAAATCAGATTCAAGATCAAACAAAAATCTGAGAGGCGCACAAATAAACGTCGAAAAGATAACTTCACCTGAAAGCTTTGAAGAGGAATTGAATAATTTTCTCGAAAAAATTCATTACCAGATGCAAGCATCTGACTGTTATTCAGAAGAAAAAGGTTTTGACATTTTCATGGAAGAGCTAAAACAAAATCCGTCATTTGAATTCATCGAAGTTTTCAAAAAATTTCATTATTCCCCTACAAAATATCGTGTCAATATGTAAGTTTTTTTATCAATCAATCGAAATTTTTCATCCTTATTTTTATTATGATGTTATCATTTTGTTATTTTTTACTTTCAGTGAAGACGACAAATTTTATCAAATCATTTACGTGCCTAAGAATATACGATACCCTGATAAAGCAAAATCACCAAGATTCCAGATGGTGGAAATCTCTGCTGAAAAAGTAATTACAATTCATCGATTGGACGCGATCCGTGATCAAGCAATTGGTGCAGCAGCAGATGACGAAAAATGCCATTATGATGGTTGTGCTTGTGGAGGCAAGTTTGAAAATGGCGATCAAGAACGATTGATCGGACATGTGTTCGAAAACAACATTGTGATCGTATGCGTTGGATGTGGACTAGGCTTAAGAAACATAAAGGATTATGAGGAGCATTTACGACCGCAATGCTGGCTGCCAAGACCATCAACGGGAAATGAAAAAAATAACAGCTGAATAATTTTCAAGCATTTATATAAATCAAAAACCAATTTATAATTTACTATGCAAGTATATTGCTAGTTTTTTGATATTTACTTTATTTGCTAGTTTTTTTAGTTCAAATAAATTACCAAAATAAACAAAAAAATCTGATTCAATTATTATTTCAGTTACATGAAAATAAAAAACTCAGTGCAAATATTTTGCTTGCGATGTTAATGTTATTGTCACTAGTTTTACAGTACTGTCAAAGTACTGTCAGAAATACTTATCAGGATATCGACTCCCCAAACTGGTCTATGCATTATACTCAATCAGATTCGTTTCAAACACTTTTTAAGTGTTGCTAAGTATTAATTTTTCTATGTTTTCATTAGATAACAAACTTGACTCAAAGAAGAAAGAATTTTTTATTAGAATAACCTTCATTAGATGAGATTTGGATTCACTCCCAATTCGGTATGACAGTATCTTTTTCGTAATTCCTATTTCCCAAACTCCAGCCGATAATTTCATGACTGTGCAATAATAATGAACTTTATTCAAGTAACCTACAATTAGTGCTGGTTGTGTATAGTATTTCAGATTTTGAAATATGGTTTTTATATTTAATTTTCAATTTAATTTCAATATCACCTATCAAAATTTTGACAGTATTGTCAAGATACTGAAAAACTGAAAAGCAGATAATTAAAGGTAAACTTTTGTAAGTCAAGTTAAGAATACTTATTTATGCATAAAAATATAATTAAGTTAAAAAATGTTATTCTGATCTATCGTCTTATAAAACTAGTGTACTTTGTTCCCGCATAGATAGCCCCAGACCCAGACTTCATAAACAAACAGGAAAAAGAATACCAACTTTTAAAATTTTTGAATTAAATGCAGCGGCTATTTTGCATTAACATTCATACAGTGTTTAAAATTTGTAAAACAATATAAACCGAAGTGTGTTAAATTAATTAATTCTTGTAAATTTGTGTAAACTAATATGTGTTCATATCAAAAGATGTGCAATAGTAGTGACATTTCAATAGTATTGCATATATTTTATTCTTTTGATTGTAAGAATTTGATTTAATGCAATAATGCAATGCAATATGATTTAATATTATATGCAATATTAGTAAATATTGCACATAATATTGTTTTAAGTCAAAATATAACATATAATTCAAAGCGGGTGTGTGCTCTTAACTCAACATCTATTATTATTCCAGAGCTCCCCGCAATTTATTTTCATACACACAGCCATGTATATTCACGAAAACCACCTTAAGGGTTAATTTGAAGGTAAATCATGGTCACTTGGGAAAACAATTGATCTTTCAAGTGAGTACATTAGTTCAACGGATATCTTTTTTCTGATAGACGCCACCTACTGTTCTTTAGATCTTTAATAATACCATTGGTAATATAGTAGACGGCACTTATCAAAAACTAACCTAAGCGTGAAACTAGTGTAATTGATTGTTATGCAATTATATTTAAGGGTAACAAAATGAATAACTAATGGTATCACTCTTATGACAATTTGAGGCTACTGTCTTCTGATTTATGAGTTAATGTTTGATTGAGCAATGTTTTAATTGCGCAAATTTACCATTACTTTTATCTTATTGTTCTGATTAAGCTAAATCTGCGATTTTGTAGACTAGGGTACATATGTAATTTAAATGTGGACGTTCAAGTTAACAATAATTTAGATACGCTCTTTAAAATCTTCGTTCTTGTCTCTTACAGTGAGTTTTGTCTTATATTGCAAGTTGCATTTTTATTAGGACTCATTTTATTTTAGATTTAGATAGTTCTCATATTGCTTAGAACCATTCAATAACAATAACATTTTTATTCTCACTTTAAAATTCCATCTTTTTATCTGAAAAATATTTGAAAAAATTTTGTTTTGTGCGCTTGACTTCATTTCAAATGTGCGTCTCCATAGTGACTAAAATCATTTGTATCCATGCTTGTTCATTTCAATATGCGTTTCTCTTTAAACCTCTCTTAGTTCAACACTTGATATTCTTGGGTATTTTATTTCATACGTGATTAATTTTTATCAACATGGATCTGGAGATTGAAAGCTTTGATGACTTTGGATTAGACCATCGTTTACAAAAATCAATCAAAATGGTTGGATGGTCAAAGCCAACTGGAATTCAATCGGCTGTTATTCCCCTTGCTCTGGAAGGTAAAGATATTCTTGTTAGTGGGAGAACAGGTTGTGGTAAAACCGCAGCTTATCTGATTCCTATATTGAACAGGATAATTATCGACAAACAAAACAATTGCGAACAACGTACTAGTGCGGTTATACTAGCTCCAACTAAAGAACTCTGTCGCCAGATCTTTGTTACTGCTACTCAACTTAATCGAAGCTCATCAAATCTGGTCCGTATAACTTCTTTACTGGAAGGTAAAGATGAAAAGATTAACACGACAATTATTGAAGATCAGGATTTAATTGTCTCAACACCAGCCAAACTAATCAAATATACCAAAGTGAGTGAATTCATAATCAAACCTTACCCTCAATTTTGCACACTACCTTTTCTTTAAAGCATATTACAATAACCTTTGAAGCAGAATGTGTGCTAAATAAACTCAATTTTACGTCGCTCTTCTTGGCTCGTATTTTGTGGTCCTGTAAGATGAATCGTTGACTTACATTTCTTTTTTTCATTTCAGATGGAAAGTTTATGTTCTGGCCTTAAATTTCTAGTGGTTGATGAAGCTGATTTAGTTTTTTCATTTTTCTACAAAGAAGAGATTTTAAAAATTTTTACTTCAGCAATGAATAATTCCTTTTGCCAGTGTTTCCTGGTATCTGCTACGTTGGAAGCTGCGGCTGAAGACATCAAAGAAATGAAAAAATTTCTCAAAAATCCTGTATCATGTAAATTGGAAGAGCCTGACATTGTTGAGAATTTGGATCAATATGTTATTAAATGTGATGACGATGAAAAATTTGTTATTTTAGCAGCCCTATTCAAGCTGAATTTAATCGCTGGAAAAACTCTAATCTTTGTCAACACAACAAATATGTGCTATAAGATAAAACTATTTCTAGAACAATTCGGAGTCAGAAGCTGTGTCTTAAACTCTGAACTGCCTGTAAAGTCACGTTGTTTAACCATAGAAGAATTTAACAAAGGAGTTTATGAAATCATCATAGCAAATGATGCGATCTGGTCCGACGCCGATAAAAACGACGAAAAGAACAGCAAAGACAACAAAGACAGTAAAGAAAGCTCGAAGAAAAAAAGACGGACTGAAGATAATTTATCAAACGTTTCTAGAGGAATCGACTTTCAATTTGTTTCCAATGTTGTTAACTTTGATTTCCCTCTAACAGTAGCTTCATATATTCACAGAGTTGGAAGAACAGCTCGTGGATCCCATGATACTGATGGTACAGTTCTGTCCTTGATATGTCCAAAAGAAATGCCACGTTATGAGCTAATGAAAGAAAAGTTACAAATCGATTCTAATTTCAAGCCATACAACTTTAGAATGGAAGAGTTAGAAGCATTCAGATATCGTTCTAGAGATGCTCTAAGAGCAGTAACTGGTATTGCAATCAAGGAAGCTCGAATAAAAGAAATTCGTAAAGAACTTCTTAGTTCGGAAAAACTGAAAGCTTATTTCAAAGCGAATCCAAAAGATCTAAAAGTTCTCACTCAAGACAAAACCTTAGGAACTACAAAACAGAAATTCAATCATCTTAAACATATTCCTGATTATATAGTTCCCCCAACATTACAAAGTGTTTTACACGGAAGCAAAGGATCCCGGAAAAAGTTACCTGGACAAGATGCTACACTTCATCTGGTTTCTCATTCAGTGAAAAGGCGTAAAAATAAATCAAATAAAAAGAAGATAGACCCACTCAATATGTAATAAATTTTTGTAGAATAAATTTCGATAAAAACACTTTTGTGCATAAATATTAAAACCTTGTATTGATGTTAATTATTTGACAATGAAAACGCTCCATGAAATTATTTTGTTTAATAAATGCAGACCATTTTTAGTTGCATAAATGCTTTGAATAATTTGAGAATTTTGAATAAAAACTTCAACACCATGACTCGATAGAAATTGTTTCTTCGGCTAGTTAGGAGGTAATAAAACGACATTTTCGGTTCTCCTCCTTGCAACAGTTTTGCGTTAGTCAAGACAGTCAAAATTTTAACAAGTTTTATTGTAGATGTTGAATTGCATGAAATGCAGACAAAAGGCTGTGTCCATACTTTTGGCAAAAAGGTTTATGGAGTTCGACAAAACACATTACTGTGATATTTAGATCTTATCTTTGGAAATGTTCGTTTTCTTGTGATAACTCTTTAAAAGGTATCGGTTAATCTGGGATTTTCAAAAATAGGATAAGAATACTTTTGAGCCTGGTTTAAGAAAGTTCATTTCCGTCGGAAACGATCTTCTTAGACACTGTAACCAATCTCTGAACCACGGAGGATGGGCTAAGATTTTGGATATAAGGTCCACGAAACCTTTGAAGACTATTGTATTTTAGTGTTTCCTTCAATTGTTCTACCTGTTTCACCATTCCAGTTGATATTTCATCATGTTTTCCCGTATTTCCATTTTCTTTGTTTTCTTGGCCATCGCCAACGGACAGTTTGTCCAACAACAATTGATGAGTGAAGACCCAGAGCCAGAGGTAAAAATAATATTTCTAGATAATTTATTCTTTGATTTATTTTTTCTAAATTTGTTTAATTTTCTTATTTTATTATTCGCATCTTTTAGCCTGTTAAAGTGAAAGAATACGACTTCGATTGCCGTAACAAGAATGGGTATTTTGCCGACGTCTCGGAGAAATGCCAAGTTTACCATGTATGCCAATCATCTGAGAGTGCACCCGAACAAACACTCAAACATTCATTCAACTGTCCTGAAGGAACCTTCTTCAATCAAGAAGTGTTAACTTGTGCTCACGAAACCGATTGTGGAAGTAGTGAGAGATTCTACCAAAATCAAAATTCTCAGAATTATCCTCTTCAAAAATCTGAGCAGCACCCTGAACAATTTCAACAAGTCAACATTTTTTAATCCTAATAAATAAATAATGTTAATTTGTCCAATTTGAATTTGTCTATTCTTTTAAAAATTAAAGGTTTTGGTGTTTTGACTTTCAAATAGCAGAAGGAGATAAGAGATGGCGTCATCTCAAAAGTATTTGTATTGACTGTATGAAGAAAAGTCTTGTTGATTATTTTCCTTTGTTGTTAAATTTTAATCAACTGAAGTTTCAAAATACGTTTAAACTTGAATATTTAAATTGTGTTTTCTTTTTAATCCCATTAGTTAGTATTCTTAGTGTTCACCCTCGTTTTTCCCCCTATCTCCTTATGGTCTTTGGTTGTATATTTTGGCTGACTGTATCAAGACCGTGCACCACATAGCCAGCAACAATAAAAACCTCTATAAACTGTAAATTGATGTCTATTATTGATGTTTTCTTTAAAGTACCCTATTCTCAAATCCTTTCATTTTTCATCTATCTTTTAGTATCACGTAAAAACTAAGCCTGGCCTCATATTCGGATAGAGAAGGGTCTTCTGAGGGTGGTATAACTCCCCCAGTATCACCTCCACCTCGGAAAAGGCAGAGGAGATCTGCACCTTCGCTGTCTTTCCTGGCTGAAGAAGTAGACACTCGGAATTTATCAAGCGTCTCCGAGGGTAACTGTAGTACGATGCAGCAAACCAATTGTCCAACAAATGGCTGCCTAGTTAATGATGGAACTGCTAGCGAGGATAAAGGTTACTCTCATCAGGAGCCCATTGGTAGTCGAAATGATTCTGGTGAGAGTCATCAACAGAATGGAGATGGTACCAGTTACACTGATACCAATGGTTCCGCCACTACACTGCCTCATGTGAAGATTAAATCTCGAACTGAAAGAGATATAATTAAGTTGATTGGACAGCATCTTCAAGGACTTGGCTTAAGTCAAACAGTGGAGCAGCTTATCAAAGAATCTGGTTGTAGGTTAGATCATCCAGCAGCTACAAAGTTTCAAACTCATGTTATTGAAGGTGATTGGGTTAAAGCCGAAGATGACCTTCTTGAACTTAAGTCCATGTTAGAGCATCCACAAGCTCTTTTAGAAATTAAGTTTCTACTCTTAGAGCAAAAATATCTTGAGTTTTTGGATGACAACCGTGTAATTGATGCACTTTACTGTCTTCGTAATGAATTAACTCCGTTAAATCACAAAATCAATCGGGTTCATGAGCTAAGTCGCTTCATTATGTGTAATCCTGGAGATGAACTGCGTAAATTATCTGGCTGGGATGGCAAAGGCCTACAATCGAGGCAATTATTAATGGAGAAACTTCAGGCTTTCCTTCCGCCTTCAGTTATGCTACCTCCGAGACGTTTACGGACACTCTTGTGCCAAGCGATTGAATTACAAAAAGAACGCTGCTTTTATCATAATAATATCAACGAAAAAAATTACGATAATTATTCTCTACTCGTTGACCATACTTGTAGCAAGTAAGTCCATCTCATTTAAATCTATCCAGATTTCTCATTCTACAGTGTTGAAATATTGCTAATTATGTACTTATATCTTATTTTTATTCTCACAGAGAAAACATGCCCTGTGAAACTACTCAAATTCTCACTGATCATGGCGATGAAGTTTGGTTTTGTCGTTTTTCAAATGATGGGACCAAAATTGGCGTCAGGCTCAAAAGATAGTACTGTTATTATTTGGGACGTTGATCCAGTAAGCAAATATTAGCTTGTAAATGCCAATTGTCTATTTCATCATAAATTTTATCTTTTACATCTCAGGACACTTTAACTTTAAAACACAAGCACACATTCGACGGCCATTCATATGGTGTATCTTATATTTCATGGAGTCCCGATGACAATTATATTATTGCCTGTGGACCTGATGATTGCTCAGATCTATGGGTTTGGAATGTACAAGTAAGTTCCTATCTTTTTTTTATGGTAATCTTAAAGCCCGTTTTAAGTATCTAACTTGTTTTTTATCTTTTTTTAGACTGGTGAGCTCCGAGTCAAAGTTAGTCATAGTCCAGAAGATAGCCTAACAACCTGTTCTTGGCATAAAGATGGCAGAAAATTTGTGACTGGAGGCTTAAGAGGTCAATTCTATCAATGTGTAGGTTCATACTGTGTTTTAAAGTCTACAAAATCTCGTTCTCGATTATAAAATTTTCAAGCAAACATGCACCAAAAGCTGTTAAGAATGTAGATTTCATTTGTTTAAAATTTTAATTTAAATTTTCATTGTTTTTTTAATCACTTGACCAATATAGGATATAGATGGAGCTATCTTGGACCAATGGGAAGGCGTTAGAGTGCAATCCTTGAGCTATCGCAAAGATGGAAAAACAATTTTAGCTGCCGATACCCACCATCGTATCAGAGGTTATAATTTGGAAGACGTCATTGATTTTAACATGTAAGAGACTCAACTATTTATCACATGCGATCCATTATGGATATTAAAATTTCATTTTCAATTATTGTAATAATTTTGAAGTTAATTGAATGTTAATCCATTTTTTCTCTTCTCTTTACTTAGTATTCAAGAAGATCATTCCATTATATCATTTTGTACCGATGAGACAGGAAGGTTAGCTTTGGTTAATGTTTCTTCCCAGGGTGTTCATCTTTGGGATTTGGAAGATAGAATACTTGTGAGAAAATTTCAAGGCGTCACACAAGGATATTACACAATACATTCTTGCTTCGGCGGAGTTAATCAAGTTTACGTCGCAAGTGGAAGTGAAGGTATTTTCATTTTCACATTTCTTTTTGATGGTCTCTTTCGATGTAAAATTATTGAAAAGATGATCAAAATAAATAAAATTAATCAACAACTAATTCTATCTTTTGCTATTTTCTATTTCTTCAGATCATAAAGTTTATATATGGCACATAAAAAGAGAGAGACCTATTAACGTTCTAACAGGTCATGCGAGAACTGTGAATTGTGTCTCTTGGAATTCCAAATATCCTCAATTGTTAGCGAGTGCCTCTGACGATTCTACTATACGAATCTGGGGTCCAGCCAAATCCGGATCTCAAACATCCTGCTCACCAGATCAATCTTCATTAGTACTATCATCAAATAATTGTTTTCAAGACTTTTTCTAATTACTCATCATCATCGATTTCAAGTTAAATAACCCCTTTCAATCGTCATCATCGAGTTCTTTTTTCTGAAGACCGTGACGAAGACTATGTGCAGTTTTACTTATCACATTTGGTTCTGAAAAAATAATATCGCTTTAGTAATATCTTAAAAATGCATAATAGAACAAATTTCTTATGAAAAACTAAAGTTTTTTGTTCAATTTACTTCGCAAATGGTTTTATACATTTTATAAAAACAAACAATTATTCAAGCAAGAAGTGCATTAAACAAGCAAGAAAGGTATTGCTTACCTTTTAGGTTTCAACAAGCTATTCTATCGGTTAAACATTGTAAAATTTTCTTCTCTGGCGTTATTTTTATTTAATTTTTAAATTGACTGGCTAAAAGTCAATGTCCACTCTATTATTTCATGTAATTGATACAAAGAAAAATGTAAACAAGAACGACGTTGATTCCGTTCTTGACAGGATTTACAAGTCGTATATCTTTTGGCATCACACCAAACTTGGTTTAACCATTAACAGGGTAAATAGAAAGCTCATTTAGTGGTACTGATTTAAATCAATTAGCATTATTTTTAAAAATAGAAATGAGATATTAAAATGAATGGAGAAATGCTAATAAAAACCAGTTATTTAAACATCAAGTATAATTGAGGCTGTTTATTTGTTTTAGATTGGAAAGAGATCTATTTAACAGTGGCTTAAAGATTAATCAGATGAGATTAAATGAAAGTATAAAACAATAAGAAGTAACGGATAGGAATATCGAATCCTGAAGCCCTGATGAAATTTCCAATGGCTTTGCTTACCAAACACGTCGAGTTGATGGCAGTTTCCCTTCATTATCAACACTTGTTTTCATCTTTTGGTCTGCTGTCGTGTTTTGATTCCATTTTGATATGGGTTTACAAGTAACTCCTTATATTTAGATACCAAGGAATGATTTGATTTGATTAAATCAAATGCAGATCAGTAGTCAAAAGGTTTCCAAACATTAAGGCGATGAACTATCATTTGAACAGATGTGAGTTTGCTAGCAATTTCATTTTCTTATAATTTATGTACATGCTTGTAGGTAAATTGGGTTTAATCAATTTAACTGTTTTCATTATGAATCCTTTCTTTTCCTATCATAACATACTCTGGATTTTCAATGTTGATCAGTTCCACCAGTTTATTACCAAAGACCATCTTGAGTTTCATGGATTTTTTGATGGCCGCTATAAAACTATCGATTGGATCATCATTCGGTTAATCATACTTAACATATTTAACTACTATGATGATCTTTCATCCAGTAGGCTTTAAGACTCCTCTTTCGAGAACATCAAAAAAGTCGATAAAGTACAGTGAATATTCAACTGGTTTACCATTCTAATCTTGAAGAACCTGGAGAAAGATTAGATGAACTTTATAACATAACATTTATACAACTGTTGGCTCTAATGATAACGATAGCATCAATTTTGCAACATTTCTGTTATCAATCATACAGATCAGAATACAAATCATACAATTGAGTGCTAACTACTGTGAAATATGAAGAAACTCTCAGATCTTCATTCTGAGCTGCGAATTGAAAAAAAGATTGAAAAAAGAAGGAAAATTACTTTGATTTTCTTGGAAAACAAACGCCTCAATTAGACCATAGAATTGATTGTTGATATTCCTCCAAAAAATGATTCAAGTTCCAATAATCTTGGTGTGGGGTGTAACAGTATTTGCCAATATTGTGACGCGAATCAAATCATATGGGAAATGAATCAGATGGAATGGGTTAAAGTTTCATGGATACCAATGGGTATCTGGCATAGAAACATGCAATCTAATCAAAGGAGACCGATTTTTTTCCACCACATTTTCAATCAATTTTTTCATGCGATTCCAGCCAAATCCACCAAATTGTTCATCACTTTCGGATATGATAGATATGAAGGTTGTGAATAAAGGATGCGTTAGATTAGTGTGGTTGGACAATGCAAGAGATTGCTAAAGTGGGGAAAAGTCTGTCTCAAAGTGTTTCAAAATTTTCAATCGATCTTTGATAAATTATCATCAATGACAAGGAAAGTTTCAATTGAATGACAATAGACAATTTCCTCAATTTCATGTGTTAATAATTTGATAAGATATTATGTATTTTTACACCAAACAATTAAGTCCGGTTTATGTAACAAAAATGTAATATTCTTACATATAATCTGACGAATCTAACATTTTCTAATCTAATACGGGTGTTTATCATGAAAATGGGAATAAAAACATAGATTAGCAATTTGTAAACAAAGGTTGAAGTGTTTGTTTGATTTATACTGATGAAGGAAGCATCATTTGCCAGTTAAACAGTTGTTACCAATTCATTAACATGGCCACATCACAGTCTTTAACAAGTAAATGTGTCTTTTATTTATTGTTAGTCTTCACTTGCCATTCAAATGCTGATCAATGGACCTATGACAATCAAACTATTGACTGGAGTGGTTATACTTGGCGAATCAAGGATGGCTATCGCAGTCCAGGACCAAACTATTTCACCAATGATAGCATTAGTGTCACCAATGATACATTGACTCTTACATCCAAACCGTTGAGTGAAGGAAAGTGGAGTTCAGCCGAGATTTACACTGTTTCCTCCCTTGGTCATGGCACTTATCAGTGGATCATTGAATCGGAGATCGCCACTCTTCCTCCTCAAATTTGTCTAGGTTTGTTTACATGGGAAGACAATGCTCCAGAAGTATTTAATCGTGAAGTAGACATTGAAATATCTAAATTTGGAGAAGCAAATTTAACAACAAATGCTCAATTTACTATCCAACCTCATGAAGTTCCTGGAAACATCTTTCGATTTGACATCAAACCTTCTCCTGGCCGTAGTCAAGCCGAGTTTACCTGGTCACCTTGTGGTGTGACATTTAGGTTGACCAAGGAAAGTGATGAAAAGCAATATTTCAATCACACCGATACAAGATACCATATGGCTCATGGAAATGAAAATGTTCACATAAATCTTTGGCTTTTCGATGGTCAACCACCAACTCCAAGTGAACCAGTTACTATTGACATTTCATCGTTCACTTTCCGCACTCTTGACGAAACCAATCCAGAATATATTGTACCATGCATTACACAAAATTCAATGCTGCCCAATGTAACAGCGATATCGGTATAAAATCATTCAAAAGTCATTCAAAAGTCGAGTCTTGTTGGGAAAATTGATTTCAATTATGAACCAAGATTTGGCTGTATTTATTGGGTTTTGAGTAAAAGCATAAATTGCTTTCTCAGAAATTTTCGAGTCAAGATTTCTTTATCGATAGTCATGAACTGAATAATGAATGAAAATAATGGAAACAAGATACAGCATTGAAATGGGTTAATCTTTGACAAATAAGTTATGAAACTAATATCCATCGATTGATCTCTTTATCTCAAAGCTTTCTGAGGGAATCGATGGATATTTTTATGGGTTTTTAGTTTAATAATTAGCTCAAATTGGATGTAAATTGATTGATTGTTTGACCAGAAAATTGAATTTTCAATGTTGATTGAAATATGTTTTGATTTAAAAGAAAAGTTTCCATTTGTTATCTCAACTGCAGTGATTAAAGACTATCAATAATATGAATCTACTTCATCTTAAAATATAAATGTCACAACTGAATGTCCATTTATCAATAACTGTAATAAAGTTAATGTTTTATTGTTCAACTTCATTTCGATGCCTTTCACTAAATCAACCATATTTATCATCACCAGGTTACCATGGATAGAATCAATTGATTGTGAATTCCATTGGATTCCATTGACACCTAATCTTCTTTCTTCGGTCAATTATCAAGAATGAAATCAAGAGCAATCACAAAATAAATGTCAATTTAATTGACACTGATTCATTTTTTCCTCACCATTCAGCTTCTTCTAAAACCCTTTTCATGACCAACCTTAATCAAGCAACACTCTATTTTCAGCCATCATACAAACTCTTCACCATAATCAGATAACATTTCCAATCAAACGATCTTAAACTCATCATTATTTCTTGCTTTATAACCGCCAACAATTTAAAAACCCAAGACAGTCAGATTTTAATTTTGGGTTTGACTTTTTCAAGTTGAATTTTGGGTTAAGATTGAATGAGAGACAATTATAATGCCAGGTTGAGTTAATGTTCAATTCAACCATTTTTATTGTATTCAAAAGAAATGGAAAAGCCTGAATTGGATGAAAAAAATGATTTTCAGGTAAAGTGAAAATGAAAATCTGGAAAAATGAGCTGAAAATAAATAGTCAACAGATGAATGTTTATAATAAGCTGAGATTGTAAAGGTAATGGCAAGTTATTATGAATAACAAGGGTTAAGTCTAGGGTTATCATTATTACAATTATTTTTGAGTTTAGTGTTTAATCATTTTTTAAATGACGATATGAAGGGTAAAAATTAACAGATGAAATGAAAACCTTTTTTTATCTTTGGTGATAATTGGCATCCTCGAAGACAATTGAGAACAATACATTAGGTTAATGATGATAATCTTGACAATGGATGGAAGTTGAACCTAAAAAATGATATTGGGTGGGAATGGGTTTCACCTTTTAGGTTAACAGTACAATGGGTAGGAATGAAAACATGAGAGTAAAGCTGTACATTTTTGTAATGCTTAGTCTGTGTTACAATAAGATCATATTTAAAGGTAAACACACGCAAACCCAAACTGGTTATTTAGGTATTTGGCAAATTTACAGTATCAAATGGTCAACAGTCAAAGCTCATCTTGAACATGTTTAAATAAATATATTTTTGGCTTGTATTGAAATAAAAAGTTAATGTCATCCGATGGCCTTAGCCTCAGTTTAACCTTTCTCGGGCAAAGCTTCGGTTAGTACTGTTGGCGGTTGATCCTCCACTAGTTGAACCAGTAATGGTTGAACGGTTGCAATGACTTCCATCATTACGTTGGTTGGGATTGAATATTTTTCTTATCGCTAGTTTAACTTCACGAATGCGAAATATGTAAATGAATGGATCGACTATGGCTTTCATTATTACCAAAAGGTTACATATTGAACTTATTATGATCACTATTTTTCTGGGTATAGCAAATATTGAGAATGGACAGCCATCTTGGCAGGTTAAAACCAGAAAAGTAACGGCAGGAACCCAACAGAGAAGATAAGTTCCAAGTATCAGTAAACTGGTAATCAAAGCTTTGGTGTTTGTCCTGGTTGGACCGACTGTCGTTAATCTGTTGTCTTTTACTTTTGACAATATTTTGTGGTGAGGTTGGTTGGTGCTGTCATTGTGCTT